TGTTTTTTTTCAACATTGATTACTGTATAAGCAAGTAAACCTTTCTTCATGGAGCAGTGCATAGTATGAGATGGTATTGACTAAACTACTGTATTCGACGTAATAAGCGCTGCGGCGATATTTGGTAATATATTGGCTGGTGAACAATCCCAATTAGCACCCCTTCCGATTGATCAAAGTACACAAGACTTATTTATTCGCGTATAATACGCACTCGTGTGTTGTATGCACCCTTAATTATGGGCAATTAAATTCTAAAATAATAAATCTGTAGTATATAAGCAACTTGATGTACAACATGTAAGATACTATTTGTGAGGAGGAGAGACATTTACTCAAGCTTACCCTGCCAGTCCTTTCATAATGTCAGTCCACCATGTACAGATACCGGTAATAAATGCTGCTATTGTAATTCAAATGATCACCTGATGACAAGAAATAATATTGAGTCACTGTTTCCCAATGTTTGGTGTCACAATGACAATTCATTCTTTAAATGAAAAATGAGGAAAACAGTAATGACATGTGTGACACTAATCTATCAGCTTCAGGAAATCATATTGTGTTGATAATAATTGATTATGAAGTAGAATGTATAACAGCAATGTGGTTTTTTTGCAACATTGATTACTGTATAAGCAGGTAAACCTTTTTTCATGGAGCAGTGCATAGTATGAGATGGTATTGACTAAACTACTGTATTCGTCGTAATAAGCGCCTGCGGCGATATTTGGTAATATATTGGCTGGTAAACAATCCCAATTAGCACCCCTTCTGATTGATCAAAGTACACAAGACTTATTTATTCATGTATAATATGCACTCGTGTGTTGTATGCACCCTTAATTATGGGCAATTAAATTCTAAAAAAATGTATCTGTAGTATATAAGCATTTCAGGCGGTCAGCATAAACCACGAAATTTATCTTTCAACTCTGTTGGTTTTTTTTCCACCAAAATAATATTCTAATAAGAGCCCCCTATTTCTAATTTTGAGAGCGCCCTGGGCGCTTATTACGTTGAATACGGTAATTATTAATGTTTAGTACCTTTAAATTTATTGTAGATAGTCTTATAAGTGTGTGTTTGTATGTTGTTTAATGCTGCACTCAGCAATAATCCACCTTCTAAATGCCTCTCAAAGAAGTTATTTATGATGGCAGTCTGTAAATAATTGATTCTGGAGTAGACAGTACAGTTATTGATATTATGAGCTATGATCACATCATTGGGTATATTGTCATGCACTAACCAAGTCACCAATGCTGACCACATCCAATGGGTCGTCTATTATAACCAGCATAGGTAGCTAGTAGGACTGTGACGGGTAACTTGGGTCGAGTGGCTACTGAGTAGGACCTGGGTGCTCACACGACTACCTGGACCTGTGGTTAGTTACGTGATTTATTTAAGGATTGACTGTGTATTCGTACAAATTCTTACAAAAGTTTGCACTTTGGTTTTTCTATTCATACCTTAATGGACCGAAAAAAATACACAGTCAATGCTTATAATAAAATTTGACAACGTAAAACATGTTTTATCTATAATAGTTTAACCAAAAACAGTTGTATATATCAAAACAGACAAAAATGACGAGATTGATAAACATTCCAGGTGTAGGAATACATACTGTGGTGTGACATGAATCAGGTGATCGTTTAATTTATGCACATAACTAGACACGCCTACACAGTCATTAGCCAATCAACGGAGAGTAGGATGAAAACAATGTTCATTGGATCTGTCAATTAAGGCAAGAGGCGAAAAGAACTGCAACAGTCAGACTGTAACGAACTTGAAGAAATATGTCTGGGAGAAGGTGTCTGTTTCAAATAACATGGTCAGTTACCGCCAGATTCAACATTACTTCCGTGATTACGGTAAAACACAGTTGGAAAAATGCTAGTTAGAAATGAAACCCAAAGACATGAAAGTTGAACCAAGGCAAGCGGAAAAAAAACCAGGCGAGCAAGCCTGCACGTTTGCTATTTCATTCATTCTCGGCCTTCGGTTTCAAAGGGTAGTTTGGACAATGAATATGCATAAAATTCGCTAAATGTCCTGTGCATGAAGATACACGAGAGCAGAAAAGGAATTCCCTCGACTGTAATATTGAGATTCCCCGACATTCCGCAGTTATAAAAGTAGTGCGCCTCGGTGGGCGTGGTTTAATTTTTTACATTCATTGGGAAATGAATGCAATAACACGTGACCAATTTAACTAATTAGAATGCAGGAATTTCAATGAACACAACGAATATTTAATTATTGTTTAATGACAAAAAGTATCTAGGACTCCCTGGCTTCACTGCAAGTCACTAATGTTCGCTTTTCTTTCTGACTAAGCACACATTCCTCCGACTTTCATATGTTTGAATAAAGATACTGTTTGGGTCAACTTCAGTGTTTGCATGACCAGATCATTCTGTATCTGTGTCGAAGTGCATTTTGCAAACTGGTCCCAATCAGACATTTTGTACCCATCTGTTGAGACCTACGGCGGGTACCCGGGTTGGGTCTGGTAATAGGGGTTGGGTACCCGGGTAGTAAATTTGGACTCGTCACAGCCCTAGTTGCTAGTAGAAGAGGGATGATGTACCCCGATGCATCAGTGGATCGGGATTTTTCCGCACACTGAGTAAAAAGTATTCTTTTCTTAAATGTATTCGGTGATAAGTGTTACACCAAACACTAATTACTAGTGAAAATGAGTTGTGAAAATGTAAATATTTTCATCCATGCGCCATACTTGACTCTGCCAACTGTAAATCTTTAGTGTGCCAGGTATTTGGTCAACCTGTCTATGAAAGAGATGGCTTACGCACCACAGAGAAGTGCACATGCAAGTATTGTGATACATATCGGATCGTGAACAAGGTATCGTGATACGTATCGGATCACAGAGTAGGTGTATTATCCCAGTCCTAGTTTCTAGGTACCAGTTCTAACCGACAATCCCCCAAAGGTCCCAGTTCAGTCATCAATTTTGACAAGCAATGGGATGCTGGGGACACATTCTGCCCCATTAGAATCTAATCAGTATACATCTTTGATATTTGGAAAAAGATTGTGAATACTACACTATTCTTATAATTTGTTAATATAAATACACCATACTACGACAATGTCACTTTATGATAGGGGTGGTTGGGTAGCCTAGTGGTTAAAGCGTTCGCTCGTCACGCCGAAGGTCCAGGTTCGAATCCCGACGTGGGTACAATGTGTGAAGCCAATTTCTGGTGTTTGCCGTAGTGATATTGCTGGAATATTGCTAAAAGCAGCGTGAAACACTCACTCACTCACTATGATAATTATGATAATTATGACAAATTTAACAGCTTTATGACTCTGAAACCTGCTTCCACATGTAACCAGACCAGTACTCACTCACTCACTCACTCACTCACTCACTCACTCACTCACTCTATGATAATAATGACAAATATAACATCTTTATGACTCTGAAACCTGCTTCCACATGTAACCAGACCAGTACTCACTCACTCACTCACTCACTCACTCACTCACTCACTCTATGATAATTATGACAAATATAACATCTTTATGACTCTGAAACCTGCTTCCACATGTAACCAGACCAGTAAGCCGTCACAGCTTTGTACACATGTTATTTGTATGCACTGCAGCTTTCATTGAAATACTTCCACAGATTTTGTCGGACATCATACTGAATGAGTGAGATGGAATGATAATGCTAAACACTTCCTTCTGTCCCCAGATTAGGAGAACGATCTGATAGCAAGACAAAGTGTTAGGCATGAACTTCCTGGTTTAGGTTTTAATTCACAAAATGTAACAATAAGCCTTGAATATTACAGCAATGAGATTGAAGACATCTGTTATGACATGCTTTATGATGTCTAGGAAATTTGATTAAAAATATTGTTTTTTATATGTCTTTTGCTATGCAATTGTTGGTATTTTTAAAGTTTAAGAACTATTTTGTACTTTAAGCTTTCTAGACAAGATAGTTTTATTTCCTTGAGAAGTGAGTGAAATATTTTCTTTTTGACTAATCATCTAAAATGTTAATTATTGTCTCATATATAAGAACTAGTCTTTCAGAACTTTGATAAATAAGTAGGTGTTTTATCGTAATTGAGTAATATGTCTTCGATTATGTGTGATTTTTTACAGAAGATTGAAAAACGAACATTAACACTGTAATTATAATGATTACAAAGGTAACAAAATATTACTTGTGCTGTGAATTAAGCATGTCTGGATGATTTTAATCAATTTGTTTATTAAGGCCACCAACCAAAATTTCACAAATGCAGAATAGTTTTAAAAACTACACATTTTTATCAGGTCTTGTTAACTGACTTTGGAAATGAAAAACACACACAGATGAATAAGAGAAGGAAGTAGTCCACTGAAATGTTTACTCTTGAAAAGAAAATCTCTAAACCAAGTTATAAAAATAACCTTGGGCTCCTTATCTTGTTGCCATGGTTACATGTTTCATTTTGTTGTTTGTCCTGCATATTAATCATAGTCCACATTTCTGAATATCAAATCACATTCTTACAGGAATACAGTAGTGCAGACATAGTCTGTGACTTCAGCCACTAGCCTGAAGCCTGTGTCAAGTAAAATTTCTTATGGTCTTTAAAGATCAGCTCACATTTCTGATGAAAATATTGCCAAAATACAAGGCTGCTTGTAGACTGAAGCATTTTTGGCACAGACTGATATGTCGTAGACTAATGTTTTGTCTCTGAAAATATATGTACAGTTTTGATAGAAACAATGAACTACATTTATATTCAAAAGGAGCCCCAGTGAGATGGACTATTCAGGACCCGAACCTGTGGAAAATCTAGACTTGCTTCATGTAGTGCTATAGCCTTACAGTAAGGCCTCATGGAAGGGAAAATAGTATGATTCAGGGTAGGTAGACAAGGTAGACATCTGTAAGACGGAATTGTTTGCAATGCTGAAGATGTACAATGGAAATGATTCTCTCTCTTCAGGGTTATTGCCTGGCTGATCTCTCTCGTCCTGAAGAAGTACTTCGACATCCAGGTCAAGTTCGGGAAAATTGGACTGTTCAACTTTGGAAATGTTCAGATTGTCATTAAGAGAGGATTAAGTGTGGTGAGTGTGTTACAACTTCCTCCAGATTATTCCTATTGTCTCAGTGGAAATATTACGACAGTTTTCATCTTGTTTCAGTGTTTAGCTTGTGATGTATGTCTTCATTTAACTCTCAGCTATTAGCATTACATGTAGTCTGACCCGTGAAGATCCGGGTGAGAACCCATGCTTGCTGTAAAAGGCGACTATGCTTGTCGTAAGAGGTGACTAATGGGATCTGATGGTCAGGCTCACTGACTTGGTTGATGCATGTCACTGTATCACAATTGTGTGGATCATGATGTAAATCACTGGATTGTCTCGTCCAGACTTGATTATTTACAGACGTCTGTCATATAACTGGAATATTGCTGAGTGTGGCGTTAATCAACAAAGAAACAAATGAAACAAAACATGTCTTTTGAAAAGATTTTAAAAATCTTATCAGACAACAACGTTTTTATGCAGTGTACGATGAATATCACTGTTCCTTGAGACTTGTTTCAGTGGTATTTGATTGAGTGAGTGAGTTAGTTGGGTTTAGCAGTATTCTAGTTATATCATGCCATGTCAACTGGATGTGGGAGAAAAGTCTGAAGTGATGCTGGTCTCAGACGTTCACCACTTTGGTGAAACCCACGAGCACGGGTATGGTGCTGACAAACCTAGAAACATAATCAGGGTGAACCAGGATTCAAATTTCTGGTTTTGTCCAAGGGATGCAACTCTGTACCGCAGACCCCGTACATCTTTAATTTTTAGCAGTAGTTTATGATTTTCCAGACTTTTCACTTATATCTTTTATGGCTTTTATGATGCAAAAACACTGAGAATGCAGCAAGGAAAATTCCAATATTGGCTGATGACTGAAAACCGAGAAAAGGGACTGTTTTTATTCATTGCAAAGAGGACATTGCAGAGAGCAGTATGAAAAGGGCTTAATTTTGTTGTACCATCTTGGTAGGGAACATGCTAGCCCTGTGTGGAGCTGGAGGAAGCTCTTCATGCAAAACTGTGATGTCATGTGTAATTTCTGAGTCCCGTGATGGGATTCGAACCACGGACCTTCTGATCAGAGGTCTGACGCCTTGTTCACATGACCAAAGAGGTTAACCCCGTCAGCAAGCTGACAAGGTAAGAATGTCATCTGTGGGATGACTCCACGCCCTGCTACACATGCATCAGTGGGAAGGCTTGTGTTAAATTGAACATTCTTTGTCCTAATCAAAAGCTAAACATAATGTTATGGATCAGAATAATTAGATGTTTTTAGCCATTCAGAAAGTCTGATCTTGCACATTAATAATTTATGAAGACACAAAGCTTTCTTTGCTTGATTGTTTTTGAATGCCTGACTCAGCAGCATTTCAACTATCTATAAGTCTGATCTATAAGTCTATGCCTGGACCAGACAATCCAGTGTCATGAGAAACAGAATGAACCAAGTCACCGAGCCTGACCACCTGATTCCACACTGGGAATAGAACAACTTTTTTAGTTTAGTATCTGAAGGGGGTGGGCGGGTAGCCCAGTGGTTAAAGCATTCGCTCGTCACGCCGAAGACCCGTGTTCGATTCCCGACATGGGTTCAATTTGTGAAGCCCATTTCTGGTGTTCCATGTCATGATATTGCTGGAATATTGCTAAAAGTGGCGTAAAACCAAACTCACTCCCACTATGATCTGAAGTTACAATGTTTCTTGCTTTGACCATTTAGAACATGTATAATGCAAAAGAGATTATTAAAAAAATAGGCTTGTTTATCGAGTGTTTAATCTTTTGCAGGAACTTGATCGTATATGGCTGTCAAGCTGTTTTCTCAATCCCGATGTGAAGTAAGTAATGGGGCATTGACTGGAACTTATTTATTTCAGGAAAGATTAAGATTGGGTGTTACCTTGATAATTTCCCATAGAAATGGCAATTAATTATTAAATGTATTTACAGCTTATCATATTAAATCAGGGTTCCACAGACATGAAAAAACCTTGAATTTAGATTCTGACTCGATAAGGGATATTCATAGTTTGAAGAAAAACTGTTAAAAACTTAAAAGAAAACAGTTTGTATACAATCTATTTATAGACAATAACCACTTAGTGATCTCCCTTCTAAAGAGACCACCTCCGTGGTCTAGTGGTAGAGCGTCCGTCCGGAGAGCGGAAGGTCCGGGGTTCGATCCCCGACCGCAGCATACCAAAAGACGTTAAAAGATGGTACTTGTTGTTACCCTGTCTGGCGCTCGGCATTAAGGGGCTAAAACAAGGACTGGTCAGCTCGGAGTCAGTATACTGTGTCTGAGTGGGGTATTCATGTTAAACTGCGGCATGGTATCTCTAGCACTATAAATCAGCATCAGTCCGGACTAGTACAAGTAGCCACAAACACACACACGACGTCGCTTTATAAGTGCAATAATCTTGGACGCGACGTTAAACCCCATTTCACCTCACCTCACCTCACCTCATCTCACCTCACCTCACCTCACCTCACCTTTCCGAAGATGGCTGCTTCTCTTAGAACTGAATATGAACATTGTTACAGTTGTGAAACTTGTATCCTATCTCCATTCTATAATGATAAATACCCTGGTCCCATCTGCCTCAATATAGCATCAACTTGGATCTTAATCTCCATCCCTGATCTCACTAATCTGGTTGGCGTAGATCTAAATTGAAAATTGCGGCCTCCTCCTATATAATATATATTTTATTCAAATCAGAAGATTTATGAATGCACTTTAAGCGGGAAATGATGTTTTCCTGAGTAAAAAGACAACAGGAGGGAAAACCTTATGATACAAGACATTTTGGTTAAATCAAGATGGCATGCAAGTCAAGTCAAGCCTGCGATAATGGAACTTGTTTCAATTACAGTGTAAGGGGCTGGTGATTTATTACAGAGGGGGTGGGTCAGAGGTTTTTGATGCAGTAATGTACTGAAAATGTACCCTCCCCTAATATGAAGACACAATGCCATTTAGAAAGTGGTCAAACATAACAAATATTATGTTTGGGACGACACTTTCTCAGTAAAGTACAGACTCTCATACTTTTTGGGGTTGAGTCCCATCCAGGATTCGATCCAAAACTGCCAGAGTGAGGTACCTAATCTCCAGCAAACAAAGTCAGCGATCTAACCCACTCAGCCACCGAGGCTTCCACAAAAATGAAAGTCCGACAACTGGTAGTCTAGATCACATACTTTGTGTACCCCTCTGACACATGTAAACTGGCACGACTCCCATGGCCGAAAGCTATCAACACACAATGCCATTTAGAAAGTGGTCAAATTTAACAAATGTTATATTTGGGATAACACTTTCTCAGTAAAATACAGATTCTCGTATGGGACTCAACCCCAAAAAGTTCAAGAATCTGTACTTTACTGAGAAAGTGTTATCTCAGATATAAATTTGTTACCTCGCTTAATACATATGATATTTTATGATGACCTTCCCCATATTCTTGAGCCTTTTTTTCATGACCATCCCTGAAAAGACAAAATGAGGAAGCACTTTATATTGTATTATCCTATGTCCTAACAGGACCCTCTCAAAATATGTGTCATATTTTGGGTCATCCGCTTCTCATTCCCTCAGACACACACACACACACACACACACACACCTCCCCACACACACACAAATCCACACACACACACACACACACACACACACACACACACACACACACACACACACACACACACACACACACACACACACACACACACACACACACACCCACACCCACCCCATCCCCATTGCAATAAATGACTGGGTCCCTAATTTGATTTGGATTGGATGTGTCATTTAAGAAGGACTCCAAACTATGTAATGGTGGTAATTGAGTGAACAATTCTTTAAATGTAAACAGATAAATGTTGTGAAGATTGATTTCCCTGGCTGTTACTTTGTGTTCTGCTTGGAGCTAGCAAACAATACAAGTTGAGACAGGTGTTTGTAGTGTCGGGTGTAAGGCTTTAAAAAAAGAACAAAGACCAAAAAACTTAAGGACCCAAGGGATCCTCGTTTATTTCTGACCATGGTTTGTCAGGAAGCCAGTTGTGGTGTGCATCCAAGACGTCCGAGTTCAAGCTGATGTTGGGAGAGACAACGGAGATGGCCATGGCAGACAGACACCAGACAGGCAGACACAGAGACAGGCAGATCCCCAGACCCAGAGACACAGGGACATGACACAGGTTCTTGCTCTGGCACAGGTAAGTTGTGATTGACACGAGACCCTCAGACACAGGGACATGACACAGGTGCTTGCTTACAGGTAAGTGGCGACTAATATGAGACCCTCAGACACAGGGACATGACACAGGTGCTTGCTCTGACACAGGTAAGTTGTGACTGATACGAGACCCTCTGACACAGGGACATGACACAGGTGCTTGCTCTGACACAGGTACGTTGTGACTGATATGAGACCCTCTGACACAGGGACATGACACAGGTGCTTCCTCTGACACAGGTACGTTGTGACTGATATGAGACCCTCTGACACAGGGACATGACACAGGTGCTTGCTCTGACACAGGTAAGTTGTGATTGACACGAGACCCTCAGACACAGGGACATGACACAGGTGCTTCCTCTGACACAGGTACGTTGTGACTGATATGAGGCCCTCAGACACAGGGACATGACACAGGTGCTTCCTCTGACACAGGTACGTTGTGACTGATATGAGGCCCTCAGACACAGGGACATGACACAGGTGCTTCCTATGACACAGGTACGTTGTGACTGATATGAGGCCCTCAGACACAGGGACATGACACAGGTGCTTCCTCTGACACAGGTACGTTGTGACTGATATGAGACCCTCTGACACAGGGACATGACACAGGTGCTTGCTCTGACACAGGTACGTTGCGACTGATAGGAGACCCTTAGACACAGGGACATGACAGAGGTGCTTGCTCTGGCACAGGTAAGTTGTGACTGATAGGATACCCTCAGACACACTAAATTAATGAAATACCAACATTTTCACCCTACCTGATTAATGTGTCCATCTCCTGACATGTACCAGGGATTTATCTAGGATTTTAAAATAAGTGCCCCTTGCAGGTACATTGAAGAAAAAAAATAATTTTTGTTCAATATTCAGATTTTGGAAGTGTTCCTATTTTCCTAAATTCGTAGGTGTTTTAACATTGCAACAATGTATAAATAAGCAGTAATTCTTCTTCCTCATTAGTGGTTCTGTTTTCATTGAGATACAGTTACCTCACAAAGCCATAACATTACTTATGGCTATATTAACATTAATTATGAATATTTGGGGAATTTTGACTGACATTTGCTCCAGACAGGTCTAGATGAACCCCTGTGTATCTTCATGACATCGTTACATGGACTGTTGGACCCGTGAAGATCCGGGGTAGAATAGGTCTTCAGCAACCCATGCTTGCCGTAAAAGGTGACTATGCTTGTCGTAAAAGGCGACTAACAAGATCGGGTGGTCAGGCTCGCTGACTTGGTCGATACATGTCATCGATCCCAATTGCGTGGATCGATGCTCATGATATCAATCACTGGATTGTCTGGTCCAGACTCGATTATGTACAGACCGCCGTCATATAGCTGGAATATTGCTGAGTGCGGCGTTAAACAACAAACCAACCAACCAACAACATGGACTGTTGTGATGTTTCAGTTTGTGGGAGTGCGCGTACAAAACCTGACAGTGTTGCTGCTCAAGACGATGGTGCCAGACTGCCTGATCCACATCACCGGCCAGGAGATCGCCGCGGACCTCTGTGTGGAAAATGACTGGTACTCTCAGTGTTTGATCCACTCACTGTCTGTCTGTCTGTTGTACACAGTAAGGAGTGGGAGAATGTCACTGAGAACAACTGCATCACTTAGGTTTCCTTAGATCCATTGATCATTGGTTTGAATTCCCGTACTCCGGTGTTTCAACAAAGTGGTAGATGCAGATCAACCGACAATATCCATATTATTAAATGTTTGTTAAATTCCTTTGTCAAGTACTAAAGATTAGAAGCAAATCACCTGTCCCTGTAACATAAAGTGAACTGTACTACAAGCGATTGTTCAGCATGTACATTTTAGTATTTTTTCCATCTTGTTTGTACAGTATTATGGGCCTAGGGCCTTAAGCACAGAATAAAGTCTGTCTGTCTGTCTGTCTGTCTGATGCAAATTCTGCAAATCACTCAAATGTTTATTGAAAATTGAATCTTTTGAACATGTTTGTGTTGATAGTTTTATTATAAGTTTATATTAAGAGTTTGTTTTATGAAATTAACCTGATATCAACTCAATAAATATTTATCTTTTTTAAATATTGCTTCTTGCTTCCATGGATATTGACAAAAATCTGTAAGAATTGATCTGTATTTTGGTAACAGTCTTGTTTCTGTTTCCAGCTGCCTTGTGTCTTTGAACTTAAACGGGATCACATGTAAAGCTCTTCGAAGTGTGGAGGAGGTAAGTGAGATATGTGGATTTACTAATTGGTTTCCATGGAAATAACAAGAATCGTAATTACATGATTCCATCAGAGAAGTAAAATAGGGGAGGGAATTAGAAATAATGACAGATGCAGTATGTCCAGGGGTTTAAATCCTTTATGCAAACAAATATTGAGAATGTATGCAACTAGTTACATTTTTAATCCTGGGGAGCTATTGAAATCATCAATACTAATCAAAGTTGTAGATTGCAGTCTAAGTTTCTTAGTCAAGGATTATCAGAAACCATGTCAGAAACCTTTTTTGAATTGAGTTAAATTTTCATCTAATTTTTAGAGAAATGTGAAGCAGAAGACATTTTGTTGTTTAAATATGATTTCAAATAACACTATTCAAGTCAAAGACTAGAAATTGACATGTAAACGTTACAGAAGACTAGAAATTGACATGTATACGCTACAGCAGACTAGAAATTGACATGTATATGTTACAGAGGACTAGAAATTGACATGTATATGTTACAGCAGACTAGAAATGGACATGTATACGTTACAGAAGACTAGAAATTGACATGTATATGTTACAGAAGACTAGAAATTGACATGTATACGTTACAGAAGACTAGAAATTGACATGTATATGTTACAGAAGACTAGAAATTGACATGTATACGTTACAGAGGACTAGAAATTGACATGTATATGTTACAGAGGACTAGAAATTGACATGTATATGTTACAGCAGACTAGAAATTGACATGTATATGTTACAGAAGACTAGAAATTGACATGTATATGTTACAGAAGACTAGAAATTGACATGTATACGTTACAGAAGACTAGAAATTGACATGTATACGTTACAGCAGACTAGAAATGGACATGTATACGTTACAGAAGACTAGAAATGGACATGTATACGTTACAGAAGACTAGAAATTGACATGTATACGTTACAGAAGACAAGAAATTGACATGTATACGTTACAGAAGACTAGAAATTGACATGTATACATTACAGAAGACTAGAAATGGACATGTATATGTTACAGCAGATTAGAAATTGACATGTATATGTTTTAGGAGCCGTCTTCAGCCCCATCATGTCTCTGGGAGGTGTCCGTCTCACTCTTCACTGAAATCAAAGCCAACAAGGAAGATCCTCGGAAACTGAAGGTGAGCTACTAGACATATTTGTTTTACTCTGTCAATAGATAATTTCTTTGTAACCAGTAGATAAAAATCTGTGTAGCAAAATGATTTTCCAGATTTATTTGTAAAAGTATCATATCCATATTTTTAGCTTATCTAACTTACCTTCGTCCCACTTTTTCAAAGGGTAGGGTTAGTCGACGTTTGTCAGTTGTCTGTCTCACCATAATCAGGGTCTACATTGTTCAAGTCATTAAGTCGAAAATTTATGTGTTTTTTGTTTAATATTTTTATAAACCCAAAACATCAAAATGTTACGAGATCTTCCCAGAAACCACATGGTGAATGATAATGAACTTCTCAAGAGCAGAGGGCGGTCGGGTAGCCTAGTGGTTAAAGCGTTCGCTCGTCACGCCGAAGACCCGGGTTCGATTCCTGACATGGGTACAATGTGTGAAGCCCATACCTGGTGTCCCCTGCCGTCATATTGCTGGAATATTGCTAAAAGCGGCGTAAAACCATACTAACTGAAGAGCAGAAGTGTAGCAGGTTCAAATCTCTAGATTGTTGTTGCCTGCTTTGATATGGCCGGAATCTTGTTAAAAACAGCGTAAAATAAGGATGGATTGGGCTGAAAACCTTTTGTTTGTGTCCCTCATGATGGATTATTTTTAACAAAATTTAATTTAAAAAAATAAGTAAGGAGTTGCCTATCCATGCCTATCCAAAACGAAAGAGGCTGTGCATGGGTTCTGTCATGTTTGAGCCAGTTGGCCAGTCAAACAAACATGTATTATCAGCCAACAATTTGTTTCGTGTTTTAGATTCTCCGTGTTCTGGTATCCAAACCACAGATGATGATAACAGAAGGTGAGTTACCTCCCTTGTCATTTCCAGCTGACCAGAACCCATAGACTTACATCTAGCCTCTGAAATGTACTATTTTACAGAATTTTTTTTTTTTTAAATTATTGTTATACAATATAATAAAAAGGAGCCCTGAAACTTTCTTCATTTACATATACTGATATTCTGATACTGCAGTGATCTAGACAAATATTATAGACCTTCATGGACTGTGTTAGATATATTTGTTTCAGGGTCTGTATGACAGACTATAGAACCCACTGCTTTCCACATAGATACTGTTGTCAGATTAGCTGTTTTCAAAGTGGCTTATAAATTTGGTTATTTGGGCTTAGTCTTTAATAATTGTTATCACTTGTATCCAAAGTGTTCAAATGACTGACAAGTAGTTTTCTTTATTAGATTTTTCTTGAAACATTTTGTGAAAGACTAACTACATGTACAGTAAACTATGGTTATAACGAACTCAAAGGGACCACTAATTATAGTTCGTAATAAGCATAGTTTGTATTAAGCATATATACAGCATATATAGAACAAATGTCCGGGACTAAAAAATAAAATGGTTATATTGGTCAGTTTGAAATAAGTGTGTTCATTATAAACATAGTTTACTGTATATGCAAGTCTGTTACCAAGATAAAATTTTCATGAAATGACCATGTTACAAATATCAAATGCTCTCGAAAGACATGTTACAACAGCATGTTTCACAGGTGAGTGAGTGAGTTGGGTTCAACGCCGCTTTTAACAGTATTCCAGTTATATCACGGCGTGTCAGCTTAATGTGGGAGGACAGCTCAAAGTGATGCAGGTCTCAAATGTTTACCACTTCGGTGAAACCCACGAGCACGGGTATGGTGCTGACAAACAAAGAAACATAATAGGGGCGAAACGGGTTTCGAACCCACAATCATAAGTTTCTGGCGTGCCCAAGGGATGCAACTCTGCACAGCGAATCGCGGCGCCTTAGACGACTGGGCCACCCGTGCCCCCTTCACAGGTTTGAGTGAGTTAGTAAGTGTGGTTTTACGCCGCTTTTAGCAATATTCCAGCAAGATCACGGCAGGGGACACCAGAAATGAGCTTCACACATTGTACCCGTGTCGGGAATCGAACCTGGGTCTTCAGCATGACAAGCAAACGCTTTAATCACTAGGCTACCCGACCGCCCCTCACAGGTTTAAGACAGACGCTGATCTTGATGGTCCCTGGTGTTATTTGATGCTAATGTCACAGGTCCTCACCTGATGATGTAATTAATTAACATCCTTGCCTCGGGAAGATGAATTGAAAAGGGCTAACTTGTCAGTTACATGAACTCTTTGATTCGATAACCATCTATTGAATCTTAGATTTAACTGATGCATGTGTTCCTCCTCCAGGATTTCTTACCAGCCTCCAGGGCATTGAGTCCAACATGGCCATTCCAGCGGACACACAGACAGGTCAGTGACACGTACAGACCTTTTTGGAAATAGATATTTTTTCGTACAAATGAAGAATGTTAGACTGACTTAATGACCATTTCACTGTCAATATTTCTCCAGCAAGACAACGTGTCTGTTGCGGAAGATTTAAATCAGTCTTTCAGTAATACCACTTTACAGGAAGTCCTTCAAATCAGGACTGTCCTGAAAAAAAACAGTTATGATGCATGTGCCATTTCATAAATTTAATTTTCATGAATCAAACATAAATTTTAGTTTCTTCAGTGTTATGTAGCAGTAGTTTTGTTATAGGCAGCAGTTTGTTTGAGGTAACGTTGGCAGCTACTAATGTAGAGTAACCTCCCTTTCTTGTAAGAAGCACCTATGTAGAGATTTATAGGGCTCCAACGAATACACTGAGGCGAATACGATTTGTATCACGAATATAGAGTAACAAATACGAATATTGAATCAAGTTAGCAGTTGATGTATTATGTATTTTATTCAGTGAAACAATAACAACATAAATTATTTGACATGGTTTGTTAATTATTAATATATTATACATTTATATACTGCACTTATCCAGGTAGTAGTGTCTGCTCAAATGCGACAATGACCAGTGACCACAATACTGTCAAAATAAATATTATAAAAGCATTGTCTTTGAATTAATCTATGCATATAATATGTTCTTTTGGATATTTTTAGGTACAGGGTATGTAAATGCACATGATTGCATATTCATAAATATTCGATTCTAGTGGCCACGAATGACAAATTCAATTCATGAATGGATACGGTTTGATTCACCGAATAGAGATGTGTTGATTTTGCAGCACCAGCCGAAACAGAGAACTTGGAAGAGCAGCCGAAGCCTATTGACTTCCAGAAATATTCCAGTATTGTAAGTTGAGAAATATGGCTGACTTGTGACTCTTTCGCTCAGTTTTGATTTAAACATATTTATATTTCATCACATGCATGTAGAAAAAAAATGGGTTTTGGTAAACAAGCAACAAGTTAGAAATTGGCACTAGGCCTATAGTCCTTGCCAAATTGCCCAATAGTTAAGGTGTCATAAGGACGAGTAGAAATTTGCCATTTGTAAGGGTTTTTCTACATGTTATTATAAGGACTAGTGGACTAACAATGTTAGTTTCTACCGCTGCAACAATCTTTTATTAATACTCCTCCTGATAATTACATATATACATTGGCAGTTTTAATACATAAATAAACAATAAATAAAGAATACAAATAGCAGATAGAATATAATAGAAAGGAATGTTTACAAATGTTATTTATCTTACCACTGCACTATGGGCCATGTGGCCTGAATTACGAATAAACTTGGTTGAATAATGTACAGCTCCTGTCCCCCCATCGTAGTTGGCATTACGATAAAAGACTAAGTAAAGGATTACTTCCCTTTCGCAGTTAACACACAATGTTATAGAACACTGTATAAATGGCAAAGTCCAAATCTTGTTGATATAGTTATAATCATGTTAAAGGATTTAATGATGTTATTGTTAGTCAACTTATTCAGTAAATATACATATCGTGCCTAATATTTGCATAATTTTTACACATGAACAGATAGTGAGAAGCACCTTCTATATGGTGACCACAAGAACACTTTGATCTATCTGATATATGTCTATAACCTTGTCAGTGTTAAGTTCACTATACTCAAAGCTGAGGCGACAATGAATCACTTGGCACATACGAGTACCAAGATTCAGATCAAAATGAACGTAGGAAACGTTGTGTCTGATGTCAAAGTCTTTAATTCATTTAGAGAAGAGCATTTCTGTATTCTTCTGGTTGCAAATTCCAAATGTTGTGTGTCGGGTAAGGAGGGTTTAGCATAGTTATATGTTCTGCAATTAATGTTTTGCAAATTGTTAGAGTTTCTGAGACTATGAATACTAATATCAGACACTGTTCTAGGTATTAGCTCCAAAAGATAAATTGGTACAAGTTGATTATACCGTTCATACAAATTCACCTATTTGTGATAAGTTTTGTACGTTCTACCACAGCATGATGCGACCGCCTCTTTGGTCTAGTGGTAGAGCGTCCGCCTGGAGAGAGGAAGGTCCGGGGTTCGATCCCCAGCAGTGTCGACTCATACCAAAAGATGGTACTTGTTGTTACCCTGTCTGGCGCTCGGCATTAAGGGGCTAAAACAAGGACTGGTTGGTTTGGAGTCAGAATACTGTGTTTGAGTGGGGTATTCATGTTAAACTGTGGCATGGTATCTCAGTGGGCTAGCACTATAAATCAGCATCGGTCCGGCTAGTACAAGCAGCCCCACACACACAAACACACATACATGCACGTCGCTATATAAGTGCAGTAATCTTGGACGCGACATTAAACCCCATTTCACCTCACCTCACTATATGATGCACCTCCAACTGAGAAGAAGACATCACTCTGCTTTGTGTTTAGAGAATCGGATTTAAGGATTATCAATTGAACCATATGAAAAAATCAGTCTTTTTTACATTAGTATTGTGTGATCTCTTCAATCCAGTAAGGTTAACAAAACATTTCATGATATTTCAGCAAGAAGTTGGCATAGACTTCACCGAACTTGATGTGAAGATTGTCAGGGAAAAGAAACAACGGTAAACTATGCATTGTTTTATTCTCATCAACTTCTGTGCAGATAATTCTTTCACTTTACTGAGAACCAAATGTCTTTGAAAAACATGATCTGATTTTCTTTTGAACATTTATTCCTAAGTCTCCAAAACTGTTTCAAATATTGTGATTATGGGATATAACTAAGATGTAAATTTTGTGCTATTATGAGCCCTGTTTAGTTTTACAATCAAATTTTGTTTTTTAAATATAATGAGTGCCAGAGCGTTGTTTATTTACCAGAATGTTTTATTGAATGGTGTGTACAGTTTAAAATGGTTGACTGGACATTACAAACTATTGTTATTGCTAATTATTGCCCTTTTGTTAAATTCCTACCGGGGTTTTTCCTTGACCTACAAAACAAGCGCTCCAGGGGACACCCAATTATTAAAGGGCAAGTTCACACGGAAATTAACCTATTTTTCTTGTACTTTTTCCACATTAAAAGTGTTAACCTAGAAGTGTCATAGACAAAAATATAAAAATATCACAATTAATTAACATATTTTTCGCATTAAAACGATTTATATTTTTCACATTTACCAAGTGTTCTATTTCCACAACAAAAACACCATGGCTTATGCCCCTTGCAATATGACGTCATTGGTGCCAATTGATAAACATTATGACGTCATCATGCTTTGTTAGAGCCGCTTCACGTGGTGTAGGTCTAGGTGTGTGATTCTAGCGTCTCAGATGCCAGCCAGCATAGTGTTATGCTGAGTCACCTCTGCGCCGGAGTGTGTCGTAGGCCATGTTGTTTTACCGCAAACTGGTACTTGATATCTTTTGCGTTGAGAATAGACAGGGACCCAGTTGAATTGGCACCAATTATGTCATAATCTAAGGGGGATAACTCAGGCCTGTTTAGCTCGAAAAACGAAGGCCTCATAACGGCATATCATTTTCACACTATTGTGAGCTTCCTACTTTCACTGTGAAAAAAATGAGTGTATATTTTCAAACACAGATACTAATTAATTCTAAAATTGCGTTTTGTTTAGAAAAAGAAAGAAAGTGATTTTTGCGTGTACACTTCCCCTTTAATTTCAGCCTTACAGGAAATATGAGGGTCCTGTAAAGTAAAGAAATGGTGACAATCGGTGACAAAGTGCTTCGGTTTTTCTCATTACACCAATTTATAGGCATCACATTGTCATTTGTAAGATAGTGTGAAAGTTATGTGTTCGGAGTATTCAAATCAATAATCAATAAGATAGCACTAATTTTGTAACAATGAAAGCTTACGTAGTTTGGAGTTTTGCACCATTTGCAAGTAAAACTTGTAATGCATTATGGATTCATTTTAATTTCATGAACCGCCTGTAGTATTACAATGCACCATATAAAAGTTTAGTGCGCCAATGGCGCAAGGGCGCTGGCTGGAATGAACACTGTGGTACAATGAATATTATTGTGCGTCCCTTAAGACACAATACATATTTTTGTCTGTGTCCATTCTTTACATGTGTGCGTACTGAGTGCACATTTCTGTGTCGCTTAAAACCCTGATTCCTACCATGTTGTATGTGATATGTTACAGGAGTCTGTCTGTATCACTGAAGCTGTTTCATGTGGGTTTCCATAACCAGAGCCGAGAGCGAGCCACCGACCTGACACTCAGTGTCCTGCTTGAAGGTAAGAAACTATACCTGTCGACCAGTAGACAGACCACTTCAAGCAAGCCTCAGCACACCCTGTACCCTGTGTATGCAAGTACATTATCCAGACATGAGAATTTTCCTCGGATTCCTGGAATTCTGGTATTATTCCTCTCAGAATGATTTAAGATGCTCTTATTTTAACCCTTTTTTTCCCCAAACCCTTCAAAAACAAGATTTTGCTGTTCTCATGTCCGATTATGTCTAAGCCTTAAGTCTAAGCCATGTAGAGTCTACACACCTGTATCATCCCACCAATATGGACAAGTAAACACAAACTTGCAGATGTCTTGAATGTGCAGTCTGGCCATGAAAATGTCTCAGATTTAAATCTGTCGTGATAAGGCCTTGAATTTGGCAACCATTGTTAACTCTTTACTTATGGAAACGTTACATCTTGTAGCAAGTCTGCAAATACAGATGTATGCCATTCTGAGAGTGAAATATATAGTATAAATTTCCAATAACAAGGGGCGGTCGGGTAGCCCAGTGGTTAAAGCGTTTGCTCGTCACGCCGAAGATCCGGGTTCAATTCCCGACATGGGTACAATGTGTGAAACCCATTTCTGGTGTCCCCCGCCGTGATATTGCTGGAATATTGCTAAAAGCGGCGTAAAACCATACTCACTCACTCCAATAACAAGCTCAAAAGTTTATGGCTGAGTGTCAGTTGAGGGTTTGAAAGGTACTCTAACCCTCCAGCCAGAGCATGTTTGCCTCCTGTATTAGGCTAGCATCCTTATGGTCGGTCAGACCTAGCACCATATCAGGGTGAAGTTACAAACATCATCATGTCACGTGACATGTGATCACCCCTGACCATACGTCTTCCTGTGACAAGGGAGTTAACGGACTGTAAAAGTCGAGTTTCCACTCTTTACAAAAGTAGGTGGGAATTATGGAGTAATAGTTTAGCTGGACTAACAAGTGGGTGCTTAGACCAATCAAAAATGCAAAACGAAATCTACATCTGAATCATAAACAACATGGCAACAACTGCAGATTTTGGTCGATTGCAGGATTTGCAGAGTATGTGAACTGTTAAATGGGCATCGACAAACTTTTTCCAAATCTTTTCACGTTTTTTATCTAGGTGCTTGTATGATTTGATGCACTTTGCGAGGTAAGGCCCATTTTGTTACGATAAAGATCTTGATTATCGATCAGATCATCTTGACTGGGTGCCGCCATTTTGTCTGAAGCAAATGCAAGTGATATGAGAGGTGGAATCTGATTGGTCTGTTGGAGGTACATAGTAGGGACATAACTCATAACTGCCACTGGTGGCACAACGATTGAGCCACGAAATTTCAGCCTAAGGGTGAAAAATGGACATTTATAGTCACCACCCTTGCCTCGGGAAGATGCTGGCCATATATGGCACAATGCCTTCTGGCTGCTACCTCAGCTTCCTGTGTTGTTAAAGTGTAATTAAATGTAATTAGTGGTAGACCATACAGTGCCTCTTTATTGTATTTGCAGACTTTTATACCAGTTCCCCCCAACACCAGTTTGCTGGCTTGAAGAAGATTGACATCAAAACTCAGGTCGGCTGAATTATTCTCATGGCTTTCATCTTTTTCATCATTGACACTCACCTGCTTTTATCACTGTGAATAAAACACCTTCCATTCATCACCCACGCATCTTTGCCACAAACATAGTTCCTACATTCAAAGATTGTGGGGGCGGTCGGGTAGCCTAGTGGTTAAAGCGTTTGCTCGTCACGCCGAAGACCCGGGTTCGATTCCCGACATGGGTACAATGAGTGAAGCCCATTTCTGGTGTCCCCCGCCGTGATATTGCTGGAATATTGCTAAAAGCGGCGTAAAACCATACTCACTCACTCACTCAAAGATTGTAAAAGTCCTATCAGTAATGTAAAAACTTTATCCAACACACACACACACATTCCCTGTAATACATTTGTTCGAATGACACTTCCAAGTATCAAATCTCTGTTTGAAACCTCTAAATTAAAACACACTTGGTTCAGCTGTCACTGTAGTGTATCCATGGCTATTCAAGAATGTGAATGTGACTCATCCAGGTGTATGTGTTGATGTGTGTTCAGCTCCTGGGTGACCTGGTAAACATGAACATCTCCGTCCTGAACGGCTTCTTCCACTACCACCACGAGGAGGTCCAGTATTGGGTCCTGGTGCTATCCAAGATGTCACAAGGGGAGGTAACTCCACCTCCACCACGAAGACCTGCACGCCCGTCGCCAACAAAGTAAGATAACATAGCTTAACTGTGGTAGATGTGGTAGATGCAAAGATTTATAGGCCAGTGGAAATGCATACGGTCCGATGATTTTAGGGGATATATAGGTATACTTTGGGGGCTTTGTAATGATGCTGACGGCTGCACAGAATCCCCTGAATATGTAAGACGGGTGTTGGCTGTTGCAGGTTGTTTCTGATGTCTTGGGTGCTGGGCAAGAAATGCAACTCTGTGGTTGTGATGACAGACCTGTCCTCCATGTTCTCCACAGCGTCCTGTGCCGGCTTCAGACTCGGCATCACCAGGTCCAAACTCACCTGGTTCTTTAAACCAGGACTCAAAGGTGAGACAAACCTTGTGTCTCTTGACTCAGAGGTGAGACAAAGGTGTGTCTCTTGACTCAGAGGTGAGACAAATGTGTGTCTCTTGACTCAAAGGTGAGACAACCATGTATCTTTTGACTCAAAGGTGAGACAACGTGTGTCTTTTGACTCAGAGATGAGACAACCGCGTGTCTCTTAAATCAAAGGTGAGACAACCGTGTGTCTCTTGACTCAAAGGTGAGACAACCGTGTGTCTCTTGACTCGAGGTGAGACAACTATGTGTCTCTTGACTCAAAGGTGAGACAACCGTGTGTCTCTTGACTCAAAGGTGAGACAACCGTGTGTCTCTTGACTCGAGGTGAGACAACCGTGTGTCTCTTGACTGAAAGGTGAGACAACCGTGTGTCTCTTGACTCGAGGTGAGACAACTGTGTGTCTCTTGACTTGAGGTGAGACAACCGTGTGTCTCTTGACTCAAAGGTGAGACAACCGTGTGTCTCTTGACTCGAGGTGAGACAACCGTGTGTCTCTTGACTCAAAGGTGAGACAACCGTGTGTCTCTTGACTCGAGGTGAGACAACCGTGTGTCTCTTGACTCAAAGGTGAGACAACCGCGTGTCTCTTGACTCGAGGTGAGACAACCGTGTGTCTCTTGACTCAAAGGTGAGACAACCGTGTGTCTCTTGACTCGAGGTGAGACAACCGTGTGTCTCTTGACTCGAGGTGAGACAACCGCATGTCTCTTGACTCGAGGTGAGACAACCGTGTGTCTCTTGACTCAAAGGTGAGACAACCGTGTGTCTCTTGACTCGAGGTGAGACAACCGTGTGTCTCTTGACTCAAAGGTGAGACAACCGCGTGTCTCTTGACTCGAGGTGAGACAACCGTGTGTCTCTTGACTCAAAGGTGAGACAACCGTGTGTCTCTTGACTCGAGGTGAGACAACCGTGTGTCTCTTGACTCGAGGTGAGACAACCGCATGTCTCTTGACTCGAGGTGAGACAACCGTGTGTCTCTTGATTCAAAGGTGAGACAACCACGTGTCTCTTGACTCGAGGTGAGACAACCGTGTGTCTCTTGACTCAAAGGTGAGACAACCGTGTGTCTCTTGACTCAAAGGTGAGACAACTGTGTGTCTCTTGACTCAAAGGTGAGACAACCATGTGTCTCTTGACTCAAAGGTGAGACAAACCTTGTGTCTCTTGACTCAAAGGTGAGACAACTGTGTGTCTCCTGACTCAAAAGATGAGACAACCATGTGTCTCCTGACTCAAAGGTGAGACAACCATGTGTCTCCTGAGTCAAAGGTAACAATCCTCATATCTATATATCTCTATCAGACAAACCATGCGTCTCTTGACTGAGACAACCTTAATTAATGCCCAATGATGTTGCTGTATGATGCAAGGGATTTTGAACAAGTGACAGTTTGTTCACATGAAGAAGACTGTTCATTTGTCATAGGATCTGTTAGCTGACACAATAATTTTCAAAGCTCTTTATTCTGACCTTTCTGTTACCATGGTTACAGGGCATGGCGAGCACACAGAAGACACCCCCTGGACTCAGTCACATGACATGACATGTGAACTGGAAACAGAAAATATCTACTGTTGCCATGCTGACAAGAAGGTTGCCATTGACAACATGTCTCGTAAGAAACACTACTGGGACCAGGTGTTCTACTTGGGGATCCTTATACTCAAGGTATGACTGAGTGAAATAGACACAAGTAACATTGGCTTGCACAGATACAATTGTGTCTTGTAGAGTCAGTTGATCTCAGGGGACTTGGAAAAAATACCGTATTCGACGTAATAACTGCCCTTCTCTAATAAGCGCCCATGGCGCTATTTGCTAATATATTGGCTACTGAACAATCCCAATTAGCACCCCTTACGATTGGTCAATGTACAAAAGACTTATTTATTCGCGCATAATACACACTCATGTGTTATATGCACCCTTTATTATGGGCATTTAAACTCTGGAAAAATATGTGTCGTATATAAACATTTCAGGCTGTCAGCATAAACCACGAAATTTATCTTTTAACTCTGTTTTTTTTTCACCAAAATAATATTCTAATAAGTGACCCCTATTTTTTAATTTTGAGAGTGCCCTGGGCACTTATTACGTCCCTACCAGCCTATTGCAAGTGAAAGGTGTTAAAATCGGCTTTGGTGGCCAGAGTCGGTAGCTTGATATAGCTTGTCATTGTAACCCGAAGGTATCGCACGTTTCTCATGATCATGATAATATCAACAACTGGTTTATCTGGACCATATTTAATTTGCTACTCAAAAGAAGTTACAGAACATAATGATTCTTTCATATAACTATAGTTATCTGTCATGGCATGTCAATTTTGTTTGTTTGTTTGTTGTTTAACGCCACACACAACAATATTCAAGCTATATAATGGCGGTCTGTAAGTAATCAAATCTGGACCAGACAAACAAGTGATTTCATCATGAGCATTGATCTATGCAATTGGGATACGATAACATGCATCAACCAAGTCAGCAAGCCTGACCACCCGATCCCATGTCGCTTCTCACGGCAAGCATAGTTGCCTCTTAGGGCAAGCATGGGTTGCTGAAGACCTATTCTCACCAGGAATCTTCACAGGACCATGGCATGACTGATTAACAAGTCGTATGAAAGAATCAGGTTTTCCTTAACTTCTTTTAAGTAGTATATATTCAGGCCACCATGATGAAGATGCAATATTGTTGACTGTGTCCTAAAACAGCAGAACAGTACAGTCACACAGAAAATATTTACCATATTTGACGTAATGAGCGCCCTGCTCTAATAAGTGCCCACGGCGTTATTTCCTAATATATTGGCTAGTGAACAATCCCAATAAGCACCCCTTCCAATTGATCAATGTACACAAGACTTATTTATTCGTGTATGTTATGCACTCGTATGTTATATGCACCCTTCATTATGGGCAAATAAATTCTGGAAAAATGGATCTGTCGTACATAATTATTTCAGGCTGTCAGCATAAACCACGAAAATTTATCTTTCAACTCTGTTTTATTTTTTTCACCAAAATAATATTCTAATAAGAGCCCCCTATTTCTAATTTTGAGTGAGTGAGTGAGCGAGTGAGTTGGGTTTAACGCCGCTTTTAACAGTATTCCAGTTATATCACGGCGTGTCAGTGTAATATGGGAGGAAATCCCGAAGTGATGCAGGTTTCAGACGTTAATCACTTCGGTGAAACCCATGAGCACGGGTATTGTGCTGACAAACCCAGAAACATAATTGGGGCGAACCGGGATTCGAACCCACAATCATAGGTTTCTGGCGTGCCCAAGGGACGCAACTCTGCTCTAATTTTGAGAGCGCCCTGGGCGCTTATTACTTCGAATACGGTCATTCCAAACCTGAGAGTGAATGGATAATCTTTATGTCATTGCATTTACTTTCATCTACAGTATGTACGTCTTGCCAAGTACATGAAGTATGTATACAAGTTTTAATCAAGTGTTGACTACATGAATGACATTGGCTCTGTTCATTGCCAGATGAAGAAGCTGGGCCGTGAGTTGAAGATAGAGGGCATGAAAGACAATGTCCAGCTGGAGTGGTCAACCAATACACTGACCTCTCTGCAGAGCCTCATCACCTCCTTCAAAAAGATCAAACCTCCCCCCACCCCCCGGGCTGTGTCCCCTCCATCCCCTCCCCCCACTACCTCCACCCGCACGACATCCTCTGTGCTGGCTCAGTTCCTCATCTCAGTCAAGTTTGATGTGTCCGACCTCAACATATTCCTGTGCAATAATTTCAAAGGTCAGTGCTAAAACTAGTTGCAATCTTTCACTATTGGTGATTATCCATTTTCCAGGTATTTTCTCCTTCTATAATTATACCCCTGTTTACGAAGTAAATCGGGGGTATATAGCGTTCCGTCCGTCCATCCTTCTGTCCGAGCTTCTGTACGGCCCATAACTTTTTAACCATGCACCCTAGCTTCACCAAACTTGCTACACACATTTACCACAATGAGTACTTGTGCCTTTTGCTAGTTTGAAGATTCTGAATTTGTTAATTTTTGCCTTTTCCATGGAAACATTAGAAACTTAAACTTTTAGGGGGTGTGTTTTGTACGGCCCATAACTTTTTAACCATGCACCCTAGCTTCACCAAACTTTCTACACACATTAACAACAATGAGTACTTGTGCCTTTTGCTAGTTTGAAGATTCTGATTTTTTTTATTTTTGCAGTTTCCATGGAATCATGGTGAAACATAAATTTTGGGTAGAGTTTTTGTACGATCCATGTTTACAATATTATGTATCCTAGCTTCAGCAAACTTGCTACATGAACCACTATGATTGTTTTTTATCTTTTATAAGATTCTGAAAGTTTTCTCTTTTGCTGTTTTCATGGAAACATGATGGAATTTAGAAATTTTGATGACTGGTTTTGTATAGCTAATATATTTTCCAAAATTGTTTCCACACATATAGATCATCATAAGTATCTGTGCTTTGTGTTAGTTTGAATTTATGAATTCTTTACCATATCTGCTAAGGCTAGATGGAAATTATTAATTTATTGATTTTCTTATATATGATATTGTTCCATTTTTTATGTGTTTTTATATCAACAATTTTTGGTCCTTTTGATAATTCTTCTTATGTAACTCCTCAATCAAATTTTTATTCAAAGGTGTTCATGGTGATCTACTTCCTCGTAGTGAACACTGGTAACATGGGAGATTTGTGGGGAGGGGGGGTCAATTGTCACTGGAACTCAATCTTAGTTTTTAAAACATTGAAGTTAAAATCAGTTAGATAATTTCATTAATTAACAAACTATTTACTATTTGTTGTTGACCAGCGGGGATAACGGGGGTATGTGAGCTTTGCTCACTTCTTTCTTGTTCTGCCTTCATGATTCCGAGGTAGAATTGCTCCCCAGCAACCTGTGATTGTCGTACGAGGCAACCTAATGGATCAGGTATCAGGTTTGGTTGTTTTGTGTGTCATCGTACACCAACGGTGTGGATTGTTGCTCATGATATCTATCACTGGTTTGCTCCGAACTTGTTTATTTACAGGCTGCTGGTATATTGGAGTACTGTGTTAAAGGGGAAGTGTACACGCAAAAATCACTTTCTTTCTTTTTCTAAACAAAACGCAATTTTAGAATTAGTTAGTATCTGTGTTTGAAAATATACACTCATTTTTTCTCACAGTGAAAGTAGGAAGCTCACAATAGTGTTAAAATGATATGCCGTTATGAGGCCTTCGTTTTACGAGCAAAATAGGCCTGAGTTATCCCCCTTAGATTATGACGTAATTGGTGCTAATTCAACTGGGTCCCTGTCTATTCTCAACGCAAAAGATATCAAGGACCAGTTTTTATGTAAAACAACATGGTCTACGACACATTCCGGCGCAGTGGTGACTCAGTATAACACAATTCTGGCTGGCATCTGAGACGCTAAAATCACAAAACTGTACCTACACCACGTGAAGCGGCTCTAACAAAGCATGATGACGTCATAATGTTTATCAATTGGCACCAATGACGTCATATTGCAAGGGGCATAAGCCATGGTGTTTTTGTTATGGAAATAGAACACTTAGTAAATGTGAAAAATATAAATCGTTTTAATGCAAAAAATATGTTAATTAAATATGATGTTTTTATATTTTTGTCTATGACACTTCTATGTTAACACTTTTAATGTGGAAAAAGTACAAGAAAAATTGGTTCATTTCCGTGTGAACTTCCCCTTTAAGCAATAGACAGGCAATCTTCTAATACCAGTGAGAGTAGTCACTATAAGGTAGTTCTTTTCTAATTGTTTGGAAAATGCTGAAATGTCCTTTTCAATTGAATTTAAGCTATGTTAGACAAAACAAACTGAATATCTTCCTGGAAATGGGAACATTAGATTGAGTGGGTGATTGAGTTTGGTCTAACGCCTCTTTGAACAGGGTTCCAGTTATATAACGGTGTGTGAGCTTGATGTGGGAGGAAAGCATGAAGTAATGCAAGTCTTTGATGTTTACCACTTTGGTGAAACCTTCGAGCATGAACACGTACCTTAGATGGCTGTGGCCCCTGTTTCCCCAGCAATGGATGGTAGCAGCTGTTGACAGAACATTGAACGATCAATTTTATCAAACTTGGCTTAGTACAGCCACAACAAGCAGAAAGAATTTTATTTTAAATATTTTAATAATACACTTAATTTAGAAAAGTTCCTTATGCTACCAAAATCAGCATCACATCCACTACTAACATTAAGAACATCAAACCATATCCCAATTGCGTTGATCGATGCTCATGATGTCAATCACTGGATTGTCTGGTCCAGACTCGATTATTTACAGACCGCCGTCATATAACTGGAGTATTGCTGAGTGTGGCGTTAAACAACAAACAAACAAACCAACAAACATCTCCTTGTGATGAGTTTACTGGGGTTAAGTTACCACAGTCTGAATGCCGTAAGACGTATTCATGGATTCATTGGTGTTGACTGTATCTTTTACCTCTCTTCCAGTGTGTTTGATGTTACGAGTTGACAACATCACAGTCGACCATCGACAGTCTCTGTCTACACTGGCCGTGGACGGAGCCAAGATTGTCTATATGCCCCAAGAGGATGATGTAAGTTGAGGCCAGTGATGACTAGTTTGCCCACAAGTAGCTTTATGCATTGACCCCAACAGATATTATTTTGGTGACTTGGATCAAGGCTTCCCATGACCTACTTTCACAACAGTCACGATGCTAGGACTAATTCCATGCTCTGACATGGGCTCTTGTGATAGTCACAGTACAAAGATATGACTAATTGAACAGTAGTAACAAAGTTAGATTTTTAACTGTGTTTTATTAACTTAGGACAAGGGCCCGGTCCACAATACGATCTCAGTGCTATAATTGTTGTTAATGAAAAAACATCAATAACAGAGAATAATCAGTCTCGATTTTCCGCCGATATTTCGTGCAAAAGTCAAGATAGTCATCAAAATTATGTAAATGGATCGCTGATACCAGGCGTTTGCGAAAAGGGTAAGCATCAAAGGTGGATCCAGCATTTTTAAAAGGGAGGGGTCCAAACTATGAAACACCTCTCTAGATAATTTTACTGCCAAAAGGGGTTGGGGGAGTCAGGACCCCCTGGACACCCTCTCTGGACTCTCCTATGAGCATGTGCTGCTCTACCAGTAGCAGTGGGAAACCAGTGTAAAAGAATGGTAGTTATGATTGTCTTAGTACTAAGATTGCTTTCAGGAATTGGTGCCAGGTTCCGCCTTGTTTGGGGTATTTGTTAGGGCTATTATGCATACAGCGTCAAGGTGGGATGAAGTAGTGAGTGTGTATGGTTTTACACCCCTTTTAGCAAAATCACAGTGGTGGTGGGGGGGGGGGGGCAACAGAAATGGGCTTCACACATTGTACACATGTGGGGAATTAAACCCAGGCCCTTCAGCATGACAAGCAAACACTTCGACCACTAGACTACCCCTACAGATAATTAAAGTGGATGTCCTGAGGAGTACTGTTTGTGTATTGTTTCTCCTAGTCAGCATGGTTACTACCGGGTACTGTCTTTCTTATTGCTTCCGACACTGCAGCATCCACTGGTAGACATTGCTTCAGCCTGTGCGTTATCTCTGCCTATTGCAGCAATACACACTGACCCGGTCCAGTGAGTTGACCAGTCCAGCCGCACAGATCAGGGAGATACGGGTCAAGGTCAAGTCTGCTGAAAAGGTACAGTGTTTCTTTTTCTGTGAGGGTAGAGTGAGTGAGTGAGTTTGTGGTTTTGCACTTCTTTCAAAGGTAGAGTGTTTCTTTTTCTGTCAGGGGGCAGGGTGGCCATGTTGTCTAAGGTGCCGCGATTCGCTGTGCAGAGTTGCGGGCCTTAGGCACGCCAGAAACCTATGATTGTGGGTTCCAATCGCGGTTCGCCCCAATTATGTTTCTAGGTTTGTCAGCACCATACCCGTGCTCGTGGGTTTCATTGAAGTGTTAAATGTCTGAGACCTGCATCACTTCGGGTTTTCTCTAATATCAAGCTGACGCACCGTGATAAGACTGGACTAATGTTAAAAGTGGCGCAATTCCACTTTTATTTCCACTCTCCCCACTGGACCACCACACTATACATGGGGTTGTTATGATATACACTGGCACTTTTACTCCTGTGTTTACTGCACAATTGCCTCTCGTTCGCTGATTCAGGAGATCCAGGTTCACATCCTGAAGGAGCTAGGACTGGAGTGGAACACGTCATGTCACATGTGTCTACAGCAGGCTCTTCTTGACTTCACTCATTTAAAGGCAATACTCAAAGGTAGGTTCTAGGGCTGGGACGAGTCCAAATTTACGACCTGGGTACCCGCCCCCCTATTACCCGACCCTACCCTACCTGGGTACCCACTGTAGGTCTCAAAATGTCCAATTGGCAACATTTTTTCATAGTCCTGGCAAAACGTATTGAGATACATGTATCAAACAATCTGGTCATTCATACACTGAAGTTGAATTAAGTTATATCTTTATTCAACCATAGGAAAAATCAGAAGGAATGGGTGCATAGTCAGAAAGAAGTGGGAACATTAGTGACTTGGAGTGTAACCATAGAGTTCCAGATAATTTTTGTCATTAAACAATATGACATGTGACTAACCACAGGTCCGGGTAGTCCTGGGGGTACCCAGGCCCAACTCAGTAACCACCCGACCTGGGTACCCGAGTTACCTGTTCCAGCACTAGTACCTTCTTTATGGTGTGTTGAGATGGGTTGCCAGTATTCTGTCTGTACATTCAATTCTAACCACCCAAGAGAATTTTTACTACTTTTCTTGAGATAGTATTTCAGTAGTAGTGGATAGTAGTCCTCTTGTATATTTAGACACAAATAGCCATACTTTATGGGAGAGCACAATACTTCAATCATCTTATTTTCAGCAATTTTTAGTGACGAGAATTGGTAAAAATCACAATTTTCTGTGAATGTTAAGATTGAAAATGATAAAAAGTATTTCAGTATGATTTCAGTAACCATGGTAATCATTACAAACCTATTATTTACTTTGTTTGGCACTAAGCCCACCCCAAGGATAAACGCTCTTTTCCCGATATCGCTAAACGTGTCGTCTGTAAACCTCACTGTTACTGAGAAGACATGTACCACCTCTGAGGTCTTGTGGTAGAGCGGAAGGTCGGGGATTCGATCCCCGGCAGGTGTCATACCAGGAGATATTAATAGAGTGTACTTGTTGTTACCCTGCCTGTCGCTTGGCATTAAGGGTCTTTAACAAGGACAGGTCGGCTCGGAGTCAGTATACTGTGTCTGAATGGGTATTTATGTTAAACTGCAGCATGGTATCTCAGGGAGCTAGCACTATAAAATCAGCATTGGTCCGGACTAGTACAAGCAGCCATGCACACTAGTGCATCCACGTCGCTATATAAGTGCAATAACCTTGAACGCAACATTAAATCCCATTTCATCTCACTTCATCTGAATAGATATTCTGCTTGGTCGGTCTTAACTCGAGTCCAAGCTGTCCATTCCTAGCTGGCTACCAATACAATGCTGATTTTGACACCTGGTGATGTTTTTTGACAGCAAAAGAAGACAATCCTCTATCACCTCCAAAGTCTTCCTCTGAGAAGTCTTCCAGTGTGTGTGTGAATGTCCTGGTACATGCAGAGACTAGGCTCACCCTGCAGCTGTCTAGAGGACACAGGTAAGTGCTAAATGGACACAGGTAGGTGCTTAATGGACACAGGTAGGTGTCTAGGGAACAGGTGTCTCGAGGATACAGGTAGGTGCTTAATGGACACAGGTAGGTGCTTAATGGACACAGGTAGGTGTCTAGGGAACATGTGTCTAGAGGACACAGGTAGGTGCTAAATGGACACAGATAGGTTTCTAGGGAACAGGTGTCTAGAGGATACAGGTAGGTGTCTAGGGAACATGTGTCTAGAGGACACAGGTAGGTGCTAAATGGACACAGATAGGTTTCTAGGGAACAGGTGTCTAGAGGATACAGGTAGGTGTCTAGGGAACATGTGTCTAGAGGACACAGGTAGGTGCTTAATGGACACAGGTAGGTGTCTAGGGAACATGTGTCTAGAGGACACAGGTAGGTGCTAAATGGACACAGGTAGGTGCTTAATGGACACAGGTAGGTGTCTAGGGAACAGGTGTCTAGAGGACAAAGATAGGTGCTTAATGGACACAGGTAGGTGCTTAATGGACACAGGTAGTTGTCTAGAGAACAGGTGTCAAGAGGACACAGGTAGGTGCCTAGATGACACAGGTAGGTTCTTAATGGACACAGGTAGGTGTTTAGAGGACCCATGTAGGTGCTTAATGGACACAGGTTAGTGCTTAATGGACACAGGTAGGTGCTTAATGGATACAGGTAGGTGTCTAGAGAACACAGGTAGGTGTCTAGAGGACACAGATAAGTGCTTAATGGACACAGGTAGGTGTTAAGAGAGCACAATGAAGATTGTTTTGTGATAACTATGTGGTACATCATTTTCCCTCCACCGTGTTTATGCAGCTTGTTAATGTAAAAACAATATCATTCACCTCCAGCGTGACAGTGACGACAGACAGCATCCTGCTGACCGCCACTCTGCCTGACATGTTGATGGAAGTGCAGAACTTCACCGTGCAGTTCGACCAACATCGGACAGTCACCATCAAGGTAGGATTGGTCCTGCAGCAACTTCAACTGCATCTTTGTCACTGCGCCCGGATTATGGTTCTACTTTTGTCAGCACCATACTCATGCTCGTGAGTTTCATCAAAGTGGTAAACGTCTGAGACCTGAATCACTTTGGGCTTTCCTCCCACATCAAGCTGACACACCATTATATAACAGGAATACTATTCAAAGCAGCGTTAAAACCCAACTCACTCACTTTTTTGGTTATTGGCTTCTATTTGAGAAATTCAAGAATTTTGATATTGTATGCTTTTGTCATGTGCGGCATAGTGATGAAAAAAGACTGAATCTATGTATTTTCTCCATATCTATTGTGAAGATAATTACCAACTTGCAGTGACCTCTTCCTAGAGCCCAGTAGCCTGGAATCAGCTGACTTAGGAAGTGATATGGCATCACCCACAGTGATGAAGCTCACTGCTAGGGTCATAGTACAGTGTTTGATGTAGGATGTAACACACAGCCATCATCCTAAAGAACATGGCTGTATGTTACATCCCTAAAGAACCGGTCCGTGAAGATCCGGGGTAGAATAGGCCTTCAGCAACCCATTCTTGCCGTAAAAGGTGACTATGCTTGTCGTAAGAGCCGACTAACGGAATAGGGTGGTCAGATTTGCTGACTTGGTTGATCCATGTCATCGTATCCCAGTTGCGTGGATCGATACTCATGATGTAAATCACTGGATTGTCTGGTCCAGACTTGATTATTTACAGACTGCCGTCATATAGCTGGAATATTGCTGAGTGCCGCGTTAAGCAACAAACAAACAACCAACCTAAAGAACAAGGCGTGATAAGAGGCCTTGTTACCCTCAGGATCCTCAGAAGGAAATGAGTATTTTTTATTAAATTCATTGTGAAAGGTATCTGATATATTTATATGAATGAGAATTTGACAACACTATCATGTCAACACTAGCATGTTTTAAAAAACTCATAACAAATGTAGATGCAGAGTGAAGGCTAAAACAATCTCATTAAAATCAGATCTTAGTTCTCGCTCCCGCTAAACAAAGATCTGAGGACATCCCATTACAGGTCACGTCAGAACGACCTTTCTCGAATTTTGACCGACCAATGAAATGACTGACAAGAAATCGACATTAGCCAATCAGAAGGCAGCTTTCTCAAGCTTTATGACACTAGTTTCAAACTGGCAACTACGCTTCGAAACATATTTTGACGTATTCTCGATTAAAAAAATTAAAACTGATAAGAAGAACACTCTGGAATGGCTTATAGATGGCCTAGATTGTATGGATATAATCATAAAACCCGTAACTGTCGTTCGGAATACCCCGTGTTAAATATTTCGTGGTTGCATGATTAGAAAACACGTTCTGACTGTCACTTTCATGATCTGGTAAGCAACGCTCTGATTGGTCGGATGAAAGGTCGTTCTGATGTGACCCCTAATGGGATGTCCTCAGATCTTTGTTTAGCGGTAGCGAGTACAAAGATTTGATTTAATGAGATTGAGGCTAAAATGTCTAAAAAATGATGATTTTTATGGTTTCTGAGTACCTGTTTTTTATTATTGGAACATCATCAAGTCTACATTTCGTACAAGATAATGACTACAAACAGGTGGTCAATAATGAATCTTGGCACACATACTTCTCTCCTGAAGTTGGCTTCATTCATTTAAGCCATATTTCCAAAACTTTCAAAAGTAGAAAAGACAAAATGGCTAGTTATCAACCATTTGAACATAAATTGTAAGTTTTATAAAAAAATTAAAAGTTTTAAAAAACTTTAAAATTTGACATTTCCAGTTGGCATAAGAGGGCCTTTATCCTACCGCCTCATTTTTGTCAATGAATGATTTAGGGGATCTAAGTTATAAATATTAGACAAGAACCAAGACTCCCTGTTATATATACCACTCAAAAGAAGTTAAAGAACACCTGATTTGTTCATGTGACTATATTTAACCTGTCATGTCATGTCATGAGGGATTCACATTAGTCACATGGAAAGATTTAATGTTCTTTAACAATTTTGAGCAGTATATATACCAGCACCTTATAGCATGTAACCAGTCATTATATTTACGTGGGGGCACCGGGTGACCCAGTTGTCTAAGGCGCCGCGATTCGCTGTGCAGAATTGCGTCCCTTGGCACGCCAGAAACCTATGATTAGGGGTTCGAATCCCGGTTTGCCCCGATTATGTTTCTAGGTTTGTCAGCACCATACCTGTGCTCGTGGGTTTCACCGAAGTGGTAAACGTCTAAGACCTGCATCATTTCGAGCTTTCCTCCCACATTAAGCTGACACGCCGTGATATAACTGGAATAATGTTAAAAGCGGCATTAAACCCAACTCACTAACTAACATTTTATTTACGAAATATATTGTTTGGGGGGAGTCTACAGAATGCTTATTGATTAAGACCTGAGTGTGACTACAGTATAATTACCATGTCTATGACATCAGGACCTCGTCGTGGAAACTCTCCAGCCATCAACACTGAGTGCTGTCAGACAAGGGGTCCGGAAACTCACCCTGCCCACAAACAAAGCATGGTAAGTCAAGTCAGCTCATTGAATTACCTACAAGCTGCGACCAGTTACAGATTCATTGGCCTTGAATTAACCTTGTAAGTCTCGAGCCTTGTCTTCTCACTGACCCTGTAAGGAGTCAGGGTTAGAATAGGTCCCCAGCGCCCTTTGCTGGTTGTGAAAGGTGACCAAATGGGTCGGGTGGTCAGGATTGGTGACTTGGTTGGTAGCGTTGTTTGTTTGTTTGTTATTTAACGCTGCACTCAGCAATATTCTAGCTATATGACGGTGGTCTGTAAATAATCGAGTCTGGACCAGACAATCAAGTGATTGACATCATGAGCATTGATCTACCCAATTGGGATACGATGACATGCATCAACCAAGTCAGTGGGCCTGACTACCCGATCCCGTTAGTCGCCTATTACGATAAGCATAGTCGCCTTTTATGGCAAGCATGTGTTGCAAGACCTAATCTACCCCGGATGTACCTCGACAACGTGAATTATTGCTCACAGTGTGGATCACTGGATTGTGATGGACATGACAGATTAACTACACTCATATGAAATTATTTGATGTTTTTTAACTTCTTTTGAGTGGTATTTTAATGAGATTACAAACAAAATGACTCAGTTGAGAGAAGTCAAGTTTTTGGTTGAAAAACTTTCTGTATTGATAAAGAAATTGATAAACAATATTTGCAAAGATAAACAAAAAGAAAGTATGTGTCAATGTGGTGCGAACTCAGCTATAAAAATTACCTATTGTAATCAACATGCAACTAAAACTTTCATCTGTGTTTCAGGAGCATATCGTTTAACAGTTTCGAGATTGTGTTTCCCTACAAGTACAACTTCGCCGCCTGCTTTGAGGAGGTAAGACATCACAACCTTTCTGTTAACAAATTCTAGACAAATGCACCCGCCTATGTTCTTTCTAGCAGATTCTGGCTCAATGAAGGAATGCAGATTTTCATGCCATGACCTATTAACTTTAGGTGAGGTGAGGTGAGGTGAAATGGGGTTTAACGTCGCGTCCAAGATTATTGCACTTATATAGCGATGTGCATGTACGTGTGTGTGTTTGTGTGGCTGCTTGTACTAGTCCGGACTGATGCCGATTTATAGTGCTAGCTCACTGAGATACCATGCCGCAGTTTAACATGAAAACCCCACTCAGACACAGTATACTGACTCCGAGCTGACCAGTCCTTGTTTTAGCCCCTTAACGCCGATCGTCAGACAGGGTAACAAGAAGTACCATCTTTTATTGTCTTTTGGTATGACGCGCCCGGGGATCGAACCCCGGACCTTCCGCTCTCCGGGCGGACGCTCTACCACTAGACCACAGAGGCGGTCTATTAACTTTAGTAATATGAAAGAATCAGGTGGTCCTTAACTTTTGTGAGTAGCCGACCCCTTTCTACAGAATCTTTGTCTGGTCCTCAAAATTCGGCTTATCTGCGGATATATACGGTTTTATCAAAATTTGAGATCATTCAAAAAAGCATTACAAAAATTGTGAGAATATAACATTTTATAAAAAATATATTGTATACAATTATTGGGTATGATTAACAAAATATTTTGTACATTCTTACCCCCATCTTCCCGAGGCAAGGGAGTTAACTAAAAGTCCAGTTTCCACCCTTGCAATACTGGGCTGGAACTTCTGGGCTCAATCGAAGCGTCACCAGTGGCTTTTACAAGTTATGTCCCAACAATGTCCCTCCTATTGACCAATCAGATTCTACCTCTCATATCACTTACATTTGCCTCAAACAAAATGGCGGAACCCAGTCAAGACGATCTGACCGTGATCGATAATCAAAATCTATTTTGTGATAACCTAGGTTTTACTTTGTGAAGTGCATCAAATCATGTGAGGACCGTGATTAAAAACATGAAAAGATTTGAATAATATCTGTTGGCGGTACACATTCTTTGCAAATCCTGCAATCAACTGAAATCTGGACGTCAGTTTACAAACCGGATGTTGATTTCGTTACGCGATTTGATTGGACTAGGCATAAACTTGTTAGCCCAGCCAAAATGTAACTCCATAATTCCAGCCGAGGTCAGCAAAGGTGGAATCTCACTCCCTTGCCTCTTGAAGGTGTCTCACCCCATAAATGTCATATCAGTGAATAAAGCTGTACTTCAGTACCGTGGTACTCTGCTTTTTGATAAAACCACACACAGTGTAATGCCTACAACTGCTTTGCCAATGATAAAGATAGATGCACCCTTGCAAGGATGTTTCTTGTAAACCAGGGGGGCACGGGTGGCCCAGTCGTCTAAGGCGCCGCGATTCTCGGTGCAGAGTTGTGTCCCATTGGCACGCCAGAAACCTGTGATTGTGGATTCGAATCCCAGTTCGCCCTGATCATGTTTCTAGGTTTGTCAGCACCATACCTGTGCTCGTGGGTTTCACCGGAGTGGTAAACGTCTGAGACCTGCATCACTTCGGGCTTTCCTCCCACATTAAGCTGACACGCCGTGATATAGCTGGAATACTGTTTAAAGCGGCGTTAAACCCAACTCACTCACTCACTCATTCTTGTAAACCACTACCGTTTTCGCCGTAATAAGCGCCCCGCTCTAATAAGCACCCATGGCTATATTTGCTGATATGTTCGCTAGTGAACAATCCCAATTGGCACCCTTCCGATTGATCATTGTACACAAGACTTAATTTTTCGCGTATAATACGCACTCGTGTGTTATATGTACCCTTAATTATGGGCAATTAAATTCTGGAAAAATATATCTGTCGTACATAAATATTTCAGGCTGTCAGCAGAAACCACGAAATATATCTTTCAACTCTGTTTTTTTCACCAAAATATCTTTCTAATAAGCGCCCCCTGTTCCTAATTTTGAGAGCGCCCTGGGTGCTTATTACGTCAAATACGGTATGTGTTTTCACCCATCTAATTGTTACGTCGTAGGTTGTGAACTTTGTGAAATGGCTGAAGCTGGTGCACCACATCAAGAAGAAGCCCTTCACAGTCGACAGTCCTCTCCCTCCAGATCTGCAGATTAAAGTCAAGGTAAGCTGTAGGAAATATGCTCAATAAATCACCATAACCCAATTATTTCAATCAGAGTTGCCTGCGTACATGAGAAAAACAGTAGTTTAACAACACTGTGTGAAGTTAATTCGCCAATGTCGTCTTTTCAGCTTGCATGCCTGTATGTCTTTGCTGATCGCTATAAATTTTACTTATCAATTGCGACCTGTGAAGTTCCGGGGTAGAATAGGTCTTCAGCAACCCACGCTTGCCGTAAAAGGCGACTTTGTTTGTCATAAGCGGCGACTAACGGGATCTGGTGGTCAGGCACACTGACTTGGTTGAAGCATGTCATCGTATTCAAATTGCGTGGATCAGTGCTCATGATGTCAATCACTGGATTGTCCGGTCCAGACTCGATTATTTACAAACCGCTGTCATATAGCAGGAATATTGTTGAGTGCGGCGTTAAACAACAAAAAAAAACACAAAAAACTTATCAAATGCAGGCATTATGTATATACATGAACTGTTCTGAATTTTGTGACTTATGCAAGAAAGTGCTATTAGCGCTCCTTTAACTGAGACATATATATTGCTGCTGTCTGCTTATTCAATATGTGACACTTGGGCATATAAGGATGCAAATTAGAAGGCACCTGAGCGGTTTTACTATTAAGTAGAATTATTTTTGAAAAAGGTTCACGCATTGGTTTAAGACTACCAAATAGACTGGACCCAAAGAAATGACAATATACTGAATACCCTAATAATATCACAAGTCAACAATAAGTAAGTAAATATTCAATGGCTTACCAAATTATACCCCAGCATTGATATTAATATCATAACTATGCAGTGTTGTGGTTCTGTATTGTGATCAGGGCGGCTAACATGATAAATTGATTTGATATGTACTCTGGCAAACGCAATCAGTCGTGTGACAATCAGAATAATTTTGAAAGCTACATGTCTGACTGGCCTCCAAGGAAACCAAATAGACGTACGAAGCCTACAGTACCTACTTCAGCCAAGACTTCACCTGATGCGTACACTGAAGTTTTTGAATGCAGATGATGCATAAGAAAGCTTTTGTTTGAAACCACAAATAAGTCACAACCACCTGGAAAATGATGAACATGTGAAACTCGCTCAGTACACAGTTTGATTCACAAAATAAATGTGGGTATTCAGAAATAAAAAAGGATCATGTCAACCTAATGAAAAAGACAACTGACAACTACTTATTATGAAGCCTTTGCGAAGTTCACTGAGTTTGATGATAGATCAAACATGTTCTTATAGTTGGCACACTTTAATCCCAAGGACACTGCTAAACATCTTTACGATCCCTGTGGTACACTTGATTAACAATACATTTCTATCGCTGGAATGTTTCCTATCTCCTTTCCAGTTCTTCAGTGTACAGATCTGTGATGACCCCTTTGAGGTGAAGCTTGGTGACAACTACGAGGTATGGTGGAAAACAGAACTAGTGTCCAACAATGAATATTCTGGGTGTTCAAAGTCCATGTGATTTTGTGTGATTCTGTGTCAGTGTGTCAGTGTGTCAGTGTGTGATTTATGTATCTTTAGGTGTGTGATAGCATGTGATATATGTGTGTATGTCTGCATATGTGTTATATATCTGTGTCTGCATATGTATGATATATATATGTATGTGTGTGTCTACATGTGTTATATATATGTGTGTCTGCATATGTACGATATATATATGTGTGTATGTCTGCATATGTGTTATATATCTGTGTCTGCATATGTATGATATATATATATATGTGTGTGTCTACATATGTGTTATATATATGTGTGTCTGCATATGTATGATATGTATATGTGTGTGTGTGTGTCTACATGTGTTATATATCTGTGTGTCTGCATATGTATGATATATATATGTTTGTGTGTCTGCATATGTAACATAATGCGTGGTACATGTGGGATTATTTTTAAAGTGAAAAAAACATAATATGTTCATGAAAATGTTGGAACAAAATTAATGAAATCCTGTTATATTCCTAAAAAGAATTCTTTGTTCCTTTAATAATTTTGTATTTGTGTCTTGAAGCAATGATTGAAAAGATATCCTGTCTCAAACAATCCCAGACTCGCCAGAGTATTAAATGGACAGTCTCTAACTTCTCTCCAAAGTTTATGTGTCAGCTCTGTCACCTTCTTTTTGCCCTGTATCTGTAGGGCTGTATATTATAGACATATGAAGTTGAGGGTGTGAGTTGGGTTTAACCCCCTTTTGAACAGTATTCAAGTCATATCAAGGCCTGTCACTTTACTTAAGGAGGAAAGCACAAAATGATGCAGGTCTTAGGCATGAACCACTTTGTGACACCCATGGCATCATCGATATGGAGTTCATAAACCTAGAAACATAATCATGGTGATTCTCAGATTCGAGGGGAGGTGAGGCGTTCAAGATTATTCCACTTATATAGCGATGTTCGTGTGTGTGTGGCTGCTTGTATTAGTCCGAACTTGTACCAAATTTATTGCTAGCCCACTGAGATACCATTCCACATTATCCAGTCCTTGTTTTATTCCCTTAGTGCCGAGAGCCAGGCAGGGCAACAACAAGTTCCATCTTTTAGCGTGTTTTGTTTGATGTGTCCATGGGATCCAAATTTGAACTATAGACCTCGAGCTGGGGACAGTGCTTCAGTTATTCATTTTTTATGATGGCCAACACAACTTTTAAACATTTTTGTATGTATATGAATCTGAGGTGTGTGTCAAAGACCATGTGATTTTGTGTGATTCTGTGTCAGTGTGTGATTTATGTGTATTTTGGTGTGTGATAGCATGTGATATATGTGTGTGTCTTCATATGTGTGATATATGTGTGTGCGTCTGCATATGTGTTATATATCTGTGTGTCTGCATATGTATGGTGTGTGTGTGTGTGTGTGTGTGTGTGTGTGTGTGTGTGTGTGTGTGTGTGTGTGTGTGTGTGTGTGTACTGTTTGTGATATGTGTGATAATCTGTGTTTGGGTGATAATCTGTGTTTGTGTGATAACATGTGTCTGTGTGATAATCTATGTGTGTGTGATAACCAGACCTGTCAACCCTCCCGCATTTTGCGGGAGACTCCCGCAATTTGATGAAATCTCCCAGTCTCTCGCAAGATGGACTATTTCTCCCGCAAAACAGAATTCTTCATTATTTAAAAAATTCGCCTCCAATGTCCCGTGAGTAAAAACAAAGAACGGGAAGTTTGCGTCCCGATCTGTCCGGTAGGCTCCCGGATTAGCGACCCTTATCACAGCCACCCGCAGGGGGACCCAGATGGGCCTTTGTCCAGTAATCAACTGGTAATTAAATTCATATGGTGAACGATTGAACAAGGTAAATTGTTTAGAAAACTCGGATAGTCCTAACAGGTGCCTGAAGGGTTGAACTTGAAATGAAAAATCAGCCAAGTATTCATCACTTCATGAAATGAACTGTTGTCTTCATGTTCTTAGCGTGTTTATTCTTCCATAATTTAAGAACGTAGATACATATGGCCGGTCCAGTTATACATGACTTTATTGGTGATCAGAAACTTTGTTAAAACATCAACATACCTCAAAGTTACGTCATTGAACTCTTGGAAATGAAAACAAAATATGTCCTGCAAGCGCCGTCTTCAGAAACAACACTATGCGTGATTGGTTGATTCGGTAGTCGAAATAACAATGAGTTACCAATCAGGCTTCCTCACAGCTAGGATTTCAAAGTCAAAGTTCAAAGTGAAACTTATAAATTTCCTTTTGACTGACATCGTGACTTGTGTGCACAGAAAATATCAAAACAGAACTTTATCAAATTTCGCGAGAATGTATCATGTGATTATTTTACAAGATTTGATTGGCTAATAGTTTTCTTGCGTCCCAGATCTGCAATCTAATTTGCATACAACAGTACTAGTCAACCAATGAGATTAATACACGTCAAGGTCAGAAAGGTCAACAACGACAACGAGACTCATTTCATCCATAAATAATAGTACTTCCAAATATGGCATACATTTCTTGGAATGGAATAACGTGAACATTTCTAGGAAATTTAAGAAGCGAAGTAATGGGACTGTCAACAGACTACCGCAGACAGAAAAAAACCAGTATATCTTATTGAAATTAAGGGCGCTGATGTTGCGTCAGGATAAATGCATTTCTTTGGCGAATTTTGTAACTAACATCGCGCCAAATACCCAGAAAACCTGCATCGTAATGAAGCCTGACAACTGGTTGGATTGAACACAGACACACACGTCGTCAACTGGTCAAGCTACCGTTTGTGAAATTTCAATATCTGTTTGCGTTTATCTGAGATGATCTTTGAACGAAAGTTATATGGGTAGATTGTGCTGGGTTTATTTTTGGAGGAGGAAAATGCAAACAGAAATTAAGCAAGCTAGACGTATAAGAAACATTGATTATTTATTGTTTCAAAATATTTGGTTTTCTTTGTAACATTATTAAAAATAAAAGTTGGAAATTATCTTATCTTCACTATCTTAAAAATCTCCCCCTTTGGAGGCAAATCTCCCCCTTTTTGAAGTCAAATCTCCCACATTCCCTTACAAAAAAAAAACCCAGAAAAGATGTATCCGAGACCGCCCCGAGACCGTCCCGATGCATCTTTTGTGGGATTTTAGCCAATTTTTATGGTCTCGGCTAGCCGAGACTTTGCGGAGACCCATCGAAGACTATTCTGGGGAATAATCAAGTACTTCCCCACAAAGGCATTAACCTACCGAAGACGTTTCTAGTGCATCTCCACTAGCAGGGGATGTCTTAGGAGATCTCTTAAGATGTCTCCGATACGTCTTCGCTAGCGAAGACCTTCAAAACAACTTTGCAAAGACTATTCGGAGACTTCCTCAGAAGGGCCATAAAGTAGCTGAAGGTTTGCAAAGATGTATCAGTGCATCCTCGCTAGCGAAGACCCCACAAAGACTTTGTGAGGACTATTCGGAGACTTCCTCATAAGGCAATAAAATAGCTGACTGTTTGCAAGGATGTATTGAGTGCATTCTCACTAACGAAGACCCCACAAAAACATTTGTGGGGACTTTTTGGAGACTTCTTTACAAACAAACAAAATTGAAAAGATACTGTGGAGTCTTCTTTGCTTGTGGAAATCTTCGAAAGAACTTTGCAAAGACTATTCAGAGACTTCCTCACAAGGCAACTTGATAACCGGTTTGCAATGATGATGTGAATGCATCCTCACTAGCCAAAACTATATGAAGACTTTTGTAAGTGTATATCTTTCAAAGACTTCCTTTCAATTGATACAGATCAATACATTGAGCTTTAGTCAAGATCTCGGAAAACTAGGTCCCTTGCTTGGAAGAGATGACATGATCATTATTATTTATTTTGAATTTTCTTTAAGGATAATACTAAAGCTCTTTATCTAAAACATTCACATGCAATGAATTAGAAATCCTATATATGTCAGCAAGGACATTAATAATTAAATACCCAACACAATTAATGCTTCGAGGTATATTTCTATTAAATACAGTTAAAACAAATGCAGGAATTATCAGTATGCAATAATCAGAAAAAAAGAAAGAAATGTACAATATATTCATAAATTCCAATCAGAAAGTAACAGTGTCCGTGTGCCATATAACAGTCTCCTCAGAAAAAGGTATATAAGAAAAGGCAACATAAAGTAATATTACTTGTAGACATAGTGGCTGATTTGTGGCTCAAGATATACATGACAGGGATCGAAATTAAATTTATTTCAAGTTTGCCAATGGGCACAATTATGCCAAATTAAGTGTGCCATTACATTTTTAGGGGTGCCAGGAAATACATGATTGGCTGTTTTAATGGTTATAATCATAATTCAAATACAAGTCAAGTGACTGTCATAGTGTTTATTCAAGTTAAATTATACTTAGAATGAATGATCAATCAGAAAATTCAAACACATCACTCAAGTTACTCATTGTCTTTGTACCTTAGTAAGTACTGCAATACCAGTTATAATAGTCTCAGGATTTATGAGCTTCTGTTCACAACTGGTATATTTTAATTGTAGCTGTTCTGTGTCCATTGGGTGTGGTCCCTCTTCATCCCCCCCCCCCCCCCCCCCCCATATGAAAGTTATGTTTATCACATTATTTAAATGATGCATTTACAACTAAATTAAGTGTGTTGTAAATAAAAATAATCCAAGCTAACACATTCATAACGTCCAGATTAAGGACAGAGGAAACAAAAATTTGACGATTTTCAGAACTTAGATCTACCAAAGACGTATATATACGTCCGTGGATCTACCTATTTATTGTTGTTGTTGTTTTTCATATTTATTGTTTACGTAGATCTAGACTCTAATCGGAAAATTATTTTCAAAAGAATTATTAATAATATCTGTCATCATTTTCCCGATGACAGTGGCTGTCCACTCTGTAGCATGGAGAAATATCTCCGTTTTCGAAGCTTCGCATGAATAACACGTACCATGTGACACACCATTATCTTCTACGTTTATTTTGTCATCTACACGATAGTCACCTCGCCTTGAGTATTTACATTACAATAACATGCTATTTTATTGGTTTCTGGTGACGCTTTCTTGCCGAAATCTGCTATAAGATTCGTGATTGGTCAAATTGAGCACGTGACCTAATACAACCAATTACAGCAACGGTACTCGTGTATGTCAGACTTTGACGAGTGTTTTTTGTTAAATCGTGTTGTTCTGAACGTTTTAAGCAGGAAATCGCGATCTATATTAAAAATATGAAACTTCGTGGATGTATCGTGCCAGGTTACGAGCTGAGACAAAGATTTTTCTTGCATATATTTGGCATTAAACATTGTGGAGAAATCGAGGCGATAAAACTATTAAAAGCCGCGATGCCATTTGACTCGCACGCGACCGCACGAAAAGATGGAAATGATAACTTATATCTAAGTTTGACAACTTTGAGACAGATAAATAATTTTGTTGATTTCATTTATTACTTTGTAAAATATATCTAAAGATTTGATTGACACGTTTTTATTTTGCTCTTTGATTTGTTCGATGTGGACCCATTGTCAAAGTGTGTGTCGGTGAATTCTATTTTCAATAACATTGCGGGAAATAGATCTAGTGAATAATATTTTAATCTATCGATAAAAAATAATAATTTCAAAGAGAAGCAAAAACTGAAAAAGAGAGTCACCAAACCTTCATCGAGATAGAATCTACGCCGACTCTGAGTTCAGCAAGGATGACAACGTATATGTTCCTGAACAAACGGTAGGTACACTTTAGATCTGTTTGTGTTACATAAATATATTTTTAAAATATAGCCCTCTATATTGTCGTCATAACAATTATCATAACAATTATGCTAAATAAATCCACCGAAACGACCCCCGATCAAAACCAATTCTCACTTAGATATTGAACTTAGTTTTAGCATTCGCTGAAAGAGAAATCTTTTTTCAAGCTCAATTTATAAATCGTAAATTTATGTTCTAATTTGGAACCTCAAACTGAAATAAGTCAGTTAGAAACTTCAATATTAGACCCTTTACTCATCTAATTTGGGACTATTTATGAAAAATAATAGGCGCAGATGTAATTTTGTAATATTGCGCAGGCCCTTCAGATTTCATGTTTCGATCACATCGTGGTTCTCCGTAAATTTACGGAGAGCACCGATGTGGGACTGAGATAAAAAGTATTTCTTCAAAACAAATTATGTATATGGTCACTGAAATGTGAAATATGATCGCAGACTGTAGTTATAAGTTTATAAAATTATTGAATTAATAGATAACAAATTATATATTTGTATTTTGTTAAACTCTATTTATCTTAAGTTGTATTTGAAATTAAAACTTAGTTTTTTTTTACAAACAAATGTCCATTGTTATATGGTAATTAGTACGGAAATCGCCGCCATTTTGTAACCTGCTGTTTTATAACGAGGATGTTGGTTGATATTTTTTTAAGAACTCGTAAGTAAGGGAAACTTATGTTTTGTAACGTTTGTTTGAAATAGATATATGTTCCCAGTAAATGTGGTGGTCTTATCGTTTTCCCTGTCGACATGATCCTTCGCCATCGCGGTATAGATCCTGAATTACGTTTTGGACTGGCACCAGGTTGTTGAAATTTTGGCAAAGTTGCCAGTGTCAACTTTTTTGTGTGACCAGCAATACCCGCCTTTTAGTTTTAGGTTATTAATGAATGCAACTTGATTTTTCAGCCCCCTTCCTTGTGGTGATTTTTGAAAACAAAAAAGGAACGATACTTCATAGGAAGACGTGAACTCCTGCTGATGTGCCTTTTTCATGAGAAGGGATCAAGGAAAAGAAGCCAGTTGCTGCCTTGTGGCCAGCAACTTGGTGTTTTTACGATGCTACCGACACCGATGTGGTACTCGAAGGTCAGTATCTTTGTTAAGTGTCAGGTAAATTTCATTTCAGGTTAATGGAACTGTAACTAAATAAGTTATATGAAACTAACTGGTACTTACAAAGTGCACACACAGACTTGTAAGGTAAAGGTTTAATTTTTATAATTTAATATCAGAATCATAGTAAGGAATCAATAGGTTTTACAATCTAAATATCCTTCCTGTGTTTAACTTTTGAGCCAATATGAGTACTTGTAAATGTCAAAACCATTTTTTACATTTTTCTAGAACACAATGACATTTGAATGTTTAATGCTTTGGTCAACTGACATGGACATATCAATATTAAGTGAATATCTAATCACAAGATGTTAACTAATTGACATCATTTAAAATCTAGTTTTGGTACAAGTGGTAAGTTTTGTAACTTTCAAGTCATCATACATTTGGACTGGAACCATTTCACCTGAGTGCAATTTTAATGCTCTTATCTTGTTTGCAATTTATTTTTACTGTATCATGAATTATGAAGCTTTGATTTATAATCCAGTGTAACATGTTATTTTTATCATCAGTTCTGAAACCGGCAAAGAAAAAACAACTGGAACTTTGTGGTGAGCAAGAAGATCTGCACGCTTTCAAGTGAATGAGCCATGGTTTGTTTCTTTGACCATAACATCAGTAATTTTGTAGCCCCCAAAAGTAATAGTTTTTAATGAGTCTCCTTGACGTCTGGGGGCGGTCGGGTAGCCTAGTGGTTAAAGCGCTCGCTCGTCACGCGGAAGACCCGTGTTCGATTCCCGACATGGGTACATTGTGTGAAGCCCATTTCTGGTGTCCACCGCCGTGATATTGCTGGAATATTGCTAAAAGCGGCGTAAAACCATACTCACTCACTCACTCCTTGACGTCTGACATAAAGTAATTAGTTTATGGCACTGATTGGGGCTGTCCGGTAGCCTAGTGGTTAAAGATGGTTCGTCACGCCAAAGACCCGGGTTCAATTCCCGACATGAGTACATTGTGTGAAGCCCATTTCTGGTGTCCCCCGCCGTGATATTGCTGGAACATTGCACAAAAGCGGCGTAAAACCATACTCACTCACTCATTATGTCACTGATATACAATAACATTTGATCCCATTTCAGCCTCTTGAAGGACAGCTTCCATGACGACCCCTGCCAGGACGAGGATGACTTCCCCTTTCATATGATGACTTCCACTTTCATATGATGGCTACCATATAATGATATCTTCTGTTGATGATGTCCACCTCTGGCTACTTGTTATTGCTGTTATTACTCCAAATAAAGAGAATACTATACAACTTCGTTATCTCATTTTTGACAGTACAGGTTTGGCAAGGATGTTTCACAGACACTTCTGGGATGCTGTTGAAAGACTAGATTATGATGTAAGCACATCTTTTGTATTACTGAAAATGATGGAAAGGTAAAATGTCTCTGAAACATCTTTGTTATGGAGACTTCCTTAGAACTTTGCCGGGATGGTTCAAAGCATGTTAAATTACCCATGACAGGTTTGTGAAGACACTTCAGAGACTTCCTTGCAAGTGTTGCGGGGATGCTTCAGAAGCATCTTTGATTGCATAACGCAAGTTTGTGGGGACTTATCAGGGACTTGCTCAGAAGGTTTCCCGGGATGGTTCAAAGCATATTTAATTACCCCTGATAGGTTAGCGAAGATGCTTCGGAGACTTCATGCAAGTTTTGCTGGGATGCTTCAGAAACACCTTTGATTACCTAATAATAGTTTGTGGAGACTATTCGGGGACTTCCTTAGAAGGTTTCCCGGGATGGTTCAAAGCATATTTAATTACCCCTGATAGGTTTGCGAAGATGCATCGGAGACTTCCTTGCAAGTTTTGCTGGGATGCTTCAGAAACACCTTTGATTACCTAATAATAGTTTGTGGAGACTATTCGGGGACTTCCTTAGAAGGTTTCCCGGGATGGTTCAAAGCATATTTAATTACCCCTGATAGGTTTGCGAAGATGCTTCAGAGACTTCCTTGCAAGTTTTGCTGGGATGCTTCAGAAACATCTTTGATTACCTAATAATAGTTTGTGGAGACTATTCGGGGACTTCCTTAGAAGGTTTCCCGGGATGGTTCAAAGCATATTTAATTACCCCTGATTGGTTTGAGAAGACGCTTCGGAGACTTCCTTGCAAGTGTTGTGGGGATGCATTAGAAACATCTTTGATTATGTCACACACGTTTGTGGAGAATAATCAGGGACTTCCTAAGTGGGTTTGCCGAGATGATTCAAAGCATATTTAATTAGCCATATAAGGTTAATTCTGAGGAAGTATCGGAGACTACTTCAGTAGGTACTGTAAGGAAGTCTCGGATACTTCTCAGCAAGCTGCAAGTTGGAGTAGTTTGCCGAGATGGGGTGGAGACATTTGCCGGGAATATCTAGAGACTTCCTTAAGACCCTGCGGAGAAGGTAAAAATGTGCCTTGCGGGGAATGATTAAGGCGGTCTCGGATGCATCTTTTTTGGCCTTTTTTTTTTGTAAGGGTTGTCATGATGAGGTTTTGACAGGTCTGGTGATAACATGTGTCTGTGTGATATGTGTGATAATCTGTGTTTGTGTGATAACATTTGTCTGTGTGATATGTGTGATAATCTGTGTTTGTGTGATAACATGTGTCTGTGTGATAATCTATGTTTGTGTGATAACATGTGTCTGTGTGATAATCTATGTTTGTGTGATAACGTGTCTGTGTGATATGTGTGATAATCTGTGTTTGTGTGATAACATGTGTCTGTGTGATATGTGTGATAATCTGTGTTTGTTTGATAACATGTGTCTGTGTGATATGTGTGATAATCTGTGTTTGTGTGATAACATTTGTCTGTGTGATATGTGTGATAATCTGTGTTTGTGTGATAACATATGTCTGTGTGATATGTGTGATAATCTGTGTTTCCAGCTGCTGAAGGACGAAGGGGAACAGAACGAGACGCGGCGGACACTGATGGACAAGAAGATTCTGGAACTGCAGAGAAACAAACGCCGGATACCTTGTGAGTAGACTAAAACAGCCCAGAGTATTTTAGTTTGCATTTCTACCCATGATACCTGATTACTCTTGGTCATTGATATAAAACATATATGGTCATTGAATACTCAATAAAATGAGCAATTCTGAAAACATAAGTGTCCGTCTGATGTTAACAGTGGTGTTGTCTGTCAGTGGAGGAGCTGGTCCTTGAGTAAGTGTGTCTGTGCATTGTTGATGGTGGCGTTGTCTGTCAGTGGAGGAGCTGGTCCTTGAGTAAGTGTGTCTGTGCATTGTTGATGGTGGTGTTGTCTGTCAGTGGAGGAGCTGGTCCTTGAGTAAGTGTGTCTGTGCATTGTTGATGGTGGTGTTGAATATCAGTGGACCGAGATGTTGAATGTACCGGTATGTATCCGTCCGATGTTAATCGTGGTGTTGAATGTACCAGTATGTATCAATCTGATGTTAATGTTGATGTTGTCTGTCAGTGGACCGAGATGTTGAATATACCGGTATGTATCCGTCCGATGTTAATGTTGGTGTTGTCTGTCAGTGGACCGAGATGTTGAATATACAGGTATGTATCCGTCCGATGTTAATGTTGGTGTTGTCTGTCAGTGGACCGAGATGTTGAATGTACCGGTATGTATCCGTCCAATGTTAATCGTGGTGTTGAATGTACTGGTATGTATCCATCTGATGTTAATGTTGGTGTTGTCTGTCAGTGGACCGAGATGTTGAATGTACCGGTATGTATCCATCCGATGTTAATCGTGGTGTTGAATGTACCAGTATGTATCCATCTGATGTTAATGTTGGTGTTGAATGTCAGTCGACCGAGATGTTGAATGTACCGGTATGTATCCGTCCGATGTTAATCGTGGTGTTGAATGTACCAGTATGTATCCGTCCGATGTTAATCGTGGTGTTGAATGTACAAGTATGTATCCATTCCGATGTTAATGTTGGTGTTGTCTGTCAGTGGACCGAGATGTTGAATATACCGGTATGTATCCGTCCGATGTTAATGTTGGTGTTGAATGTACTGGCATGTATCCATCTGATGTTAATTGTGTTGAATATACCGGTATGTATCCATCTGATGTTAATGTTGGTGTTGTCTGTCAGTGGACAAGCAGGAGGAGCTGTACCTGTCCCTGGCCAAGCGGAGTGCAGAGGTATACATCCAGCGGTGCCAGCAGCAGTACAGCAACACCCCCATGAGGACCAAACTGTTCACCTGGACCTTCGAGGACCTGGAGATAACAGCCCTGGCTGACCGCTCCTACCACGGCAAGGAGAACGTCGTCAAGCACATGCAGCAGGTCGACCCGGACAGGTGGGCCAGACAGACACGTGTATCCTGTTTTGCTGCATTTTGGACATCTTCTCAGTAATCTCAGTGTTTTTGAAGCTTAAATTTTGTGTATATGGTCCAAGTGATGATGTATCTAAATCTATATAGAAGTACTATGATCTGATTTTAAACATATATGTCTGTCCGTATGACCTTTTAAAAACAGTTTGTATGTTTTTTTACCCAAATTTCTCAGCATGAAGTATATTAGGATGTGTAGAAACTTCCATTATTTGACTTGTGTTTGAACCTGAATCACCTACCTGAAAGGGCAGGGGTAAAAAGTTATATCTATACTAAGGAATTTCGTCCGTCCATCCGTCTGAGGACATTTTTTTATGTGACCTATGACTTGAAAACTACTGCATTGATTTTTTTAAAACTTGGTGAACAATTTTTATATCTATACGAGAGGTGCAGTGCAAAGTGTGATTTTGATAAGCGGATTTTCTGAGAAATATTGCTTTTTTCATGTTTTGAACTTGAAATATGTTGGAGTTCAAGTCGGTGGTATTAGTGAGCCCTGCTAATTCTTTTTGTCTGGTTTTCCCTTGAATGACCTTTGTGACCATATATGCAAATATTTAAGAAACTTTCAGGAGAGCTACCAAAAAATATGGCTCTAGTTTTTTTATTTTCCCACATTATTTTATATTCCCACATATATTGTGAAATTTGTGTATGTTTATGATTGGTAATTAAAAAAAATATCTTGCTCAATACATTTATGTATACAGAATATTCAGATTCCATCCAAGTTTAATCAAGTTTGAAGACCCTGGTATGTGGGTAGAAAGTGTGATGCCCATTTCTGGTGTCCCCCCACTGTGATATTGCTGACCCTGCCAACAAGAATCACTTAACATTGAAATAGGAATGTTTGAGACTATGATTGTAGATATTACTTGTGAAGGATAAACTCGGTGTGTGGTGTGTGTGTGTAAGTCAACTCACTTGGTCTTCCAGCCCGTACCCTGATGAGGGTCTGGAGTTCTCCACGCTGTGGTGCCGCAACGTCAACATCAGCATCCGGTCGTGGATCGTGCGACTGCGAGACTACTCCCAGCCCATGATAGACGTGGAGGACCTGAACATGTGGGGCTTGTTCATCGCCGCGGAGCAGGAGGGAAACAAGAGAGGTATTCAAAGTCCCCAGCAACCTATGCTGGTCTTAAGAGGCAACCTAGGGGATTGGGTGGTCTGTCTCTGTGATTGGTTGATTGCGTGTCATCATACCCCGATGGTGTCAGATAGTTTCTCATTGTATAGTACGACTCTATATTATCGCAGGCTCTTATTATCGCAGGCTCTATATTATCGTGGTATTGGTAAATCCCGCAATCCACAACCCCTGTCGACTGTTTACTTTTGCAATTCTTATCATAATATTTCATAGGTTGAAGGAATACAGGTCTCGTTGCGTTATGTCACGGGTACTCGTAAGTATACATGTTAACTTTATTGTGGAATTTCTGGAATGTTTTTTAAATGGAATTACCCCTACCTCCATTCGCAATTGATTAGAAAAAAAACCCAATTGTTTTGATGAATTCCCTTCACCCAACCTAGGCCTTATGCATACTGATTGCTGCCCTTGAATTGCTAATGACAGGAACTTTGTTTACCACACTTGGGAAAGAAAATCAGCATCGATCAATCTAATTGATGTGTCATAGAAGTTGAACAGAGAGCAAGAAACATTTTGCGTATGACATATTTAATAGGTTAGTAAGTGTGCGCCACTACGATCCATTATAAATTAACTACTGCGATAAGATAGCGTACCTGAAAATGGCTGAAAATGAAGCAATCACGAAATGGTTATTTGATGGTGATGTATTTGGTTTGGGTCTTTTGGTTGTGTTTTGGACCTTGAGTTTGCAGTGGTCTAGCAACTGTTTTCAGCCTAGTAAGGTTTTGATACCATTTGTAAGTTTGGGATCAAATCCAATCAAGTTTATACTGTCTGTTGCCTGGCAGCTTAGTTCCTAGTTTGAGCTGCTGCATGTAACACTGTTTTCCCCGATGTGCAGCCCGGCGGTCGTGTGTGGTGGAGGTGGACGAACCCTGGGGCAACATGTCGGTGGAGCGAAGTCTGCCCCCTCTCAAGTTCTTCTACGATCTCAGCTGTGGTGAGAACAAATATCTTTATATCTTTATCTATCAGTCTCCTTCAAAAGTATGTGAGGGAGTGATTTCATGTATACAGCCCTACTGTTGTATGTTGGTATATTTTTATGAACTACAAAAATATTTCTTTGATAATATAGGGGGCACGGGTGGCCCCGTGGTCCAAGGCGCCGCGATTCGCTGTGCAGAGTTGCATCCCTTGGGCAGGCCAGAAACCTATGATTGTGGGTTCAATCCTGGTTCGCCCCGATTATGTTTCTAGGTTTGTCAGCACCATACCCGTGCTCGTGGGTTTCACCGAAGTGGTAAACGTCCGTGACCTGCATCACTTCGGGCTTTCCTCCCACATTAAACTGACACTCCGTGATATAACTGGAATACTGTTAAAAGCGGCATTAAACCCAACTCACTCACTAAGACAATACATTGTATATGTACCAGGAGAGGTATTTTGAGTCATTGCTTCTGAAAGTCAAATAAGCTTGTGTCTTGGCATGCTATCGCCTGGTATCTTGCGATACAATATGTATCACGATACAGATTGATGATACTACTGGTATCACGATACACCAGCAAATAGGAAAAATGATGAAATCAAATATAACTCTAAAACCTCTGGATTCATACATTTACTTATTAATATCACAAAAACAAAAATTTGTTAACTAAATAAAAGACAAGAACAAAACAGCTTTAAAAGAAGGGATGGTTATTAAATGTAATAGCAGGCACGTCCTCTATCAAGACGTCCTTGTGTTCCGCCATGCTTACAAGTTGTGCTATGTTACTTCTGCCTTCACGGGAGGTAACTCTATCAGTTTCTGTTCTATTATAGCGTATCACGATCTCACAAACTGACGATTCAAGTATCGTCTGTATCTTAATATCGATGATATCGTTGGTTTCGATGAATAGTTACAGCCCTACTGTCCGTCGTTAACTCATGCATATTTGACATCTTTCGGGCTGAGACATTTCATGTATAATCCCAGCTATGGTCATATATACCATATTTTCTTGAGTATAGTGCGCACCCAAGTATCATGCGCACCCCTCTCTAGAGGATTCAGTATTTCTGAAGAAAATAAAATTTGAATATTATGCGCCAAAAAAAATTACACCGTACCACTTCAGTGAATTCCGGTAAACGAACGGGTGATAAGAAACTTGGTCAGTACAAATTTGAAATTTGAGATAAAAAAATCACCAGACATGTTGATTTACCGTTTAAATTGTATTTTTTGTTCTACTAGGCATTGTTTTACATCCAGGGATTTAGATTACCTTGTGTATTTTCTCGTAACCTAAGCCGGAAACAGCAATCAGCTGTAATCAAACAACACCAGTCATAGCACAAAGATTTGGGAACAGGGATTTGGACAAGTCATGAGTTCTCCTTAAGCTCTGTGTCATCTAGTATTCTGCTGTTTTCCTCCACAGATGTTTCCTCGTTCACCATGGCGTACGGAGTATGCTGGGAGCCCACTGTTGCTCTGTTCAACCTGTCCATGGACCTCATCAACAAGCCCTCCATTGACCCCAGCGCCCCGCTGCCCTTCTGGGACAAGATACGCCTGCTGATGCACGGACGCTTGACCATGTCCATCCAGAAGATGAGCTGGCAGTACCATGCGTCCTTCGACCCCTTCAACACCACAGAACTAATGGACTGGACGTGGACGGGGGTCATTGTCGACTGGACGAACGGTCAGTATTGCGCTTGTTATGTCTTCTTACACCACTAGGGGGCGTTCTGTCCATAGTTTTAGTGGCTTGTTTTTCTTCTTAACAAGCCCATGCTTGCAACATGTGGGTTGGACGCTTTGATTTTGATGAGAGGGGAGCAAGCCTTAGTTAAGCAATCCTTCGTTTCCTTGAGCCGGGTGATAGCGGTCACCATGTTATGTATAGTACATCGTGATTGTAGTGCATGTGGTAGTTAACGCTCCCCTCTGCAGGATGTATGGACTTCAATGCTCTTGGCTGACTCCTCGAGTGTTGGCGTCCATAACCTAGACAGATTACAACCCTATCCATGGATCTCTCTAGGATTCTCAACACCCTTGTATGGTGTACATGACATACAGAAACCAGCAGTGTAAAAGGGGAATATAATTGCCTGGTAACTGTTACCGAAAACATTATTTCATTGATGCTTGAACTAAGTTTGTTCACTACTGCTCAATTTCTGACAGTTTACCTCATTGTTAGTTATAATAAGCTCCCCCCAACTCAATGTAAAAAACGGTACATTGAAACCCTGTTATTCGGATTGGAAGCGTAACTAGCGTTGTCTTTGAAATGGTCGGATTAATGGATGAAAGAATCATGGGTACAGAATACTTGAGTGGAAGTAACTGTCTGGAAGGTGGAGTTCTGGACAAAGAAGGTCCAGCCTTGACGAGGTTGCACTTATTTTAATGTATTTTACCACTTTCTGGAAACCCTGATGTGAGTTTGTATCCTCCCAGGAAAGTGGGTGTTGAAGGGTGACCTTGACGTGTACACGCGCACCGCCTCCAAGTACGACGACATCAGACTCCTGCATCTACCCAACGTCCGCTTCTGGTCAGTTCACATGCTTTTTCAGTTGCAATTTTAACAATTACCTTTATTCATAAATGTGCCAATTCATACTGAGTGTTGATTTTGTTTGAAATTTTTTATATTTCCTCAGGTTTTACAACACATAAAAAAATGTTTGTTGGTCAAAACGAATAAATTGTTCTTCTCCTCCTTCCACAGTAAAGTGTTTTGTCCAACAAAAAGGACCAGGCCTTCCTTAATATTAAATGATTGATCCTTTACCTTTAACAGTTCCAAGTCAGAATAGGTCTTCAGCAACCCATGCTTGCTGTTAAAAGGCGACTCTGCTCGTCGTAAGAGGGTGTTCAGGCTCGCTGACTGGTTGATGCATGTCATTGTGTGGATCAATGTTCATGATATTAATCACTGGATTGTCAGGTCCAGACTAGATTATTTACAGACCGCTGTCATATTGCTGGAATATTGCTGAGTGCGGCATTTAACAACAAACCAAACCAAACCAAAACCCAATTGGTGGATCGAAGCTCATGAAGTCAATCACTGGATTGTCTGGTCCAGACTTGATTGTTTACAGACCGCTGTCATATAGCTGGAATATTGCTGAGTGCGGCATTTATCAACAAACCAAACCAAACCAAAACCCAATTGGTAGATCGACGCTCATGAAGTCAATCACTTCATTGTCTGGTCCAGACTCGATAATTTACAGACTGCCGTCATATAGCTGGAATATTGCTGAGTGCAGCGTTAAACAACAAACACATTCTGTACCTGTGATGATATGTGCCTGTGTCTGTGTGCAGTGTTCGCCTGGAGTGGCTGTGTCTGGGAGGGGCCAATGACCATCACTCTGTCATGCCCTGCGCCCCCGACAAGGTCCCGGACTACTCCATGGGGGTCAGTATCACCAACATGTATCACCAACATGTATCACCATCAATGTTTATCAGATGCAACTGTACTCAAATTCCACCTTCCGTATTCGACGTAATAAGCGCCCAGGGTGCTCTCAAAATAAGAAATAGGGGGCTCTTATTAGAATATTACTTTGGTGGAAAAAACAGAGTTGAAAGATTTCGTGGTTTATGCTGACAGTCTGAACTGTTTATATACGACAGATACATTTTTCCAGAATTTAATTGCCCATAATTAAGGGTGCATATAACACATGAGTGTGTATTACACATGAATAAGTAAGTCTTGTGTACATTGATAAATAGGAAGAGGTGCTAATTGGGATTGTTCACTTGCCAATATATTAGCAAATATTGCAGTGGGCGCTTATTAGAGCGGGGCGCTTATTACATTGAATACGGTAGTACTAAAATTCAGAATTTTAACAGAATTTATTTTGCATATATATATATATATATATATATATATATATATATATATGTCTGAACCATGTATACTGCAGTGAACCATCTTGAAGGTGAAGTCATGCTTGATCCAGGTCATAGTTATAATGGCTGGTGTCTTTCCTTGATGATTCTGCTATGATATGGCTCGAATTTCACCCTAATACTCCGTTCACATGTACAACATTTGGTAATGTAAGTAATTTTGCACATGTGTAACTATACATACGTGTGTATATGTAAATTTACTATGCGTTCACATGAAAATCAACTTAGGTACGTAAAAAAAGTATGTAAATTGTGTAAGGCACACATATTCGTCAGTCTGTTTAGGACTTTCAACACATAACAGGTTGTTTTCCAATCAAAGTTGAATGAGAAGAGTGTTTTTTCGTGAAGCAACATGTGTTCGATTCAATTTGTACACAAAGTTTTGACTCCTTGAAACCAAAAGAAAACACTGTCCGCTCAACTCTGTATATAAAAGTTGGCAACTGTTGACAATTAGTTTGCTGTTGGCAAAAGAACAGATATTAATTAGATCATCCTTTTACGTTAACATAAACGTTCACATTGCAACATATACACACAGTGCAAATTTACATTTACATTTGCACCCGCTCCAGACATGATGCAAATTTGCTCCTGGTGTAAATATACAAACATGAGTAAACGTGTTCACATGACATGTATACTCATGTATGTATTTCTACACACATGTGCACATGTGCACACGCATGTATAGAGGCGCATGTGAACGGGGTATAAGTCGTTTCATGGATCATTATTGTCAAACGGTCCACGTGGATGGGTGTTTACAATGTTGTCACCCAATTACGCGTTAACCAAAGATATTTGTGTGTCATCATGACCTCATATTGACCTGTCAGATCACCCGTTTGTTGAAATATGAACGGGTCATAAGAGCAGCAAATAAACCAATCACATCACCGGAAATTCCTTAAAGTTGTGCAAAAATACTCCTTATAATTATGTTTTCCTTGTGCAGCAGTGAGGTATGATGTTGTACAAGATGCCACATGCATGTGAGACGTAATGGTGTGCTCCATCCTCCAGGAGCACGACTCATTCCGGGCCTTCCGGTCGGAGAACTTGAACCTGGACATCAGTCTGGACACCAAGGACACGTCGGAGGACGACCCACGGATACCCAGCTGCACCTGCTACGCCAGCACTCTGCGCTTCCTGGACAAGATCAAGGTGGCCAACATGCCCCATTAACCTACCCCAACATACCCATCAACACACAACAGCAACATCCCACATCAGCATACCCCAACTACATCCCAATCCAACACTTGCACTGTTGACACATCAACCTTTATCCCTCTGAAGCAAGTCTCTTTATAATTGTACTTATGTCTCGACCCATGTATTAAACACAATCCAACACTTGCACTGTTGACACATCAACCTTTATCCCTCTGAAGTAAGTCTCTTTATAATTGTACTTATGTCTCGACCCATGTATTAACACAACCCAACACTTGCACTGTTGACACATCAACCTTCATCCCTCTGAAGCAAGTCTCTTTATAATTGTACTTATGTCTCGACCCATGTATTAACACAACCCAACACTTGCACTGTTGACACATCAACCTTCATCCCTCTGAAGCAAGTCTCTTTATAATTGTACTTATGTCTCGACCCATGTATTAACACAATCCAACACTTGCATTGTTGACACATCAACCTTTATCCCTCTGAAGCAAGTCTCCTTACAATTGTACTTATGTCTCGACCCATGTATTAACACAACCCAACACTTGCACTGTTGACACATCAACCTTCATCCCTCTGAAGCAAGTCTCTTTATAATTGTACTTATGTCTCGACCCATGTATTAATACAACCCAACACTTGCACTGTTGACACATCAACCTTCATCCCTCTGAAGCAAGTCTCTTTATAATTGTACTTATGTCTCGACCCATGTATTAACACAACCCAACACTTGCACTGTTGACACATCAACCTTCATCCCTCTGAAGCAAGTCTCTTTATAATTGTACTTATGTCTCGACCCATGTATTAATACAACCCAACACTTGCACTGTTGACACATCAACCTTCATCCCTCTGAAGCAAGTCTCTTTATAATTGTACTTATGTCTCGACCCATGTATTAACACAATCCAACACTTGCACTGTTGACACATCAACCTTCATCCCTCTGAAGCAAGTCTCTTTATAATTGTACTTATGTCCCGACCCATGTATTAACACAATCCAACACTTGCACTGTTGACACATCAACCTTCATCCCTCTGAAGCAAGTCTCTTTATAATTGTACTTATGTCTCGACCCATGTATTAACACAATCCAACACTTGCACTGTTGACACATCAACCTTCATCCCTCTGAAGCAAGTCTCTTTATAATTGTACTTATGTCCCGACCCATGTATTAACACAATCCAACACTTGCATTGTTGACACATCAACCTTCATCCCTCTGAAGCAAGTCTCTTTATAATTGTACTTATGTCTCGACCCATGTATTAACACAATCCAACACTTGCACTGTTGACACATCAACCTTCATCCCTCTGAAGCAAGTCTCTTTATAATTGTACTTATGTCTCGACCCATGTATTAACACAATCCAACACTTGCACTGTTGACACATCAACCTTCATCCCTCTGAAGCAAGTCTCTTTATAATTGTACTTATGTCCCGACCCATGTATTAACACAATCCAACACTTGCACTGTTGACACATCAACCTTCATCCCTCTGAAGCAAGTCTCTTTATAATTGTACTTATGTCTCGACCCATGTATTAATACAACCCAACACTTGCACTGTTGACACATCAACCTTCATCCCTCTGAAGCAAGTCTCTTTATAATTGTACTTATGTCTCGACCCATGTATTAACACAATCCAACACTTGTTTGTGTAGACATCTATGAACGTGGATGATTTATCTGAAATTGAAGTTGAGTGTTTAGAGAGATTCCACTGTAATCAGATTTATTATCCCCAAGGTATCAGCTTGTCTGTCCATCCATCCATCCATCCATCAATCCATCCATCCATCTGTCTGTCCATAATCAATTTTTTGTCTGGATCTTTTCTCTATTAAAAATTAATAGGTATTCTTTCATGAAATTCTGCACACACAAAGACCAGGTTGTGAACTGGTGCCCTTTGCTATGTATGGAATTGTTTAATTATTTTTTTTTTGGTTTTTAGTTTTTCAAATTCTTGACATTTTAATTATTTGTTACACCGCTGCTTCTTTACATGTTATCAAAATTTTTTATCACGTTATCATGATTATTCATATTTACATCAAATACAAAGTTCTGAATCCCAATTCCATGGTCTTGTTTTGAGATCTACATAACTACTCTTGTATACAGACAAACAGATTAGATAGAAATACTCTCATCAAGTTGGACAGATAACTCTTGTTTAACTGGCTGTAACAATAACATGGTTTGTTCTTCAGAATTGGTAGGGGGGGTCTCATCTTCTGATGACACTTGTATTATGATGCTGGTGATCTTTCACAAGGCTGTGCAGCTCCAACAAAACACTATTTATAACTCCTGTTTGCTTTTAACACTACTCTGGATCCCAGACTGTATGAGTAGAACAGAACAGAACAGAATTTATTTCCCATAGTCTGGCCATGAGGCCAATAGTACAGATGGTTGGATAATATCACTTCTCGGCCTTTTGGCTAAGATCAAAGTGTAGTATGAGGCTACACAAGGATGATCCTGTGTGACACCGGTGCGTGTTGTTTCAGCAATGTATGTTCAGCACCACCCGCCCCGTGAGACGAGGGAAGCTGTTCAGTGTCAAGTCTCCCAGGAAGCTGCAGCTGACCAGACAGTACAGGTACACCGCAGGGGCTGCTCTAACTAAACGTTCAGTGTCGCCCGTTGAAAACTTCATGTTATTTCTTATCCTTTCATAACATATTACAATTTCCTTCTTCACTTCGAGACCCGTGAAGATTCCGGGGTAGAATAGGTCTTCAGCAACCCATGCTTTCCGTAAAAGGTGACTATGCTTGTCGTAAAAGGCGACTAACGGGATCGGGTGGTCAGGCTCGCTGACTTGGTTGAAACATGTCATCGATCCCAAATGCGTGGATCGATGCTCATGATATTAATCACTGGATTGTCTGGTCCAGACTCGATTATTTACAGACTGCCGTCATATAGCTGGAATATTGCTGAGTGCGGCTTTAAACAACAAACCAACCAACCAACCTTCTTCACTTCGAACACAGAACACAGAATAAAAAAATGCTCTTTTACATCCAAGACACCCGTTGCCCTTGGTTACTGATCAAAGTTATCTGTCCTTGATCCTTCACTTTCCTTCTGATCTTTGTTTAATTACTGATTTTCTGATTCATACCTCTTTTTAAGTTGGTTTAACTGTAAGTGAAGCAGCCCTTACCTAAAGTGTTTCATTTTACATTACAATTGTTGCAAATATAAGAAGATGATGTCATCCATTGTTTATAATGTCACAGATAACTTTATCGTCAGGTTGGACTCTTTATGTGAACGACCGCCTCCGTGGTCTAGTGTTAGAGCATCCGCCCGGAGAGCAGAAGGTCGGGTGTTTGATCCCCGGCTGCGTCATACCAAAAGACGTTAAAAGATGGTACTTGTTGTTACCCTGTCTGGCGCTCGGCGTTAAGGGGCTAAAACAAGGACTGGTTGGCTCGGAGTCAGTATACTGTGTCTGAGGGGGGTATTCATGTTAAACTGCGGCATGGTATCTCAGTGTGCTAGCACTATAAATCGGAATCAATCCGGACAAGTACAAGCAGCCACACACACACACACACGTACATGCATGTCGCTTTATAAGTGCAATAATCTTGGACGCGACGTTAAACCCCATTTCACCTCACCTCACCTTTATGTGAACAGCAAACCTGTAATTTGCTCCATCTTCTAAACAAATCTTGACTGTCACTGACAACTTACCGGAGCGGGGGAATTAATTTATGAGAGACAGAAAATCCATACTTTCTTGGAGCAAGTATATTATTGACTGAAATATTTGATATTTTACTTTCCAGAAAAATCAAACTACATGTCAACTTTCATCGCTTTGAGATTTGTTACAAGATGTCTTTCTCGAACCAACATGGTGGTGAGCTGCTGGCAGACTCCTTCGTTCTTCACATGTGCAACAAGCTGACGCTGGTTCCTATAGAGGATGGCCTGTGTCATCGTCCCCAGGCTGACTGGAGCGTCCGCTACCTCAACTGTGAGCTGGGCACCACCAAGCTGTGGCTGTGCAAGTCCCGGGCAGACAGGGAGGAGGAGGAGGTACAATTGTTGGGAAGATTTCTGCCCCTTCCTCCTGCTTCAAGTTTTGTCTGGCTTAGGGCTAGCCCTGACCCTGACCCTTTCCATAGCCCTGACCCTGACCCTTTCCATAGCCCTGACCCTAGCCCTGACCCTGACCCTGACCCTGACCCTAGCCCTAGCCCTAGCCTTGACCCTGACCCTGACCCTAGCCCTGACCCTGACCCTGACCCTAGCCCTGACCCTGACCCTGACCCTGACCCTAACCCTGACCCTAGCCCTAGCCCTAGCCTTGACCCTGACCCTGACCCTAGCCTGACCCTGACCTTGACCCTAGCCGAACCCTATATAAGAGTTTTTTTTAATATTATTTCTAGCCAATGGTCTGTTAGCCTGTGACCAGTAAATTATGCTGAGGACAAGTAAAAATCCAATGATATTATTCCTTATTGACTATTAGTATTTGAGGGCTGTAATTCTGAACCAGTTGTCAATGCTTCAATTTTGCTACAAGTTGGAACTGATTGAAACTGACAAAATTTAAACATCATAAAAGTAGATTTCCTTGTTCAAGCAGGACTAGCTACAAATTCTGCGGACCAGTGAAGTAAGGTTTACACTGTGGTGCTTGACAACGGTATAAGGATCTATACCGAAGTGTCGCCTTTACAGAAGTTGTTATCCATAAAATGTGTCTACTTTGTCACCCGTCAACTTCTAAGTAATGCCTATCAAACAATTTACACTGTCAAAACTCATTCAGGGGGCACAGGTGGCCCAGTTGTCTAAGGTGCTGTATTTTGCTAAAAAGAGTTAGGTCCCCTGGGCATGCCAGAACCTGTGATCGTGGGTTTGAATCCTGGTTGGCCCCGAATGTTTCTAGGTTTGTCAGCACCAAACCCATGCTTGTGGGCTTCAACAATATGGTAAACGTCTGTATCAGTTTGGGCTTTCCTCCCACATCAAGCTGACACCAGTGACATAACTTGAATACTGTTCAAAGCGGCGTTAAACTCAACTCACTCATAACTGATTAAAAGAAGAAAATAATTTTGTCAAAATGTTTCAAATGTCATTGCCTGTGAGTAGACCTGTCTTGTTCAGTGCTGGAGAGTGGATTCATTGTGATTATTGATTTGTGATTCAACAATTTCTCTTCTGTATGCATGGCATATACAGACTGGAATATGTATTTCAGATGAATGTGTCCATTAGGAATCCCTTAGAGAAGAGTTTCTTCATGAGCATCGCGAGGTAGGTGAATGACAGTCCTTCGTGGTACATCTGGGGAATGGCCGCCCCCTGTACAACTCTGCCCTGTGGTGTTTCTGGGTTTGAAGTGGTCCTGGGGCGGTCGGGTAGCCTAGTGGTTAAAGCGGCGTAAAACCATACTCCCTCACTGAAGTGGTCCCAATAAGCTATGCTGGTTGTTGTAAGAGGTGACTGTATGACCGGGTGGTCAGGCTGGGTGACTTGGTTGATAGTGTACCATCCTACCTCGATAATGTTCATAATATTAGTCACGTATGATTACAGGCTACTATCATATACCTGGAATACTAAACAGACTCACATGCTCACAAACACAGATGCAATCCAAATTGTGTTGTTTTTTTATTGCTCATACCATCAACCAATCATTTTTGTGTGGTTCAGAGTTATATAAAACCAACAAAGCTAACTAACATGTATGCTGTAGACGCGGCATTATGCTGTATCAGTGTAGCATCACGGCCAAAACTGCATGTCAAGATCACCTATGAATTCACTTACCGTATTCGACGTAATAAGCGCCCGGGGCGCTCTCAAAATTAGAAATAGGGGGCTCTTATTAGAATATTATTTTGATGGAAAAAAACATAGTTGAAAGATAAATTTTGTTGTTTATGCTGACAGCCTGAAATGATTATGTACGACAGATATATTTTTCCAGATTTTAATTGCCCATAAATAAGGGTGCATATAACATGTGTGTGCGTATTATACCGAATAAATAAGTCTTGTGTACATTGATCAATCGGAAGGGATGCAAATTGGGCTTGTTCACTAGCCAATATATCAGCAAATATCGCCGTGGGCGCTTATTAGAGCGGGGCGCTTATTACGTCGAATACGGTATTCTGAAGAACTTCTGACCCGTGAAGATCCGTGTTAGAATAGGTCTAAGAAGTGACTTACATGATCAGGTGGTCAGGCTAATTTACTTTTTGATACAGTCATCGTATCCCAATTGCATGGATCGATGCCCATGATATCAATCACTGCTTTGTTTGGTCCAGACTTGATTATGTACAGACCGCCATTCTATAGCTGGAATACTGCTGAGTGCAGTGTTAAACAAGAAACAAACATTCATACAAACAAACTGAAGAAGTTATCATGAGGACCTATGATTTTGAAAATGATCATATGTTGTATGGGGCTTCTCTCGATTCCAGAGTGTCCTACCAGAGATCTGATGCAAGCAGGGAGAACGAGACTAAACTAGGCAGCATGGAAGCTGTAAGTCACATTTCTAGGTCTTCAGAAGTAGAACAAAGTTGGCGGGGGATATAGAAACGGGCTCCGTCCGTCCGTCACGTTTCGTTTCCAGAGCATAACTCAGAATCCATTCAATATTTTTTCATGAAATTTGCAGGTCTGTCAAGTACATGCTGAACTGGTGCCTTTTGCTATTTAGAAATTTTAGAAATTTTTATTTTTTACGTTTCCATGGCAACAAGATGGACTTGGGGGCCAAGCCACGTTAGTGGCAAACTCTTGTTTATTTATATGTCATCCTGAAATCAGTCCTTGAGTAAACCTGAAGACAAGGACAATGTTTCACTTCCAACCTGTCACCTCCAGGACGAGCCCCACCAGCGTGTGCAGATCTACGACATGAAGGGTGCCTGGACCAAGAAGAACCGGAATGTCGTCATCAACTTGTACGACAGCATCCAGAAGGCCCGGACTCTGAGGCGGAACGTGTCGTCCGAGGCCCTGAAGGGTTTCAAGGTGGAGGACAGTCAGAGGGTGAGGAACTCAGTCACAATCACTCTATGTTACATGAGTACAGCCCATCACACAGCTAGATTATTTGAATAATGATATTGTTTACCTGCCAGCTCAAGATGGATGTACAAGCATTAGTAGGTCATTAATCTTTTTCATGTTAACTGTTGCGATGACCAGGCCCTCATTCATCCAGATACTCACCAGAACCGACCAACAAGAGTAAACGGTGTTTATGCATAACAAACTTATTTTATAGTCCCGTCCATTTGTTGTATGTATGCTGTATATATGCTTATAACAAACTACGGTTATTACGAACTAAAATTAGTGGTCCCTTTGAGTTTGTTATAATTGTAGTTTACTGTATCTTGAGGGTATTGGGGGGCACGGGTGGCCCAGTCGTCTAAGGCGCCGGGATTCACTGTGCAGAGTTGCATCCCTTGGGCACGCCAGAAACCTATGATTGTGGGTTTGAATCCTGGTTCGCCCCCATTATGTTTCTAGGTTTGTCAGCACCATACCCGTGCTCGTGGGTTTCACTGAAGTGGTAAACGGCTGAGACCTGCATCACTGGGGGCTTTCCTCCCACATTAAGCTGACACGCCGTGATAGAACTGGAATACTGTTAAAAGCGGCGTCAAATACAACTCACTCACTCACAAGAAGGTATTGGGCTAAGGCTCACCAAATGACTTTCAAAATGCTAGGATCATTTACAAAACTATCCACAACTATTCCTCAGATATTTCATTGATCTCACAACTACAGCTGGTATGATCACAGAACACATTTAGGCAGGGTACAATTCCCCATTGTATATCATCATCAGGGAAAGCACAGGTGGCTCAGTGGACCAAGGAGCTACATTTCACAGTACAGAGTTGTGTCCCTTAGTTGCTAGGATCTGTTGATCATGGGTTCAGTTCTCTAATTTGCCACAAATTATGATTATTGATCAACACCATATACATGCTCTTGGGTTACATCTGTGCAGAGTTGCATCCCTTAGCCTTGCTAGGATCTGCTTGTGAAAGCCCTGTACATGCTGTGAAATATCTGAAGTACTATTCAATGCAGCATTAAACCGTATGTACTCACTCACACTCTCTCCCACCATAGATACAACAAACCTTGTGATGCCTTGTGAATGAACACATCAATTAAAGGGGCCGTCACACCATGACATTCTGGTCAACGTTCTCTGAACATTTCAATCGTTCAATTTTTGAGCGTTCTAGAATGAGGATGACACATCTGGCGTGTGATTAACGTGTGCCTAACTCAGGACTAGCGTGTGTCTAACGCACGAGAAGCGTGTAACAGCGACCAAGTAAGATACCCCTGAAAACCATTAGAGTGTGCTAACGTGCCACTGGCGCGCGACGAACGATTTGTCAACGTTAGACGAGCGTGTTGAGCGTGTGACTAACGTGTGAATAACGACAGAATGGCGTCTTGCTGGCGTGTTATTTTTACGGTGCGCTAGGGGACCGTTCAGCGGTCGTTGACAGGTCGCCAGTGAGTCGTTCAATGCAAAGCAAACGATTAGTAACAACCAAGTAACGACTGACTAACCATAGCCGAACGCGTGCAACGCTCGGCGAACGTTAGTAAAACGTTCCACGAACGTTCTTAAACGTTCTTCAGTGTTTAAAATTAAATGTTGAAGAACGCTGGTCTCAGTGAGAACTTTTGTGCATGTTCAAAACTTTTTTTTTCCGGACCAGCATTCTCCGCCGATTCCCGGCGATCACTGACGTTCACTAGCGTTCACACAACGCTCTTCGGGCGCTATCCCAGTGACCATGGGCGACTACCAACGTTTCCTCAAACGTCATAGAACGCTGACCAGAACGTCATGGTGTGACGGCCCCATAACTTAAATTATTAATTATAAATTATTAATTAATTGAGGGAACTTGTTTTGTTTTTCAATTTGCAGAAGAGTCGTTCCTCATCCTGTATCAGCCCGAACTCACCATTTACGTCGGACTTCGGCCCGAGTCAGACAAAGATGCAGTCTGGCCACGCCTTGTCCATGTTGATGAAGCTGGTGTCGGAGTCCGACAGCAAGTCTATTGCCTTCACAGAGGAGGTGAGCACTATAGATACAGGTCTCCAGTACCTCAGTCTTGTCCAGCAGTCACTCAGATTGGGATGAGAGTGATCAGGCTGCGTGGCGGGGCAGATTGCATCCTGATGGCATGGATTAATGTTGTGCATTGAGTTACTGGTTTGCCACATCCAGGTTATTCAGCTTAGATATTGGCACTAGTCCTGTAGTCCTTACCAAACTGCCCAATAGCAAAGGTATCCTAAGGACTAGTAGAAATTGGCCCATTTTAAGGGTTTTGCTATATGTTATCATTATAAGGACTAGTGGACAAAAACTGTTAGTTTCTAACCCTGGTTATTATTACCGGCCAACTGTGAAATGTTACTGACTGACGTTAAATAGTTGGTTGGTAGGTTGGTTTGTTGTTTAACGCCGCACTCAGCAATATTCCAGCTATATGACGGCGGTCTGTAAATAATCAAGTCTGGACCAGACAATCAAGTGATTGATATTATGAGCATCGATCCACGCAATTGGGATCGATGCTCATAATATCAATCACTGGATTGTCTGGTCCAGACTTGATTATTTACAGACCGCCGTCATATAGCTGGAATATTGCAATTGGGATCGATGACATGCATCAACCAAGTCAGCGAGCCTGACCACCTGATCCTGTTAGTCACCTCTTACGACAAGCATAGTCGCTTTTTACGGCAAGAATGGGTTGCTGAAGACATTTTTTACCCTGGGTCTGATGTTAAATAACATTGCTATACCTCTATTAACAATCTTGCTCATCCGTACCACTTGATGAAACAATACATTTCAATGTAGTCCCCAAAATCATGTGACTGAAACTGACTGATCACATGATCAGTATTGACGTATCGCCCCGATTATGTTTCTAGGTTTGTCAGCACCATAACCATGCTCATGGGTTTCACCGAAGTGGTAAACGTCTAAGACCTGCATCACTTCGGGCTTTCCTCCCACATTAAGCTGACACGCTGCAATATAACTGGAATACTGTTAAAATCGGCTTTAAACCCAACTCGCTCACTCACTCACTCACAGATTGACATTAGTCACATGAATGATTTTGGTAGTCCTTAACTTCTTTTACAAGAAGATTTGTATACAGCTACAATGTTTTAAATAATGATGTGCTTTGTCATTTCTGATGCATGTGTATCACCTGCAGCCTTCCAGTGACAACGTGGAACAGCTCCGAGGTATAGCAGCCTGTCAGACGGATGACGTCCTGCGCAAGAACTGGCACAGTGAGTATCTCCTTGTTACTTATATAAGTAGCAGCTCGTGCAGAGCCTCCACAAATAGATGAAGTCCTTCACAAATAGTTTGAGTAAAATCTCTTTAGAGGATGTTGGAGTTTTTAGAATGTATCACTATGCATGGATCCCCAGGGATAGACACAGACTTTTGTTGAAAATCTGAAGATTTAGTTAAGGTGTGTTTTGCAACCAAACTTGGCAATGATGTAATAGAGGTAGTATTCTTAGAATTATTAACAATGATAACTATTGCTCTATGATCGTGGGTTCGAATCCCGGTTCGGACCAATTATGTTAGATTAGGCCTCAATGGTGGTGAAAGTGGAAGATATTTTGATCAAGTTTAGCTTGTACTAATCTGCTAATTGCAAAGACTACCTCATGCACCATGTATGCCGTGATACAACATGAATACTTGTAAAAGCAGGAATAAACCCAAATGAGTCACTTATTGATGCACCATGTACGCCGTGATCCAACTGGAATACTTGTAAAAGCAGGAATAAACCCAAATGAGTCACTTATTGATGCACCATGTACGCTGTGATACAACTGGAATACTTGTAAAAGCAGGAATAAACCCAAATGAGTCACTCAGTGATGCAGCATGTACGCTGTGATACAACTGGAATACTTGTAAAAGCAGGAATAAACCCAGCAGAGTCACTCATTGATGCACCATGTCCTAGGTGTTTGTGATGAGTTTTGTCCCTTCTCTAGTTGAGCTCCACAACAGTCAGATGTTGATGAAGGGCATCGAGACGCCAGGCTACGTGATCGTGAGTGCGGCCAAGGCACAGGTGCTGTCGTGTGACCATCACCCCATCTGGAAGCAGAGTCAGTTGCGCAGCAAGACCACGTGGGTCAGCAGCGTGGAGTGCATGCAGGTCAGTTCCATATCGGTGTGGCATACATGCAGGTCAACAAACAAACAAATAATTTCAAGAACAATTATTTAGAACCCAATCGCAGACTCCACTTTGGAATTGTTTTCAGTTTAAGTTGAGTGGATGAGCACATGCTTGAGGGGTAGAGTCTTCAACACTTTGAGATCCATAAAAGCTGCAGGAATTAAGTACTCTATGAACATGACTGATGTGAGATGTATCTACTGACATTTCAGTACTATGCCACCGTGGACCCAGGCCCGGACTTTGACGATGAGAACATTCCCTGGCTCACCATAGAGAATGTTGAGGATCGGTTTGAGGAGGATCTGTCTGGTGTGCCCGAGATGGTCGGCAGTGGACACAGTGTGGGCGGAGTCGTTGGTGATACTGTGGGGCCCTCGGAGGAGGTGAGTTGGTCAGTAGTACTGTAGGGGCCCTCGGAGGAGGTGGGTTGGTCAGTCATACTGTGGATCCCTCGGAGGAGGTGAGTTGGTCAGTCGTACTGTGGATCCCTCGGAGGAGGTGAGTTGGTCAGTCGTACTGTGGGGCCCTCGGAGGAGGTGGGTTGGTCAGTCGTACTGTGGATCCCTCGGAGGAGGTGAGTTGGTCAGTCATACTGTGGATCCCTCGGAGGAGGTGGGTTGGTCAGTCGTACTGTGGATCCCTCGGAGGAGGTGAGTTGGTCAGTCGTACTGTGGATCCCTCAGAGGAGGTGAGTTGGTCAGTCGTACTGTGGGGCCCTCGGAGGAGGTGGGTTGGTCAGTCGTACTGTGGATCCCTCGGAGGAGGTGAGTTGGTCAGTCGTACTGTGGATCCCTCGGAGGAGGTGAGTTGGTCAGTCGTACTGTGGGGCCCTCGGAGGAGGTGAGTTGGTCAGTAGTACTGTAGGGGCCCTCGGAGGAGGTGGGTTGGTCAGTCATACTGTGGATCCCTCGGAGGAGTAGAGTTGGGATAGCTGTTGTCAGTCACAGAGCAGGATCCTTTGATGTTGGTCTGGTGGTCAAGCATCCAAGAATACAGTCTAGTGGCATACACACTGACATCTTCTTAGAAAACTAATTTGATAAATGCAGGCAAGTCAAACCATGTTCAAATTGTTCTTACTGTGACACATACATGCCATTGCTCCTTTGTATACTGCAGCAGTTATTCTTCTGTTAGAGCATCATAGTGTCTCTCCTGTCAACAGAGCTCCACCAGTGACGGCATCCAACTGCAGCGAATCATCTCCCGATGTAAATGTCAGCTCTTCTACGTCAACTACGGTGAGGTGGAACCGGAGAAGATGCCGCAAGTACCCAAGCCGGTGAGTTCCACACACTCACACTGCATAGCCATGTACACCATCGATGATCACACTCTTATATAACTGTCACACTGTTAAACACTCAGTCATACTGGCCATGTACATGTTGGTGTACACTAGGGGTGACTATTGGTCTGGAAATCACTATTGCGATAACTATTGATATTGCAAGCAACTATTGCGATAAATATCGTTAGTTTTCAGTGGATTATTTTATATGGATTGAATTAAACACTTTCGGCATCCAACACGTTTCTTGTCAAGCTTGTTATTTTCTTTAATATAGCCACTTGTCTGTCACCATCCGCCATTTTACTTTAAGAAAGAACGGTTGCTAAGCATCAAGGGCAGTTAACTCTAATCCTCACTCGCCTGCGTTTGCGAGCGTGTTTCGGTGACTCAATCGCATGATATGGTAAATATAATCGAAACTATCGATATTCCTACTATTGATCAGATACTTATTTAACAATCGATTTATTGACTTTAAGTGCTTACCAATAGCAAGTTATCGATATTTTGATTTATCGTGACACCCCTAGTGTACACGATCTCCAGTATTCCTTGCCTTCCCATTACAATGTTTTCTGGTCTCCACAATGGCTGCAGAGTATGAGAAGGACAGGGATGGTGATCTCCAGGTCCATGTTCAACAAAACAATTTTAGCCCTGAGACAATCATAACTCCCATACTTGATTTAAGATCAGTGTGTGGAGTGGGGCCTAGGGGTTTCAACTGTTTGCCATGACTTGGCTGATAGTGTCTGTGTATCGTATTATGTACATCGTTGTTCACAATCTCAAATTTGTATGGTGTATTTTCAAAGATTTACAGGCCACCATTTGACACCAGTGTAATAGTGTTCACAACAATATTTATTGTCTGACCAGCTAGATTTGTTGAGTCCTGAATCAGTGAGTGACTTCATGGACAGATTGTATTTACTGTATTCGACGTAATAAGCGGCCAGGGCGCTCTCAAAATTAGAAATAGGGGGCTCTTTTTAGAATATTATTTTAGTGAAAAAAAACAGAGTTAAAAGATAAATTTCGTGGTTTATGCTGACAGCCTGAAATGTTTATGTACAACAGATATATTTTGCCAGAATTTAATTGCCCATAATTAAGTGTGCATATAACAGATGAGTGCGTATTATACGCGAATATATAAGTCTTGTGTACATTGATCAGTCGGAAGGGTGGCTAATTAGGATTGTTCACTGGCAAATATATTAGCAAATATCGCCGTGGGCGCTTATTAGAGCGGGGCGCTTATAACGTCGAATACGTTACTTTTCCTGATGAATCATCATCCCAACCTGATTTCTGGCCCAAGGCTTAATTCCACAAAGGCTTTTTGCACAGCGGTTGTTGTCAGACAATGTTATCACAGTCCATGTCTAAACAGTCTTAGTATCAAGTTTGTGGAGGGCGCAGTGTAAAAGTCTTTGTTATCAAAGAAGGAGACTATCTGTGTAATTAATTTGACGTTTGGGGCGGTAGCCTGGTTGTTAAAGTGTTTGCTCATCATGTTAAAGTCCCGGGTTCGATTCCCACATGGGTACAATTTGTGAAGCCCATTCTTGGTTTCCTGCCAGGATATTGCTGGAATATTGCTAATGGCCCTCGCCTGATGTTTGTGTTTGCAGCCTGCGGAGGACGAGGACATGATGGGCGTGGAGGAGGGAGTGGACACCTTCACCCTCCTGCATCACGACCTCAACATGTGCTCCAACACGGTGAGTCAGTACTTGGTCAATACACACTGGGGAGAGTTTGACTACCTTATTTCCCTTGTTCTCATGGTACAGTTAATAAAATATAAATATACCTCGTCTCAGGGATGCAGGCCCGACTCTCTTATAGACGTACAGTGAATAGCCCTGCACAAATAAATAAACAACATATAATTATTTTACTTAGCCACAGTACAATGAAACTACAGCTTTTGGAAAAGAAGGGGTGCATTTTGTAATTTGGCAATTCATGTTCGGTAATTGTGTTGAAAAAATATCACCAAATTATTTCGTACAAATTTCAAAGTTTGTTGTAAGGTTTGTATACCTGATTACCAGTAGAAGCTTTGAATGTATAAATGCTTGGTGTGCCAGCCCCTTACCCCTCTTGAATCTGTGAATGCTGTATCACTGACCCAAGCTGGACTGACGTGTGGTGCGTAGAATGGAAACTAAGGTTCACATGTGACAGTGGCATTCGTAGTCGTCTAGGGGCAGTCGGGTAGCTTTCTGGTTAAAGTGTTCGCTCTTCACATCGAAGACCCAGGGTTCGATTCCCGACATGGGTACAATGTGTGAAGCCCATTTCTGGTGTTCCCCGCCGTGATCTTGCAGGAATATTGCTAAAAGCGGCATAAAACCATACTCGCTCACTCACTCACTCACTCGTAGTCATCTCAAAGAAGACAAAGGGAGTACTTGTTGGGTCAAAAGGGATTTCTTGAAATGGGCGTGGAGTGAGAACTATACGGTAGTCCGGATCTGCCCTAAAACATAAATAATTTAATATAAACATGATGGGTATGGACAGTATAAAGGCACTAGATAACAGCAATACAAATAATACATTTAGATTTATAGTTAATTCCTTTCGGCATACTTGAACAAGTCCCTCCAGAAATAACAAATTACACTTTATATATAGTTGATCATGCACAATTAATAAAACATAAATAGCATACCTCGTCTCAGGGACGCAGGCTTGACTCTCTCTCGTAGACGTACAGTGAATAGCCCTGCACAAATAAGTAAACTACATATAAATATACTATAACTAGAGTTACACTAGCATGTATGGAATACAAGCATTATAAATTCCATAAAATACTATACATATAGAGAATGTACACTTGGCTAATACCTCAGTCAAATACACAGTTAAGTTGAATTGAGAATGGAATTCAATATCATAATACAATGGTAGCTAAAATACTATATACAACAATGCCTTAAATACTTAGTAACCTAAGCTTCCAGATAAATATGGTAAGAATTAAATGAACTTACCCTGTATGATACAGCAAAGAGAATGTGCTGAGTATATGTGCTGACTGACCAGTAGAAGTTCTGACCAGGAAATCCACATGATTGCAGAGATCATGTGAAAAGCTGGATAACAATAAGCAGCTAATCACAGGCCAAGCCTGTGACCGACCCAGTGACAATAGCCATGAACGAAATGGCTGAACTACCCAAGCTGTATACAGAAACAAACTGAATTAGTAGATTTGTGCAAGTGCTGAAGTTAAAACAAGTATTTAAGGAAATAATTGTTAAATATTTAGGTTTAGCTTATTAATTGAATTCATGTTAGTTTATTATAATGATGCTTTAAAATCTAACAATATTCTGTTTACAAGCATACTGCTACACACTCATCCTAGAAGTACAAATCCATTTGCCCTGTCACCCTGTCACTGTCACCCTGTCACTGTAACCCTGTCACCCTGTCACTTGTTTCAGCTGCAGTATTCTACTCTACTGTTGTTTCAGCTGCAGTATTCTATGCTCCTGTTGTTTCAGCTGCAGTATTCTACTCTACTGTTGTTTCAGCTGCAGTATTCTATGATCCTGTTGTTTCAGCTGCAGTATTCTATGCTCCTGTTGTTTCAGCTGCAGTATTCTACTCTACTGTTGTTTCAGCTGCAGTATTCTATGATCCTGTTGTTTCAGCTGCAGTATTCTATGCTCCTGTTGTTTCAGCTGCAGTATTCTATGATCCTGTTGTTTCAGCTGCAGTATTCTATGCTCGTGTTGTTTCAGCTGTAGTATTCTATGATCCTGTTGTTTCAGCTGCAGTATTCTATGATCCTGTTGTTTCAGCTGCAGTATTCTATGATCCTGTTGTTTCAGCTGCAGTATTCTATGCTCGTGTTGTTTCAGCTGTATTATTCTATGATCCTGTTGTTTCAGCTGCAGTATTCTATGATCCTGTTGTTTCAGCTGCAGTATTCTATGATCCTGTTGTTTCAGCTGCAGTATTCTATGATCCTGTTGTTTCAGCTGCAGTATTCTATGATCCTGTTGTTTCAGCTGCAGTATTCTATGCTCATGTTGTTTCAGCTGTAGTATTCTATGATCCTGTTGTTTCAGCTGCAGTATTCTATGATCCTGTTGTTTCAGCTGTAGTATTCTATGATCCTGTTGTTTCAGCTGCAGTATTCAATGATCCTGTTGTTTCAGCTGCAGTATTCTATACTCCTGTTGTTTCAGCTGCAGTATTCTATGATCCTGTTGTTTCAGCTGCAGTATTCTATGCTCCTGTTGTTTCAGCTGCAGTATTCTATGATCCTGGACATCGTGAACAACCTCCTGCTGCGAGTGGAGCCCAAGGCCAAGGTAACACTGCACACCACATCTGTCACGTCATGTGAACACCTCTCTGTTGTCTTATAATGTAAGGATATATAAGCTGGCATCAAGACTTGAGTAGTATTGTCATGTTATGATTGAAAATATATGTGCCACATGATGAATGAGAAAAAGAACTCTAACACTGAATGAATGTCGGTTGCAAACATACACATGTGTAAACTTAATAGGAAATGGGAATTTTGAAAATTGGAAAGACTGAATATATTGTCATATTCATCAGGTTATTTGGAATGATGATATATATGTTATCATACATGGGTTAACATTCGTCCTCAGCACTCGAAAGCTTCTTCTAGGGGACTGTCATGACGACGTGGGTCTTTGCTCATTCTTTCAATCCCAGGTTTGCTGCATATCTCAAGTCTGCTGAGATATAGCTAGAATATCTCTGGCTGGATCATAAAACAAAATCATAAAACAAACGAGAAACAACACTAGTTAACAAATTATGTATTTTGTGAGCAGCTAAGGATGTGTTGTGTCAACAAAATGGCTCCATGTGCTGGAGTTTTTCATGTGACGCAAAAGAGAAGAAAAAAAAGAAGACAAACATATTTATATATTTTTTCATGTGTACAACTCTGTATGCTTAGATGAGCGCAGTATAGGCAGGGTATGTACATTGGCACTGATTATGAAGATTTCTACAGGGGTGTCTCATAGGTGGGGTCGTGTTATAGACTACGAATTGGGGTATTTTTTCAGCTGGCGTGAGTTTTCTATTCTTTCTATGAACTTCTTTGTTACAAAATTGAACAGGAAGTGTATTTGGTCATCTTGCAGGAGGCCAGTGAGAAGCTGCAGAGTATGAGGTTCAAGCTGATGCTGTGTTGTGTGGAGGACCAGAAGACTCCCATCCTGCAGCTTCAGGAGCAAGTCAGGTAATGCACACTTCATCCTACAACTTCAGGAGCTAGTCAGGTAACACACTTCATCCTGCAGCTTCAGGAGCTAGTCAGGTAACACACTTCATCCTGCAGCTTCAGGAGCTAGTCAGGTAACGCACACTTCATCCTGCAGGTTCAGGAGCTAGTCAGGTTACACACACTTCATCCAACAGGTTCAGGGACTGGTCAGGTTACACACACTTCATCCAACAGCTTCAGGGACTGGTCAGGTAACACACTTCATCCTACAGCTTCAGGGGCTGGTCGGGTAACACACACTTCATCCTACAGCTTCAGGAGCTAGTAGGGTAACACACACTTCATCCTGCAGCTTCAGGGACTGGTCAGGCAATACACACTTCATCCTACAGCTTCAGGGGCTAGTCAGGTAACACACACTTCATCCTGCAGCTTCAGGAGCTAGTCAGGTAACGCACACTTCATCCTGCAGCTTCAGGAGCTAGTAGGGTAACACACACTTCATCCTGCAGCTTCAGGAGCTAGTCAGGTAACGCACACTTCATTCTGCAGCTTCAGGAGCTAGTCAGGTTACACAAACTTCATCCAACAGCTTCAGGGACTGGTCAGGTAACGAGCTTCATCCTACAGCTTCAGGGGCTGGTCGGGTAACACACACTTCATCCTACAGCTTCAGGAGCTAGTAGGGTAACACACACTTCATCCTGCAGCTTCAGGAGCTAGTCGGGTAACACACACTTCATCCTGCAGCTTCAGGAGCTAGTCGGGTAACACACACTTCATCCTACAGCTTCAGGGACTGGTCGGGTAACACACACTTCATCCTTCAGCTTCAGGGGCTGGTCACGTAACACACACTTCATTTAACAGGTTCAGGGACTGGTCAGGTTACACTTCATCCTACAGCTTCAGGGACTGGTCGGGTAACACACACTTCATCCTGCAGCTTCAGGGACTGGTCAGGTAACACACACTTCATCCAACAGCTTCAGGGACTGGTCAGGTAACAGTCTTGTGTTGTGTTGCAGGAGTCAGGTGTTGCAGCAGCGGAAATTAGAGCGGGATCTCTACATGATACACAAGGACCTGGAGGAATGTCCTTCTGAAGATGAGTAAGTTTGGATGTAGATCATGTATCAAAAAAGATTAAAAGAGCTGAAATCACTGTTCAAATATTTATTCTAACGATTCTCAGGAAAAAGAAGTTTGTAATATAATACTCAATATTTGCTAAGGATAATATCAGAAAAGTTGATTCCTCCGACTATTGTGACAAGGACCGTAGCCAGTTTTTGTACAAGGGCCCTGTGCCACTCATCTTAGGGTGAATACAATCTTATCTCAGTTATCCATACCATCGTCTCATGGGTGTAGTGCCTTGAGCATCTGCCAAGTTCGATTCCCAGCTGCATCAAATCAAAAGACATTAAACAATGGTACTAGTTATTACCCTCCCTGGCGCTTGGCATTAAGTGGATAACATTAATGGTCGGCTTGGAGTCAGTATTCTGGGCCTCAGTGGGGTATTCATCATCCCTGCATTAATATTGCATCTTCCTGAGGCAAATGAGTTCACTGACTCTAAAAGTCCAGTTTCCACCCTTGCCAAACTAGGCTGAAATTTCTGAAGCTTGTTCCTAGCACCATCAGTGGCTATTACGAGTTATGTCCCTTCTATGCCCCTCCTATTGACCGATCAGATTCCACCTCTCATATCACTTACATTTGCTTCGAACGAGATGGCAGCGCCCAGTCGAAACAATCTGATTAATGATCAAGATGTATATTGTAATAAAACAGGACTTACCTCGTGAAGTGCATCAAATCACTTAAGCACCTTGATTAAAAACATGAAAAGATTTTGAAAATGTCTGTCAATGCCCATTTGATGGTACACGTCTTTTGCAAATCCTGAAGTCGACCGAGATCTCCACATTGAAATCGTGTTTACGAACCGGATGTCAGTTTTGTTACGCTATTTTGATTGGACTATGCATCAACTCGTTAGTTCGTCAAGGGTGGAAACTGGACTTTTTTAGTCAGTCTTGCCCTTGCCTCAGGAAGATGCATTACATTATGGCAATCATAAGGCTTTCTGTAAGGGGCCCTGTGATTTGGATGGTGGATTATTCCCTTGAAAGTTGCGTCATTCTTACATCAGTGCTGGGATTAGATACATTATGTGTTTGTGTCCCCCAGTTTGTCGGAACGGAGTGACATCTTGGAGCATGAAGTTTACTCTGTCAAGGAACAAATCAACAAACTCAACGAGGAGCTGTCCATCAGAATCAGGTCAGTGGAAATAAGCATGGGTAGCTCACGGAGACGTGATGGCCCTTTCAAAACAGACTGAATACTGTTTCTTTTTGTTGTTTGTTGTTTATCGCCGCACTCAGCCATATTCCATCTATATGACGGCGGTCTGTAAATAATCGAGTTTGGACCAGACAATCCAGTGATTGACATCATGAGCATCGATCTGCGCAATTGCATCAACCAAAGGTCAGCGAGCATGACCACCCAATCCCATTAGTCGCCTTTTATGACAAGCATAATTGCCTTTTACGGCAAGCATGGGTTGCTGAAGACCTATTCTACCCCGGATCTTCACGGGTCGACTGAATACTGAACCACATGTTACATATGGTCTCTCCTTAGGGAAGGGAGATATATGCCTCTGGTCACCCAGCAATGAATTGGTACCTGGTAGGATGATACAACGTGGTTGTGTACTTCCAAGTGAACTGAAATGAAAATCGTGTGCCTACTGATCAATTAACTTGGGTTATTATGTAGATCTGTCATGGTTTAAGCATATTTGAGCATTTATAAATTGGAAAGTGCAGTATGCAAATTAATTATTTAATTTGATTATTTTTTTACAATTCCCAATTGGTGTTTATGTATCTGTCAGTTTAGTGTGAGAATAATTTTTTCAAATCATTTAAGGTGTGACCAAATTAATTGCTTGTCTGTAATGACCCATGTCTAAGGTTGAATTGTATTTTTGGACACCCTTAGGAAGTTTAACAAGTTCTTTGGCCTCTTTTACAAATGAGGCCAAATTTAATTGCTTAAAGGTCTCAAATGTACAAAATAATTATGCTACTAAAAAAAGGATTACCAAAGTCTTTCCTATTACAGAATATTAGCAATATTCCATTGACATTATAGTGGCGTGGAAATATACTACTCAAAATAAGTTAAGGAAAAGCCTATTCGTTCATATGAGTATGGTTAACCTGTCATGCTATGACAGATTAACTATTAATAGTCAACTCATTATAATAGGTCTTCAGCAACCCATGCTTGCCGTAAACGGCGACTATGCTTGTCGTAAAAGGTGACTAACGGGATCGGGTGGTCAGGCTCGCTGACTTGGTTGATGGATGTCTTTGTATCCCAATTGCATGGATCGATGCTCATGATGTCAATCACTGGATTGTCTGGTGCAGACTTGATTATTTACAGACCGCCGTCATATAGCTGGAATATTGCGGACTGCGTGTTCAAACAACAAACCAAACATTTAGATGTGTTACACATAAGGAAGAGAATTTATGGATATCAACTTCTTTATCACCTGATGAAGGAGTAAATAAGAAGATGACATCCTTAGACTCTCTTCCTTATAGTAACCGCCTCTGTGGTCTAGTGGTAGAGCGTCCGCCCGGAAAGCGGAAGGTCCGGGGTTCGATCCCGGCCGCGTCATACCAATTGACGTTAGAAGATGGTACTTGTTGTTACCCTGTCTGGCGTTCCGCATTAAGGGGCTAAAACAAGGACTGGTCGGCTTGGAATCTGTATACTGTGTCTGAGTGGGGTATTCATGTTAAACTGCGGCATGGTATCTCAGTGTGCTAGCACTATAAATTGGCATCAGTCCGGACTAGTACAAGCAGCCATTCACACACACGTGCATGCACGTCGCTATATAAGTGCAATAATCTTGGACGCGACGTTAAACCCAATTTCACCTCACCTCTTCCTTATAGTAACAGTGATCCTGAACTTTTATTAACTGGTATATGTGCAGTTAGAAGCATGTTCACTGTAGAGATTTGTAACCTACAAAAGAAGAAAAGATCCTTTCTCCCCACCCAGTCAGTTTTAAAAAAATACATGAAAAAAATAAATTATTTTTAACTAGTCCTTCTGAGGCATAGATTTAAACGTCCTGGATAAAGCTCAGGTAGAAAAGCATGTTCTAAATTTTAACCCTGTCTCAAATGCTTCTACTAGATCAGCAGGACCTGTATGTTGGGATATCTTTTCTGTTTTCAGTTGTTACAAGGAAAGCCAGCTTCAAGTAAAGGCTCAAATGAAGATGGAAAAAGGTAAGACAGTTTTTAAGATGTTGTACTCCTGTGGCTTTGTGTGTTGATGAGGAGGATGACCCATTGCCCTTCAGTGTGTGAGCGACCCGTGAAGATCCGGGTTAGAAAAGGTCTTCGGCAACCCGTGCTTGCCTTAAAAAGGAGACTATGCTTGTCGTAAAAGGCGACTAACGAGATCGGGTGGTCAGGCTCGCTGACTTGGTTGATACATGTCATCGATCCCAATTGCGTGGATCGATGCTCATGATATCAATCACTGGATTGTCTGGTGCAGACTCGATTATTTACAGACCGCCGTCATATAGCTGGAATATTGCTGAGTGCGGCGTTAAACAACAAAACAACCAACCAATCAGTGTGTGAGCCCCTGGTCAGCCTCCTGCCTCTCTGTCCACAGCCCAGGCCACGGTCAACCGACTCAATGAGGTGTGCTTCAAGTTTGCCCAGTGGAGACTCACAGAGAAGGACGGCCAGCTCGGGATCACGGATCTCACTCTTCGTAACTTTGTGTGAGTACTTTGTGTGAGTCCTCCCCCTGCAAATCTTGTTCCCCGTAACTTTGTGTGAGTCCTCCCCCTGCTAGTCTTGTTCCTCGTAACTTTGTGTGAGTACTCCCTCTGCAAATCTTGTTCCTCGTAACTTTGTGTGAGTACTCCCTCTGCAAATCTTGTTCCTCGTAACTTTGTGTGAATACTCCCTCTGCAAGTCTTGTTCCTCGTAACTTTGTGTGAATACTCCCCCTGCAAGTCTTGTTCCTCGTAACTTTGTGTGAATACTCCCTCTGCAAATCTTGTTCCTCGTAACTTTGTGTGAATACTCCCTCTGCAAATCTTGTTCCCCGTAACTTTGTGTGAATACTCCCCCTGCAAGTCTTGTTCCTCGTAACTTTGTGTGAATACTCCCTCTGCAAATCTTGTTCCTCGAAACTTTGTGTGAATACTCCCTCTGCAAATCTTGTTCCTCGTAACTTTGTGTGAATACTCCCTCTGCAAATCTTGTTCCCAATAACTTTGTTTGTGTATTCTTGCTGTTGTGGATGTGTGGGAGAAGGTCCTCAGCAACCAGTACTGGTTGTAAAAGATGAGCAAATGGATTGTGTGGTCGGGCATGGTGACTTGTTGAGTGCGTGTCCTGGAACCATGATGGTGTGGATCCTTGCTTACAAAGTCGATCCCTGGATTATGATCCAGATCCATGGCTGGTCTCGAATCTGTGGTACTTGATAGATGGGTGCTGGATAATTTCAGGAATCAAAAGATTTATTTGCCATTAGCAAATGAGCCACCAAGGAACATCTGTTGCTGTTGCTGTGTGTGATGTTGGTGTAGCTGTGTGTGATGTTGGTGTAGCTGTGTGTGATGTTGGTGTAGCTGTGTGTGTTGTTGCTGTTGCTGCGTGTGATGTTGATGTTGCTGTGTGTGATGTTGGTGTAGCTATGTGTGTTGTTGCTGTTGCTGTGTGTGATGTTGCTGTTGCTGTCTGTTGTTGGTGTAGCTGTGTGTGATGTTGCTGTTGCTGTGTGTTGTTGGTGTAGCTGTGTGTGATGTTGGTGTTGCTGTGTGTGTTGTTGCTGTTGCTGTGTGTGATGTTGGTGTAGCTGTGTGTGTTGTTGCTGTTGCTGTGTGTGATGTTGCTGTTACTGTGTTGTTGGTGTAGCTGTGTGTGATGTTGGTGTAGCTGTGTGTGATGTTGGTGTAGCTGTGTGTGTTGTTGCTGTTGCTGTGTGTAATGTTGGTGTAGCTGTGTGTGATGTTGGTGTAGCTGTGTGTGATGTTGGTGTAGCTGTGTGTGATGTTGGTGTAGCTGTGTGTGTTGTTGCTGTTGCTGTGTGTGATGTTGCTGTTGCTGTGTGTTGTTGGTGTAGCTGTGTGTGATATTGGTGTAGCTGTGTGTGATGTTGGTGTAGCTGTGTGTGTTGTTGCTGTTGCTGCGTGTGTTGTTGCTGTTGCTGTGTGTTGTTGGTGTAGCTGTGTGTTGTTGGTGTAGCTGTGTGTGTTGTTGCTGTTGCTGCGTGTGTTGTTGCTGTTGCTGTGTGTTGTTGGTGTAGCTGTGTGTTGTTGGTGTAGCTGTGTGTGTTGTTGCTGTTGCTGAGTGTGTTGTTGCTGTTGCTGTGTGTTGTTGGTGTAGCTGTGTGTTGTTGGTGTAGCTGTGTGTGTTGTTGCTGTTGCTGCGTGTGTTGTTGCTGTTGCTGTGCATTGTTTGTGTAGCTGTGTGTTGTTGGTGTAGCTGTGTGTGATGTTGGTGTAGCTGTGTGTGATGTTGGTGTAGCTGTGTGTGATGTTGGCGTAGCTGTGTGTGTTGTTGCTGTTGCTGTGTGTGATGTTGCTGTTGCTGTGTGTTGTTGGTGTAGCTGTGTGTGATATTGGTGTAGCTGTGTGTGATGTTGGTGTAGCTGTGTGTGATGTTGGTGTAGCTGTGTGTGTTGTTGCGGTTGCTGCGTGTGTTGTTGCTGTTGCTGTGTGTTGTTGGTGTAGCTGTGTGTTGTTGGTGTAGCTGTGTGTGTTGTTGCTGTTGCTGTGTGTTGTTGCTGTTGCTGTGTGTTGTTGGTGTAGCTGTGTGTTGTTGGTGTAGCTGTGTGTGTTGTTGCCGTTGCTGCGTGTGTTGTTGCTGTTGCTGTGTGTTGTTGTTGCTGTTGCTGCGTGTGATGTTGCTGTTGCTGTGTGTTGTTGGTGTAGCTGTGTGTGATGTTGGTGTAGCTGTGTGTGATGTTGGTGTAGCTGTGTGTGAGTTGGTGTAGCTGTGTGTGTTGTTGCTGTTGCTGTGTGTGATGTTGGTGTAGCTGTGTGTGATATTGGTGTAGCTGTGTGTGATGTTGGTGTAGCTGTGTGTGATGTTGGTGTAGCTGTGTGTGATGTTGGTGTAGCTGTGTGTGTTGTTGCTGTTGCTGCGTGTGATGTTGCTGTTGCTGTGTGTTGTTGGTGTAGCTGTGTGTGATGTTGGTGTAGCTGTGTGTTGTTGGTGTAGCTGTGTGTGATGTTGGTGTAGCTGTGTGTGATGTTGGTGTAGCTGTGTGTGATGTTGGTGTAGCTGTGTGCGATGTTGTTGTAGCTGTGTGTGTTGTTGCTGTTGCTGTGTGATGTTGGTGTAGCTGTGTGTGATGTTGGTGTAGCTGTGTGATGTTGGTGTTGCTGTGTGTGATGTTGCTGTTGCTGTGTGTCATGTTGGTGTAGCTGTGTTTGATGTTGGTGTAGCTGTGTGTGATATTGGTGTAGCTGTGTGTGATGTTGGTGTAGATGTGTGTGTTGTTGCTGTTGCTGTGTGTGATGTTGCTTTGTGTAGCTGTGTGTGATGTTGGTGTAGCTGTGTGTGATATTGGTGTAGCTGTGTGTGATGTTGGTGTAGCTGTGTGTGATGTTGGTGTAGCTGTGTGTGATGTTGGTGTAGCTGTGTGTGATGTTGGTGTAGCTGTGTGTGATGTTGGTGTAGCTGTGTGTTGTTGGTGTAGCTGTGTGTGATGTTGGTGTAGCTGTGTGTGATGTTGGTGTAGCTGTGTGTGATATTGGTGTAGCTGTGTGTGATGTTGGTGTAGCTGTGTGTGATGTTGCTGTTGCTGTGTGTTGTTGGTGTAGCTGTGTGTGATATTGGTGTAGCTGTGTGTGATGTTGGTGTAGCTGTGTGTGATGTTGGTGTAGCTGTGTGTGATGTTGCTGTTGCTGCGTGTGATGTTGCTGTTGCTGCGTGTTGTTGGTGTAGCTGTGTATAATATTGGTGTAGCTGTGTGTGATGTTGGTGTAGCTGTGTGTGATGTTGGTGTAGCTGTGTGTGATGTTGGTGTAGATGTGTGTGTTGTTGCTGTTGCTGTGTGTGATGTTGCTGTGTGTTGTTGGTGTAGCTGTGTGTGATATTGGTGTAGCTGTGTGTGATGTTGGTGTAGCTGTGTGTGATGTTGGTGTAGCTGTGTGTGATGTTGGTGTAGCTGTGTGTGATGTTGGTGTAGCTGTGTGTGATGTTGGTGTAGCTGTGTGTGATGTTGCTGTAGCTGTGTGTGATATTGGTGTAGCTGTGTGTGATGTTGCTGTAGCTGTGTGTGATGTTGGTGTAGCTGTGTGTGATGTTGCTGTAGCTGTGTGTGATGTTGGTTTAGCTGTGTGTGATGTTGGTATAGCTGTTGCTGTGTGTGATGTTGCTGGAGCTGTGTGTGATGTTGCTGTAGCTGTGTGTGATGTTTCAGCTACACCAAGACCAACAGGGATGATGACTCGTGGACACATCAGCTGGAGTTGGGATGGGTGAGGATGACAAACCTCCTGCCAAGTTCTATATATAAGGTAGGTAACTCTGCTGTTTGCAGGGTAGACACCTCTTAATACAGTTAGGGCAAATACTCTTTGGTGTAACTCAGTATTAGGGATCTTGACTAAATTCTGCATGAGGTACAGTGGTGTAAGGATACGGCGATACAGCATCGTATCCTGATACGAGGCCCAAGATACAATATATTGATTTACAACCCGTTTTGGGGTACATACGTTACATTACAACTTATATTGGTAAAAAAACACATGAAGAATAATAGAAACAGTTCAACCACCAGCTAATGCAGATTCTTTAGTATTAGCAATAAATAACATAACATAAACACTGCCCTCTAGCCTTTTTGATTCTGTTCTAAAGTGTCTCATCTTCAATCTCTGAAATCTAAAAACATATGATTCAGGGTTGTGATTCTCAATCAATTTCTAGTTATGCCTCCTATGAAGTAAAATGAAAGTTAGTCTTAGGATAACATAATGTTTTGTTTTTAGATCATACGCTTTTCGAGATGCATGCTTGTGATGATGTTAACATACCAAATTTCCTCGAATAAACGTCTGGGCATACATTTCTTTCAGACACTCCTTACCCTCAGCATTTACTCGCATAGATAGTAATGGGGAGAATTCCATGCATAACAACTACCTGGCATTTGATTGAGGCCTGGCATTTATTCGAGCCCAGCATTAAATCGAGGAAATAGGGTTACTGAGGATTAGGTGGCAGTGTGTCATCACATACTGACAGATCTTCTCTTATGCTAATCACTGTTATAGTTGGAACTTTGTCTGAAGTTGAGCTTCTTAATAAGTTTCTATAGTGTTTCTGATTTCCAGCACACCAGGTCATTGACGCCCTAATGTCAGGAATATGTGTATCCTAAGCCCCTTGTTTCTGATACCTGGCCTCCCATTTCCACCCATGGGGTGTTTGGAAGCCTAGTGGGTAAAGCGTTCGCTCGTCACACCAAAGACCCGGGTTCAATTCCCCACATGGGTACAATGTGTGAAGCCCAATTCTGGAGTCCCCTGCCGTGATATTGCTGTAGCATTGCTAAAAATGATGTAAAACTTCACTCTCTGACTCGGCCACCCACCCACCCACCCACCCAACTCACTCACTCACTCACAGCATTTTCACTTGAGTCAGTTGACCTGCAAGCTTCATATTAATAGCTATTGGTAAGTGACCTTCACTATGAGGAATAATTTTGTACTGGAAACTATTTGTTCTCAAGGGCAAACGTTTGTGACAATGTCCAGTGAAGTGTGTGTGTGTGTGTTGCAGGACGTCCTTGTGCCTCGAGATGGCCAGAACAAAGATGTGGACAAGAGGATGATGACGCTCAGGATTGTCTGCAGCGAGAGGCCACCAGGTCAGGCTCACACCAGCCCTCCCTGAGATGTCACACCACATTTGTCTGAAATATCACACGTCTGTAGGGTCTCTGAAATATCACACGTCTGTAGGGTCTCTGAGATATCACACCTGTGTAGGGTCTCTGAAATATCACACGTCTGGAGGGTCTCTGAAATATCACACCTGTGTAGGGCCTCTGAAATATCACACCTGTGTAGGGTCTCTGAATTTATCACACCTGTGTAGGGTCTCTGAAATATCACACCTGTGTAGGGTATCTGAGATATCACACCTGTGTAGGGCCTCTGAAATATCACACCTGTGTAGGGTCTCTGAATTTATCACACCTGTGTAGGGTCTCTGAAATATCACACCTGTGTAGGGTCTCCGAAATATCACACGTCTGTAGGGTCTCTGAAATATCACACTTGTGTAGGGCCTCTGAAATATCACACCTGTGTATAGGGCCTCTGAAATATCACACGTCTGTAGGGTCTCTGAAATATCACACCTGTGTAGGGCCTCTGAAATATCACACCTGTGTAGGGTCTCTGAATTTATCACACCTGTGTAGGGTCTCTGAAATATCACACGTCTGGAGGGTCTCTGAAATATCACACTTGTGTAGGGCCTCTGAAATATCACACGTCTGTAGGGTCTCTGAAATATCACACCTGTGTAGGGCCTCTGAAATATCACACCTGTGTAGGGTCTCTGAATTTATCACACCTGTGTAGGGTCTCTGAATTTATCACACCTGTGTAGGGTCTCTGAAATATCACACGTCTGTAGGGTCTCTGAAATATCACACCTGTGTATAGGGCCTCTGAAATATCACACCTGTGTATAGGGCCTCTGAAATATCACACCTGTGTCTAGGGTCTCTGAGATATCACACCTGTGTAGGGTCTCTGAGATATCACACCTGTGTAGGGTCTCTGAAATGCCACACGTCTGTAGGGTCGCTGAAATATCACACTTGTGTAGGGCCTCTGAAATATCACACCTGTGTATTGGGCCTCTGAAATATCACATGTCTGTAGGGTCTCTGAAATATCACACCTGTGTAGGGCCTCTGAAATATCACACCTGTGAATAGGGCCTCTGAAATATCACACCTGTGTAGGGTCTGTATGGATGAGTATTACATCTTGTACATTGTACTTCTAGTGGGTGGCATCGCTGTGAAGGAGCACTTTGAGGTGAACGTTGTACCGATACAGATACAACTCACGTACCAGTTCTACCAGGCGGTCATGGGCTTCTTTTTCCCAGATAAAAACATCGAGACCGATGACCAGCAAGGTAGGCAGTTGTAGAAGTGCTACAATCCGTTGACAGGTCCAAGGCCATTGGATTGTTGCATTTTGAACAGGTTTCAGAAAAGGCTAAATTTAATGTTTTAAGACTGCTAGGATGTTGGTGATGAAAAGCTGCATGGCTACTGGAGATACATCTGATAGACTGAGACCACATTATTCCTGGTGACTCCACTCTAAACTACATATGAAAAAAACCAAATTGCTAAAAGCGGCATTAAACCATATTCACCCACTCACTAAACAAGATAGAACAAGCTTCAAAATCACTGTTACACATTAATGTCCTGCGTGTATATGTTACAAACAGAATCTACTCGATTTAAAACTAAGTGACCTTGGTAGGCAAATTGTCCAAAGTTGGGATTTATATTTTAGTTCTTATTTTCCTATATTCAGGGGTATTTTAAAATTAACATTTTCCTTTATTTTGGTCCTGTTATCAGTGGATCTTCACAAAGCCATGACATTAGTTATGGCTTTAACGGCATGAATTGGGAAATGTTTCATTCCAATTAGGGAATTTTTACTGACATTTGCTCCAGATTTGGCGCTGAATACCAGCCTCTGTGCAGGTGTAGATAAGCCCGTTATGATTATTATTTTCAAACGTGAGATCGGCTGTAATAAAAAAACTTGAGACTAGAATTTTACTTATTTTAACATTGCTGAACTTAAGGGCTGGCAGATCATTTGACCAAGTAATATATGTGTTGTTTTGTTGTTTAACGCTGCACTCAGCAATATTCCAGCTATATGACGGCTCCAAGTAATATAAAACAGGTAGACGCTGTATACTGGCATGTGCATTACTCTGGTTGTATATTGACTCTTCAGAGGAAGAAGAAGTGAAGGGAAAGAAGAAGTCGGATAAGAAGTCCAAGAAGGAGAAGGAGACCCCGGTGAAGAAGGCTCCATCGTTCAGCAACACCGACGACATTGACAAGATGAGGGTCAGTAATGTATTCAGGGATGTGAGCAGGTTTTCCCATAAAAAGAGGAAAAATCTAGGGGGCATGCTCCCCCAGATATTTTTTAAACATTTGATTGCATTTTAAGCAATTTCGTGCAGTTTGGACAACATTCACACCAAGAAATGTAATAAGTCAATGGCAAAAGTCAATAAGCCAAATAAACAAGATGGCAGATGCAGTAAAATTTCGAAGTTAAATCAGTACTTTTAAAAAATTGGGCATAACTTCCGCGCACCTGGCTACCCGCCAGGTCTGGGAGCAATACTGCCATAAACTTCAACCCCCATCCCCCAGACACAAGGACAACTGTCACAAGCGTGCAATGTCTGACCCTTTCCCCATGTTGAAGCATATTGAAAAAAACTTACCTTGTACTTACTTACCTTTTGTTGAAAAAAAACAAAACTCCATTGCAAACATAAGACATTAATACAACATATATCCCCAAGTTATGGGTTTTTGGACGCTGGAGAAACATTCATAGTTTTCTCGCTAATCACATGAACTGTAAATCATCTCATTCACTTACAGGCTAAAAGACAAATTTATCTTAAAAACAAGCCATCATCTGACTCAGAGTATAACAATTACTGTGTGACGCCACACCCCACGTTATAGTGCAAGTATTCGTGATAGAAAACGTATGATACCCGAAAACCTATGCTGCTGAAAGCTCTGGTCGAAAACAGGACAATCCGCGACGGTTGTCAGGTTTTCGATCATATTTTTCAGAGTGTATTTTTTTAAATCTTTGACTATATTTTTACGCGGAAGATGTTTTTTTCCGAGGACTACTGTTTTAAAAAACGCGATTTTCCGCGTTTCCGCGGAAATTTCACATCCCTGTGTATTGGTTTGTGCAGGGTCTCACTGCTGGGAATTTGAGATTTCATGTAACATAGTGTTCATGAAGAAATTAAGGATACTTGATAAGAAATGTTTGTAAGGGATCTTTGAATAGAAATAGATTAGTGTATGTCATGTATTCCTTCAGCTGCAGACCGCCTCCGTGGTCTAGTGGTAGCGGAAGGTCCAGGGTTCGATCCACGGCCGTGTCATACCAAAAGACGTTAAAAGATGGTTACTTGTTGTTACCCTGTCTGGCGCTCGGCATTAAGGGGCTAAAACAAGGACTGGTCGGCTCGGAGTCAGTATACCGTGTCTGAGTGGGGTATTCATGTTAAACTGTGGCATGGTATCTCAGTGAGCTAGCACTATGAATCGACATCAGTCCGGACTAGTACAAGCAGCCACACAAACACACACACGTACATGCACGTCGCTATATAAGTGCAATAATCCAGGACGCGACCTTAAACCCAAAGTCACCTCACCTCTTTCAGTTGCACGTTTTTTGCACGGCCCAAGTGGGAAACAGTCACTGTGTTATTTAACACTAGTCATGTATAGATGGTTGGTCAATGGCACCATTGAATGGTCTTCAGAATTGCATCCCTTTGGCACTCCAGGATTTGAATCCCAGATTTGCCCTGATTATGATCCTTTGTTTGTTGTTAACTGTAATTGGATAGATCTGGTATAGTCTTTATCTTGTGAAAGCTGAAGTCGCATATGCATTCAAAGAAGGTATAGAGAATGTTGACTTATCTAAATCTCACTCATCTCTAGATATCAAATATATCTTGCTTGCCGATGAGTTCTAAACTCTCTTGGACAAGTATTAATATATTTGAAATGTAATGAGTTGAGGAGTTGATTGTGATGTCATTATGTTATTTAACACTACTCATGCATAGATGTCATTGAATGGTGTTCAGAGCTACATCCCTTTGGCATGCCAGGATTCGAATCCCAGATTCATCCTGATTGACATCCTTTGCTTGTCCTCACCAGTTATTTGGGTTTTACTCCCATGTTATAAGCTGGCATTCTGTTATATAACTGAAACACTGCTCAAATCAGCATAAAATTACTCAGAAGTTAAAGAAGAACCAATTTTTTTTATGTGTTAATCTGTCATAGCTGGTGGGTATTGCAACACACAGCCTTCAAATTGCGGGGACCCGGGGTAGAATAGGTCTTCAGCAACCCATGCTTGCCGTAAAAGGTGACTATACTTGTCGTAAAAGGCGACTAACAGGATCGGGTGGTCAGGCTCGCCGACTTGGTTGATGCATGTCATCAATCCCAATTGCGTGGATCGATGCCTTAGGAATTTTTACAAAGTTCTTTGGCCTTTTTAACAAACGAGGCCAAATTTAATTGCTCAAAGGTCTCAAATGTAAAAAATAATTATACTACTAAAAAAAGGATCACCCAAGTCTTTCCTATTACAAAAGTTAGCAATATTCCATTGACATAATAGTGGCGTGGAAATATACTACTCAAAATAACTTAAGGAACACCCTATTCTTTGATATGAGCATGGTTAACCTGTCATGCTATGACAGATTAACTATTAATAGTCAAGTCATTATAATTGGTCTTCAGCAACCAATGCTTGCCGTAAAAGGCTTGTCGTAAAATGCTTGTCGTAAAATGTTTGTCGTAAGAGGCGACTAACGGGATCGGGTGGTCAGGCTCGCTGACTTGGTTGATGCATGTCTTCGTATCCCAATTGCATGGATCGATGCTCATGATATCAATCACTGGATTGTCTGGTCCAGACTCAATTATTTACAGACCGCCGTCATATAGCTGGAATATTTCTGAGTGCGACGTTAAAAAACAAACCAAATTGCGGGTGTTCTTTAACTTGTTTTGAGTGGTATACATGTTTTTTGTGAAGTTGACATTATCTTGTGTTTCCAGGAGCGTGCAGCCAATAACAACACATTCGTGTACACCAAGATCCCGGAGGTCAATCTCAGGGTCAGCTACAAGGTGGGCACATTGCATGATGGCAGTATATAAAATTCCCAAACATCAGTCAGACAACCGGACTAGCAACTTTGCAAAGTTACCAGACCAGTTAAAATGTTTCCTGTCGAGAATTGAATGATAACTAGATGATTAGGGAATACAATAATAGCCGGACCATCGAGCGTGCAACTATTGAAAATGGAGGATCTCGAACTGTCAGGCAGATGGGTATTTTAAACACTGATGATGGGAAATTCATAAAATGAATGTAATAAGTCACAACCTTAATCTGTATGAAGATTTTGTCAGTGCATCAGTTTCAAAATCTGTCTCCATCGCTCTTGATGCTATTGCCTCTCTTTCATCTCCCCTCCCTATATGTGTGTGTGTATGTATGAATGTTTGTTCTGTCTGTATGTCAGGGCCAGAAGGACAAGAACATTGAAGACGTCCACGACTTCAGCTTTGTTCTGCCCACCATGGAGTACCACAACTGTATCTGGACCTGGTTTGATCTCCTCATGGCTCTCAAGAACCACAGCAAAAGGACGCTGTTGTCACAGGTACGTGCTGTAGCAGTCAGGTCACGACAGATAGGTGATGTGGCATGAACCGACTTATAAACTGACATCTTCTCAGATTAATACACACATTACCCGGTAATCAAATGTTTTTTTGTTTGTTTGTTGTTTAACGCCGCACTGTGCAATATTCCATGTGACGGCAGTTTGAAAAATGTGTCTGGACCAGACAATCCAGTGATTGATATCATGAGCATCGATCCACGCAATTGGGATACGATGACATACATCTTCCAGGTCACTGAGCCTGACCACCTGATCCCATTAATCGCCTATACAAGCAGTCGCCTCTTTCGGCAAGCATTGGTCTGCTGAAGACCTATTTTAACCCAGATCTTCATGGGTCCTTTAATCAAATGTGCGGTATTTATTTAATACATAGGTTTAAAAATGGGCTCGTCTAATGCTCATTAATATGCCAGCACACGCAGCATCAGCATTGCACATGCATGTGTTCAGCGAACCTTTAATTCATCACCTGCCTCTGAGGCACAGTGGGAAGACTGAGTGACAATGCTAAACATGTGGTTGCAGTTTTGATTCACACCATGGAAATTTCATGCGAACAAAAATCTTGATGTTTTACCAGTCAAAAATCAACATTATATTTGAATTAGTGAATTGAAGTGAGTGAGTTTGGTGTTACGCCGCTTTTAGCAATATCATGGCAGGGGACACCAGAAATGGGCTTCACATATTGTACCCATGTCGGGAATCGAAACCAGGTCTTTGGTGTGACGAGTGAACGCTTTAACCACTAGGCTACCCAACCACCCCCTCAAAGAAGAAAACATGCTACAGAGTGAGTGAGTGAGTGTTGTATTCCTGCAATATCATGGAATACCAGAAATAGGTTTCACACATTGTACCTATGTGGGGAATGGAACCTGGGTCTTTGGTCTACCCCACCACCCAAACCCACTACAGAACAATGTGATGACATCACCGGAGGTTTACAAACGGCGTTCTTTGTTGTAGGCTATCAAGCAGAAGCTGCACATGAAGTCACGGGCAGGCGACGATGTGCCACTGACCGATGTCCAGCAGGAAGAAGACAAGGCCAAGATGCAGATGCTGCTGGGAGCAAAACTACTTGTGAGTCGACGTCATAGTTGTGTTTAGGACAGATTCAAAATGCAGTGTTCAAAATTAAGCATGGAAGTCAAAGGGGTCCTTGTTGTAGCCCTTATGTTAAAGTTTTAGATTTAGGGGTTGCTAGATTTTAATACTATAGCAACAAACTTCAAGGACCCCCTTCAATTTCCAACATTGAGATAAAGATAGTACATTTTGAAAGAGACCATGCAGGATGATCTTAATGAAATTTTGAACCTTTTGCCTGTTTAGACTTTGATATGCTAGTGATGCTAGCATCCAGAGTCTTAGCATTTTGGATTCAAGATCTCAGCTGTTATAAATAAAACATAATATGTCTATATCTATATGTCTAATATAATATAAACTTTGTTATTTGTTACAGGCTGGTCAAGACAAACCCAACAAGAAAAGCCTGTTTGGAAAATCCCACAAGTCATAGACTTTGTCAGCACTAAAATAACAGAATACCAGAGCGCTAAAATAGCAGAACACCAAAGTACTAAATGCTTCAGTGATACTCATCAGCATATTTCAAAGTATATATATATACCAAATGTATAAATGCCAAAACTTAAAGATTGTCCGGCTATATTTGTGAACGTGATGTACGGGTTGTGCCTTACACTTAAAACCCCTAGTAGATGGTGCAAGCTGCATGTATATTTCTCTAATATATGTGCCAAAATATTCTATTTACTTTTCAATAAGTGATGTTGGAATTCAGATCTCCTGGGTGGTTTGCTTGAAGATATTGATTATGCTATTTATAATATTTTACATATCGTGCAAGTGCTGTTTGAACTCATGTATGGATAATTTTAATATATGCACACCATTATTCCAATTTCTTGTATGTTTATTTGCCCTATGCTTGATGCAGCTTAATAGATGTGAGTGAAACCAGTGGTCGATAACATGAGCAGCCACGCCTTCACACACAGCTAGGTCACACATTGTAACCATATCTAAACCTGCTCCGAGTTTGATATTCGGCCCCAAGTCTGAAGCAAATTCCCAAATTGAAATGACAAATTACCCAATTCATATATATTATAGCAATAACTAATGTTATGGCTCTGTCGAAGAAACATTTCAGCCCCTGAAAGTTGATACTGTTCCTGATATGATCAATGTCACATTGTGATACACACGTTTCAGAGAATGTTTTCAACTTTTGAATCTGTATTACTGCTCTTTTCACTAATCATTAAATTTGTGTCTGTTCAAAGTAAATAGTATTCATACCATTCCACCTAGCCTTGTTTTTGTCTTTTAAGTCAGTTGTCTTGACTTTGTTTAGGGACTGGAATGTTGCTGTGGTATTTTCAATGGATTTTTTCACCTTTTACATAAAATATCTTGCAGAATCAGTTATATGAATATTTAAGCATTATTTCTTAGATTGTTAGAGACTAGACATCTGTGAAACAATATCTGACAGCTGCTAAATAAGCATTGTCAAGAAATAAGGTGCCATATTTGAGATGTTATACATATTAATGTGAATCTGTGGTATTTGTACTCTGTAGACACAAAATGCGATGTGCAATGCTAATTTTCAAAAGAATTTTCGGATTCTGAACAAGATTGCCAAAATCATGAACTTAATTTGTTCATTGTTCAGTTATAGATCTAATTAGCTAATCTATGCATCTTTTGTCAGTGACAGCAATATTTTCAAACATCAGTAATTAAATGTCACGCTGTTGCAAGGAAGCTTTAAAACACTTGTGCAATTCATTATGTGTATGTGCATCTGAACCATATAGTCTTTCATTTCACTCAAAAATAAAAATATTTGAAAATTATTGATTTCTTTGTTCAAAGAAGTATGTGACTGTTGTTCAGATCAATATTAAAAGGTGGGTAGAATGGTTTGTTGTTTGACGCCGCACTCAGCAATATTCCAGCTATATGACGGCGGTCTGTAAATAATCGAGTCTGGACCAGACAATCCAGTGATTAATATCATGAGCATCGATCCAAGCAATTGGGATCGATGACATGTATCAACCAAGTCAGCGAGCCTGACCACCCGATCCCGTTAGTCGCCTTTTACGGCAAGCATGGGTTGCTGAAGACCTATTCTATCCCGGAATCTTCACGGGTGGTGGGTAGAATGGACTTTGCTCATCCCTATGATATATTTGTGAGGATTTTGATTTGAGAATTTAACGTGATACTTTGCCGCATAATTGTTTGTTTACTGCCCAAATGAAGAAGGCATCGTCGCATCAGCATTATTTCAACCATATAGCGACGTGTTGAAAAGTGAATACCAAGTAATTTGAAGACCCCAATGTGTTTGACATGTTGACGTTCAATGGTCTTGTAGAATTAATGGCAGATGGATGTAAGAATGTTGATGTATATGTTACAAAAAGACACAAATTATGGTTATTATGTTATGATCGTTATTTTACTAACTTCGTGGAGGAAGATGGTGATACCGGGATGCTGTATACTGTTAAAGGACAACTAGTTCTACAACTAACCAAGGATGTAACAACACAGAACACCACAGAATTAATATTTATTTTCATAGTCTTATGGTCTTAATCACTGTGATAATCATATATTTACATGTTTCTAGTGGAATAAAGATTTTTTTGGATTTTAAAATTTAAAAAAAGGGAACAATATATTTAACAGTTGCTTGTATATATGCAAGTTTCCAACATGACCTTTTCATCAAAGCATAGATATGTAAGTATCTAATTGTCCCTGACGAATTTATCACAAGATTTGAAAAAAAAGTTAAAACCTACTTTTTTGGTTACAAATTTTGGTTACAAACAGTGAGTTCCTTAGATTTTTATATATATATATACAGAGTATGCCAAAAAGCAAGGTTAGCACTAGGAATTAAAACTTTGGCATTTTGGGAAGTGATGGTCTCAGAACGGGTCCTGTGAGTGAGGCACCCTCCTGATGATGCCAGGCATGGATGGTATCCTCCCCTTTGATGACCTTCATCAGATGAAGCAGCTCAGGGTTCCGGGAGATGAATTCGCAATTGTCATCCAAAATCTGAAAGAAAGAAAAAATGGAGAGTTGTAACATATGCTGTGTTGGCTTAATGTTGGCATAATCCTTGAAACCATATCAATGTATTCACTCAAAGACAAGAAATAGTATAGCAGATCTACCATACTCTTGTTTTCTGCATCAATACATAACATATGAAAGAAGGTTATGATTTTATGACACTGAAAATACTGAGGGTTGCTAAATGTTGAGTGCAACAATATTGTAAATTTTGCATCCAAAAACACATAATAGCAGTTTCAAATAAGTAAAATGAAGTAGATGTTTAGCAAGGAGAAAACTATTTGGAGTGGGCATTACAGCATTTAACAAGGAAGCTGTAGTTTCAAATGTTGATCAATGCAGTGTTATGTAACATGTGGCATAAAAAAAATAATACATGTGCTGAAAAGTACAGATACCATTTCAGCGTGTGTGTGTGGGGGTAAAAAATTACCTTCTGTATTGCGTCCACCAATTCATCAAACCGAAACACCTCAGCTTCTGCTTTCTTCCAGTTGTCTTCAAGGATCTTCATCTGAAATGATGGGAGAAACACTAAGTTCTTAGAGTCATCCATGGGGATAACATATCAGGAATAACTAATATGTATAATAATACTCATAATACCATTTATATGCTACTTTTATGACACGAAGCCACGCTCAGCTAATACTGTGTACATCCATTAATGTGGTGTGAAGGTTATATAATATTTCTACAATGCAGTCAAGTCCCGTTAATACGACATGGTTGGTTGCATAAAATGATGTCGGATTAACGATTACGTCAGATAAACGAGATTAAGTTGTATCAGCATTCGTGATTGAAAATCGGACAACTTCATGATAGATAACGATGCAAAGACATTGTAATGAAAAATGAAATATTCATATTGTTATGTTACGTTGTTTGCGGAATGTTTTCTAATCATGCAAATTCGAAAGCTAAACACAAAACTATGGTTAGGGCTGTATGACTAATTCAAAATATTTAAAAAAAGGCATAGTCAGGAATGGAAACTAGTGCCGCAATGCTCAAAGAAAGTTGCTATCTTAGTGGCTAATGTCGACTTCCTGTTAGTCATTTCATTGGTCGGTCAAAGTTCGCAAAAGGTCCTTCTGACGTGACCTGTAATGGGATGTCAGCGGTAGTGAAAACTTGTATCTGGTTTTAATTATATTGAGCTAATCTAAGATAAATCCTGTTTTGTTTATTTAAAGCATTAATTGTTTATTGTTGTGCAAGTTTATCTCTGCAGCTGTTGTAATATGTAGCTATAGGCCAACTCATCTCGCATCAAAACAAGGGCTGTGTACACACGGGCAGATGAGTGAGTGAGTTAATGCTTTACGTCACATTGGCAATATTTCAGCCCTATCGTGACGATACGGGCAGATGACCACGGACTACACTGATCACTGTATCAGATTAACAAGACTGATTAATGAGTGATTTCTATAATTCATTGCAAATTAGGTGTGGTGGAGTCGGAGTGCGAGGCTGTCGGATTAATGGGTCTAAATAGCACTGATTTAATTAGTTCCCATCATTAATGTTGGATAAATCCGATTGTCGGATTAACGAGACTTGACTGCACTATGGCCATGCTTACTTTGCGAGCTGCCTTGCTCCCCATTTCCTGGTAACGATCTCTCTCATCGTTCAACTGGATTAAAAGCTGCTGATTCTATAACAAAAATAACATGTAATTTTGTAGAATTTTCCTATTCGGAATATTCTATAAGTAATACGTTACCACTGTTATACCGAGGCTGTTGTCTCCCACAACTGCTGCTATAGCGAAATCTACCACAGAGATCTCAATTACCTCATGCAGCACGTGCGTAGCCACCTAGCTGCCATGTGACACCCTTCACTCTTGTCTCCTGCGAGAGCAAGTGCTCGGGGGACGGACGGGCGGGCAGCAGCCCAGTGGTAACGTATTACTTATAGAATATTCCGAATAGGAAAATTCTACAAATTACATTAAGTAATACGTTACCACTGTTATACCGAGGCTGACTACCACAGTAGGCGGTGGGGAGCACCTACAACCCGAATCCTGACTGCTAGCGTTCCTTCCGACCAGCGGAAGTAAACACCAAGGCGGAAGCACTCGATGCGCATGCACCTAGCTAGGCGTTACCCTATAGGAATACCAAAGCACTGTCAAGCGCATACCGTAAGGCTCAATCGTCATTGCCAAAACGATTGGCGACTCCAAACGGCCCCACTGGATAGGTATTTCATCGCCGCAGCGGATGAGAACACTGTATCCGCGTGAGCTTAATCTTAGATCAGGTTAAACAGTCGAAAAGAGGGAAATTAATTTCATTCAGACCGTATATCCCAGAGCAAGCTTACTTAAAGTATGCATTAGGCGCGTGACCTAATTCCAGTATTTGTAAGCATGCATCACAAGGTTGGGATACACGACAGACAATTAAAGACATAATTGTCAAAATACAAATAAGGACAAAGCACACAAAAAGCCGCCCTCACCTGTGGTGTGAGTGCGCTGGTTTGCGGGACCCCAACTCCTGTACCCACGGCAGTGGGAACATTGGAGTAGACCCAGATTGACCACCGTGCAAGGTCAGACGCCTGAGGAGTTCGGAATTGCGCTGGGCACACCCCTTAGGTGCCCGCTTGCGCCGCGATCCGCGGGCCAAGACGGTGCACACTCTCCACGACGGCATCAGCGACCTGTTTGAGGTAATGATTGGCAAAAACCGAGTCAGAACGCCAGTAACAACCTCGTAATATTCTGCGAACAGAGATATTCGAGTGTAGGGCAAATGTTGCCGCTAGCGCCCTGATCTCGTGCGGGTTTGACCCCGCTACCGGTAACCCCCGAGACCGGTACGCCAGATTGATGACAGAACGAAGCCACAACGCAATCGAGTTGCGAGGTATGTCAACCGTGCGATTAGGGTTACACGATATGAACAGACGGTCACGCCCTTGTCTACGTTCATTCGAAGCCTTAAGATAATACTTAAGGGCCCTAACCGGACACAGCGCTCTGTCCTCAGTATCAGCAGGATGTAAGATTTCTTTGAGTGATCTTACAGTGAATTCTCTCTCCGTTTGCCCGACTCTGATTCTTGGCGACGAAGCCCATGAGCAGGCCCAGGCGGACCGCTCCTTCGTCACCCCTATCGAATCGTACCTTGGCGACATCGAGTGCATGAATTTCGGATACACGTGCCGCCGTGGCAAAGGAGAGGAGAAATGCTGTTTTCCAAGTCACATGCCGGAACGAAGCACTATGCAAGGGTTCATACGGAGCTTCCGTAAGTGATTGCAACACTAGGGAAAGATCCCAGGCCGGTGCCCGAAGGCGGCCCTTCTTAAGATCGTGCTGTTTGAAACCCTTGATAATACCCCGTATCACCGGCTCTTTGGAGAGACTGGTACCCATAGCAACGGACGAGACATAGTTGGCAATGGAACCCCCGGAGAGTTTCCGGGTCTCTCGCAAGTGAGACATGAAACGAGCAATATCCTGCACAGATACCTTATCTGGCGAATGAATGTGATGTTTACAACACCACTTCGTGAAAATAACCCAACGTGCATTATACACCTTCTGGGTAGAATCACGATGCATACTAACGTATGCCCGAGACGCCCGGCGAGAAAAAACTTTACTCCTCAGACGCTCGGTGACAACATCCACGCGTGCAGATTGAACTGCCCTGCGTTTGGATGAAGCTGACGGGTGTGAGGGTGGATCAAGAGATCCGGTCTCACAGGCAGTGGAAGTGGCGACTGCGTGACCTGGGTCAGCAAGTCGGGGTACCACGATCTGTTCGGCCACATGGGCGCGATCAGTAACATTCGACAGCGAACTCCTCGGAGCCGGCTTAGAATGTGTGGTATCAACGCTGTCGGCGGGTAAGCATAAGCGACCAAGCCCGTCCAGTCTAACGCGAGAGCATCGTGATCGATGGCCCTCGGGACCGGGACTGGTGATACAAACAACGGGAGTTGATTGTTGAACCGCGTTGCGAACAGGTCGACCATCGGACGACCCAAACGTTCGCACAGCCACTGAAACACTACTGGGTTCAGCATCCACTCTGTGGGGCTCGGATCCTGAGGCCTCGATAGAGCATCGGCCAGTACGTTCCGCACACCTGGGATGTGACGGGCGCGTATCTGGCACGGGACACTGTCCACCAGAGCGTAAAACTCGAACGTGAGATCGAGTAGCGAGTGACTGTGGGTTCCCCCCAGTTTGTTCACATAGGACACTACCGTCGTGTTGTCGGTCGCCAGCATGAGCCGGGCGTCGACGAGACGATGCTTCCAGTGATTGACTGCGTTGATCACTGCCTTGAACTCGAGACAAGTGATGTGAAGACCTAGTTCGTCTAAGCACCACAGCCCTGAGCTCACCTCCCCCTTTAGATGGGCGCCCCAGCCCACTAGAGAGGCGTCTGTATACAGGGTCAACGTGGCCCGGTAGGGCCGCATAGAGACTCCTGATAAGACAATGTAAGGGACCGTCCACCACTCCAGATGCGGTCGGAGCCGATCCGGGAGGGCGACGGTCGCACTGTTCACCTCCGTTGCTAACAACTGGATTAAAAACCGTTGCAGCGGGCGGAGTTGGAGACGACCCCGTGCGGTGCAGTCCTGGGCTGATACAAGTAGCCCTAACAGCTGTTCCCAAAAGTGAACAGTCTGTTGCACCGCTAAGACTTTGGCAATCATCGCCTGAATTTTGTGCCACCGGTCTGGGGGGACAAAGAGGCGATGGGACACCGTGTTGAACCGACCTCCGATGAACAGCAAGTTCTGAGAAGGGGTTAACTCGCTCTTGGGGAGATTGATAATCCACCCAAATTGCTCCAAGAGCCGACGTGCGAAATCGAGATGGCGTGACAGGGTGTCCGTCATTCGATTTGCTACTAGCGAGTCGTCCAGGTACGCGAAGTACCGGACACCCCTCCTGTGGAGGAACCCCACTATGGGGGTGGTTAACCGGGTGAACAGCCAGGGAGCGGACGTGTGAATCATTCTGAGTTCGGCACTGTCCTACTTGGGAACGAGAAATATCCTGGAGTAAAACCCCGGTGTTATTTCTGGTAGAGCTAACTCCCGTACTGCCCCTTCTCCACCAACCTGCCGATGGCATCGGCGAGGATGGGAAGATCGGTTTCCGAATCGAAACCTGCCAACGGGGCAACGGTGAGCGGCGGATTCGCTTTGAGATCAAGCCGATAGCCGTACCGAATCGTGTTGACCACCCACGGGTCGTCGAACACTTGTTCCCAATTCTCCCAGTAAGTCTGGAGTCTGGCTCCCACTGGGGAAGGAGAGGGGGCCCTGACAGGTTGCGACAGGCGCAACTGTCCAGGGCCAAGTGACTCGGGTTCGCCTAAGGGCCAACCGAAGTTGGCGCTGTCGGCATACGAACCCCTCCAATGAGAGTCACCTGGAGGGGCCCTTGCCGTCCGTCGACGACTTGGGCTTCCCCCAGTTCCCCGTTTTCCCGCGAAAGGGCAGCTGATTGCCCATACCGGAGCCCTCAGGGCGGGGCTACTTCCCAGAGGAAGAAGAACCCGACCCCTTAGACCTACCGGCCGCAGCAGCCTGGGGCGCGCTCCGGTTAGGAGCGGCACCCAGGCGCCTATGCAGGGACCCAACAAGAGCAAGTGTGTGCCGAGAGTCCTCGGCAACGTACTCCAGGGAAGCATTTAAACTGAGCAGGCAGTTGTAAATGCGCTGGTCACGGTCCGTGGGAGAACCTTCGACCAGACGGGCCGCTGCAGCCAAGTAAGTGTCTCCGTGAGACATGGAGTGCCGAGCGAGGGCGTCCAGCTGGTGCAAGGTAGCTTGCGTTACCGTAGCAGCCGGTGGGACACGGACACCCAACCGCTCAACATGGGCCTCCGCGGTAGGACCAGCCTCGGGAAAGGCAAGGTCATGTACCGGGAATAAACCCTTTCTCCACGACGTCGGAGGCAACGGGAGACCCCGACCGGAGGCCGCCGCGAAGGCGTTCTCCAAGGAAGGCTTGAAACCGCGCAGCAAGGTTGATGCGGGGAAAGCCGAGTCGGAAGACTCATCGTATACCTCGGAGGAACCCACAGTTGTGGATTCCCCGCGGTACCGGCCGGGGCATGTCCTCAAAGAGGTCATAAACCATGGCCACGCGGTCCTAAACCGATAGCGGGAGCAACGGTTCGGGGGAAGGACCGGTGACCACGGGAGCCGCCGCCGTACCGGTGGACCCCGCGGCCTCCGAAGTGGCCGGGGACGGAACAGCCAGCGGCCTATCCTGAGATAAGGCCGCCAGCTTGGAGTCCACAAGTTATGCAAGTAATGCAGCGACGGAATCCCCGGACAGCACACGGGCCGCCAAGAGATCCGCCGCTTTACCGGTGGACCCCGCGGCCACCGAAGAGGCCGGGGACGGAACAGCCAGCGGCCTATCTTGCGATAAGGCCGCCAGCATGGAATCCACAAGTTTCGACAACAATGCGGCGACGGAATCCCCAGACAGCCCGAGGGCCGCAAGGGGATCCGCCGCAGCCGAGGAGGTGGTACCCGCACGGGGACCCCGACCGGACGAACCGGCCACCACAGGGGTGGAGACGGACTGTACGTACAGCCGGTACCGCTCAAAATCCGCAGGCCCCAGACCTTCGCACAGGATGCACCGGGTGTCCCCGCAAGGAACCCTGCACCGCGGGCAACGAACGTGGGGATCCCGGGACGACAAAATCTTTCTGCACACCCCATAACTCCGAGGAGCAGGGGTAGAGGGGGTGGATAATGGGGACATATCCATGTCAGACATTGATTGTTTGCTATAAACAAAGAACAAAACATGGTTACAACGCACGCACCACAATGATTCACAAACGAACATTTTCACAAGAAAATAAACGAGCAATGTGAACATATAACATACACATATAACTTTTATTAAAGAAATAAGTTATGTTAACCCCCAAAACATACAAGAACAGGGGAAACGTAAAACACAACGTGCATACGCGAACCCCGCAAGTATATAGAAAAAAGGGCGGGAAAATTATAACCAAGCGTAGCTACCGCAACGCCCCATAAAAGCACAGTTTATTAGAGAATAAACTATAATAAATATCACCAAATCTTCAAGGAACGCTTCAGCAGGAGAAAACACGTCTTGCTAAGCAGACGAAGGAGACAAGAGTGAAGGGTGTCACATGGCAGCTAGGTGGCTACGCACGTGCTGCATGAGGTAATTGAGATCTCTGTGGTAGATTTCGCTATAGCAGCAGTTGTGGGAGACAACAGCCTCGGTATAACAGTGGTAACGTATTACTTAATGTAATACATTAATACGGTAGTTAGAGAAGATATGAAATAAACAATAACATCTGGCAATGCTACTGGGAATGGAGTAGTACAGTAACAATACTTGATATCTACTTGTCAACAATACGAGGCATTCTGAATGTACTATAGAGCCAGCATGTAGAGAGTCTTATCACGGGGTGTAATAACGTGACCCGCATTTCACCTCTTGCTGGGCAGACATGGCTCATCATTGCATGTTGAATGGGTGATCGATATCAACCCAGGTGATAAGAAATTAGATGCATCCCTTGGTGCGCTGTCTGCTTGACTTGTTATCTCCCGACAATGTCTTCCAAACAAGGTGAAAATGTATTGTATTCACTTACAAATAGATGCATTTTAAAATTCAATATTATGATATATGATAAAAAGGCTATTATAAGGCAGTTTTCATATTATACCCGAAACCAAAACTCTGATTTTGGGGGTCTTGGGTTGATATTTGGTATAAGAAAACTGCCTTATAATAACCTCTAACTACTGTCATGATACTTTATATATCTCAGCAATAACATACAAAAGATGAAGACTTTGCATCTAACATCTTAAGGAAACATATTCAATCATCAAAAATGTCAAAATGGAGCAAAAAGAGACTCATCCTCAAAAAGTATATTTGAATAAATTAAGATAAGAGGCTTCAAAAAGTACATTTTCAAACTATTTTAGATGTATACACTACTCAAACAAGTTCAAGAACACCCTCAATTAATTCAAAGGCTGTCGTGCACTGTAAATAATCGAGTCTGGACCAGACAATCCAGTGATTGATATCATGAGCATCGAACTAGGCAATAAGGATACGCTGACATGCATCAACCAAGTAAGCGAGCCTGACCACCCGATCCCGTTAGGTGCCCCTCACGACATGCATAGTCGCCTTTTACGGCAAACATGGGTTGCTGAAGACCTATTCTAACCCGGATCTTCGCCCCTTATAAGAATGGGTTGAAAGATGAAGCTGTGAATGGAGTAGATGATGTATTCTTATTACTCAGTGATGTCCCGCACTGCTCACCTTTTTCTTGAGTGAGATCACCTGTCCCTGCATGGTGTGCCCGGGGGTGTCGGTGAGGCCAGGATGGTGTGGGGTCGGGTTTGCCAGCTGCTCCTCCAGGATTTCCTTCTCCCCCTCCAGCCGTTTCACATCCCCCAACAGCTGCATCACCTCTTGATGCATCCTCTGAAACCAAGCAGATCAACCTCACGTCAAACCTACGTAGACACTGAGGGCAAATCTTGAATTTGAACCCACAAATATTTTTGCACAACTATTGGACAGAGGCGATGCTGTGGACAACAGGCCATCTTACAGGCTCAGCTTAATATTAAACGAAATTATTTCATACTTAAAGGTTTACTTGCAGGATTCGAAGTTAAATGTGTCCTGGAGGTTTTTAGTATTTGAATCTGGGATCCCATGAATTTTCAACCAATAACTTTAGGGTTATGACAAGTACCCCCTTAACTTTCGTTCTTAATTTCACTGCTGGGATCAGTTTCCAGATGAAAAAACTAATTTCCATGTATGTAAGTGAGTGAGTTGGGTTTAACACCACTTTTAATAGTATTCTAATTTCTAGTAATATCACTGCATGTCAGCTTAATGAGGAAGGAGAGCCTAAAGCGAGGAAGGCCTCAGAGCATGGGTAAGGTGCTGACAAACCTAGAAACAAAATCAGGACGAACTGTAATTCGAACCCACAATCATAGGCTTCTGTCCACCCCCCATGTTTTTGAACAAATGCATTTATTTAGTCAGTGACACGTGTATGTCAGAATCCTACCTTATTTTCAAACTGGTAGTCTGAGAGTGAGATGATTCGATCCCCCATGTCCCTGATCCTGTCCTTCAGTTCCTCCACCAGCGTGTTGGCCTCGGTCAGCTCCTCCGTCTTGGCGCCACGGTCCTGCTGCAGTCTCCACGCCTCGCCCTCCAAACTACACACCTTCTCCCGCAGCAGACAGCTGCAACATACAGACAAGGCAAACTGCAGACGTGGCGGAAACTGTTTTTGACATTTGTTCAATCTCCAACAATGTTTTTGAAGATAATTAATAAGGATCAAACAAAGAAACAACTGCTCGGGTCACATCAAGTGATCACATAAAATAGCCAAGAATTTATTTTCCCAAAATGTCCACTCACTTGTCTCCCTTGAGATCCTGAAGAGACAACTCGGAAGCTTTCTCCAAAATATTTGCCATGCTGACAATCTCGGACAGAACCTCACTGAGACCTGTGATCTGTCTGACAATGGACCCTTGATTTTCTCCATCATCTAGCATCTCTATTCTATCTGCATCTTCATTGGCTTCTGATTTGGGTAAACTCTTCACTGGGACGAAGGCACTAGCTTGTGAAAAGCCTAACTTGGCCCTGCTTGCCTCTCCAGGACTAGTGAAGGAGTTGATATATCCACTGTCGGTGGAAGATCCGGTATGAGACGTCCCCTCCACACTGGGACTGGCTTCTTGACTTGGAGGTCGGGACTTGCTCCAGCTGAATGAGGCATCCGTCGCCTGTGATGTGTCTACAGATGAGTTGACAGCATGGAGCACCTTAGACACAAGAGACTCGGAGGAAACGTTACAATGTGCTGGAGCATCTATTCTGTCTTCTTCTGTCTGAAAAGAAGAAAGTCATTTACATCTATGTGATGATAAAGCTAGGGGTAATGTATTAATTGAAAGTATGAATTTTCTTTGCAAAGACATTTGTAAATGCAGAAGCAAAACATGTTAAGGACAGTCCTGGCTTCATTGAGGTTTGTTGCTCAGGTTGGAATGTAGAAATACAATAAATCTTTCATTTTTTTGCATTTGGGTAATTGCCACGAACATCTTGCCTTTTAGTCAAGACACTGATAAGTATGATAAGCATTGTGCAGTCCTCATTGAGGTTGGCAAGATTGTTATCTCAAATTTTATACCTCAGTGCCAACTTTGAATCTGTGACTCAGGGCCCTTGCCCTTGCAGGGCTCAATTTAAGGAACTTGCACCACGGGCATGTTGACATGAAGACCTAGTTACACTAAACAAAACCAGTTTGCACCCTGGTCCCAAATATTTGCTTAAGTTGAAACATAGATGCATAAACTAGTGTAAATAAATAAAATCTCAATTCTCTGATGACTCATGACTTAAAATGAAATAATGACGTTGTACTGTTGCAAAATGTAAAATTAACAAGTGCATGTAATCTTGAAGTATTCACAGTTTGATGACAAGCCCAAGAATGCATGACAAATAACAACACAGGATTAGTGATGCAGTATAAAGCTTAGAGGTATCGAGTGTGTTCAAAGATATTTGTGTGGAAAAGTAAGAGTTGGTAGGACACTATTTGATTGCATTTAGACATAAATATTAGGTTGCCCTTTTCTATAATATCTTGCACTGGTGCATGTTTTACATCACTAAATCAAGCCTGTGTTGACCACATCGGCTGCATGTGTGCTCACCTCCACGCCCACCTTCTTCCTGAGGACCCCTAGGATGGTGCACATCCTCTCCTCCAGCCCCATCACTGCCTCCCCACACTCACGCAGCTCCCCCCGCTGCTGTAACATCATCATCTGCAACTCCCGCCGGGTTCTGTCCAGCTCAAGTCTGGTCCTTGACAGGTCCTCTCTATCAAGGACAAGTAACACACTACAGCAGGGGGTTCATCCACCATTCTCCCTGCCGTTCGGGAGTCACGGAGGGTGACAGGACTTTATACTACTCTGAAGTCAATTCTGAAGGGATGTGGCTACCATCTACAAGGAGTTATCTGAACTTCTTTAGAGGCCAATATTCTGGGCCAGGTCAGCAGCAAATGTCAGTACAAATTTCAAAATTGGAATTCAACATTTCCCAATTTATGCTGCTATAGTTATAACTTATGGTAGGCTTTGTAGAGGTAAGGCTTTAAAGCTTGTTCTAACATGACTGTATTGAATGCAATGTCCAAATTCAATGTTCGAATATCTCAGAACTTAGTAAACCTAAAAAAAGTAATGGTTTTTCTTAATTTGCCTGGTACTTTGTTTGGAAGCTAGATAAATCCTGGGCCCGCTTGCACAAAGCGATCTTAGCGCTAAGACTTTTGTAAGCCTATGTTAAAGTATGGGAGTTACGATCATCTTAGCCCTAAAATCGCTTTGTGCAAGTGGGTCCTGATCTATATGTTGTATGAGTGTAACCATTGGTTGTCTTGTTGCATACAGGGACCTTTAGTAAATTTGAGTGTTTGTTGGGTAACACCACATTCAGCAATATTCCAGCCATATGACAGCGCTCTGCAAATAATAAAGTCTGGACAAGACAATCCAGTGATTGACAGAGATACGGTTACCGCAGCTTCACAGCGTTTGAGCTGGATTTTGGAGACCCGTGAAGATTCGTGTAGAGAATAGATCTTCAGCAACCCATGCTTGCCATAACTGGCAACTATGCTTGTCGAAAGAGGCGACTAACGGGATCGGGTGGTCAGACTCGCTGACTTGGTTGATGCATGTCATCGTATCCAAATTGAGTAGATTGATGCTCATGATAGCAATCACTGGATTGTCTAGTCCAGACTCCATTATTTACAGACCGCCATCATATAACTGGAATATTGCTGAGTGCGGCGTTAAACAACAAACAAACAAACAAACTTGATGTGGGAGGAAAGTCTGAAGTGAAGGAGGTATCAGATGTCTACCACTTCGGTGAAACCCACAAGCACGGGTATGGTGCGGACAAACGTAGAAACATAATCAGAGTGAACTGTGTGTGGATGACTCACTCTAGACCCTGTATGGTGGTCTGGTACTGAAGGAACTGGACCTGTGTGTCGGCTAGGGTCTTCTGCTGCTGGTTCAACTGCAGGAACGTGGAGCGGATCTTCTCCTCCGAGTCTCGCAGCGTGTCAATCAGCATGCCTCTCTCAGCCTCCAGGAACTCGGCGTTGTCCTGCAGAGCCTGTTGAGAATACAATGTTAGGAAACATTTCTTCTTCACATATTTTCACCCGCCGGTTACGACCTGGCCTTCTCATGGCAGACGTAATATCTCGTCAACTGATTAAATATTATTGAGTTTAGGTTTCAGATACTTTATCCTATGATGAACCTCAGAGAATTTATTTTGGTCTACACATTTTACACATAAAAGTCCATATCACACTGAAATGGACAAAACAGCTAAGTTTGGGCTAGTAGCCTAAAAGGTTTAACCATGATAGTTAGCAATATCTCAACTATCTCACTTCAGCCTGTAAGCGATAGGTAATTTGTTCTGGTAGACATCTTCCCAAGGCAAGAGAGCTGACTGACTTGCAAGTCATGTTTCCACCCTTGCCGAACTAGGCTGGAATTCCAAGGTTACATTTTGGCTGGCCTTACAAGTCTATTTTGGTCGACTGCAGGATTTGCAAAGCATGTGTACATTCAGCTGGGCGTCAACAGATATTTTCCAAATGTATTCATGTTTTGAATCATGGTGCGCAAATGATTTGATGCACGTCACGAGGTCAGAATCCCAAGCAAGGGTGCAGACCATGAAATTACAACAGCATTCCTCACAAGCATTCAGCAGGTCTGTTTCTTTCAAAATGCTGGGCTAAGCTCTCTCTTTTCTAAAGCCTTTGTCAGCTGAAAGAAACATGGCCAAAAGGGGTCACATATATCACCTTAGGGAGTTGTGTTAGGTGACCTTTCTCATCAGCCAATCAGCATCTTCCCTAGGCAAGGTAGTTAACTGACTGTCCAGTTTCAACCCTTGTCAAACTAGGCTGGAATCTCGAGGCTCGATCGAAGCGCCACCAGTGCTTATTACAAGTTATGTCTCCTCTTTGTCCCCCCTACTGACCAATTAGATTCCAGCTTTCTTTTCACAGGCATTTGCTTCAAACACAATCGCAGCTCCCAGTCACAATAATCTCATTGATAATCTAGATCTTTATCGAAACAGAATGGGTCTTACCTTGTGCAAGTGCATTAGATAACTTGAGCACCTTGATTATAAACATGAAAAAATTTGGAAAATACTTGTCTACATCCATTTGACAGTACACATGCTCTGCAAATCCTGCAATCAACAGAAATCTGCATGGCAGTCGCCATGTTGTTGAACAGAATGTTAAGATGTTTCGTGATCTTGATTGGACTAGACTTGTTAGTCCAGCCAAAACATAACTCCATAATTCTAGCCTAGTTCGGCAAGGGTGGAAACAGGACTTATATAGTCAGTTAACTCCCCTGCCTTGGAAAAATGGCCAACCGGTGTTGAGACTTGCAAATTAATTGGTACTAGTGAGCACAGCCTTCAAACCAGAATCTGATTTCTGAATCCTTTGAAACAACTGATTCTATATCAGTAAATGTTGACTGGCCATTTAATTGATTTCTTTTAAGCCATGTCGTTTCTGACCACCATGGGATCTGCACCGAAAAGGGAGGAATATTTGTGTTTTCTGTTGGTTCCCTTCAGTTAGAATCAAACTCTGTGGCAAAAGTTGGTAGAGAAATAAAGCGGACTTGTCTTAGATAGCTTGATTGGCTCAAGAACTGACAATTAGTTATTTAGATTGTGTGGTTGAAGTTTGCTCAGTGTGACCTGACTGACTAACTACAGAAGTGTCAGAGCTGAATCTGCTTTTAACCAGACTGTACTTGTACTTGAACTTAGTACCAGAGCCCTACCTTGAGTTCTGCCTGGTCCAGCTTCTGGATGTGGACACTCTCCTTGAAGGCTGCAAATTCTGTTTCCACCTGTCCAACCTGGTAGCGTTGTTCAAGAATGATCTCCCTGTACTCGTACAGATCCTTCTCCAGGATGTCAATATCATGATCCCGATAGTCCAGGGTTCTCTGTAGGTTTGTGATCTCCAGCTCGTACCTGCATGGCAAACAAGCATGTTGTCAGGTCTTCCAACACCAACATGGTTGTGAGTGAGTAATTGAGTGGGTGAGTGGGTGAGTGAGTGGGTGGGTGGGTGGGTGGGTGAGTGAGTGAGTGAGTGAGTGAGTGAGTGAGTGAGTGAGTGAGTGAGTGAGTGAGTGAGTGAGTGAGTGATTGAGTGAGTGAGTGGGTGGGTGAGTGGGTGAGTGAGTGAGTGAGTGAGGAATGAGTGGGTGAGTGAGTGGGTGAGTGAGTGAGTGGGTGGGTGGGTGAGTGAGTGAGTGAGTGAGTGAGTGAGTGAGTGGATGGGTGAGTGAGTGAGTGAGTGAGTGAGTGAGTGAGTGAGTGATGAGTGAGTGGGTGAGGAGTGAGTGAGTGGGTGAGGAGTGAGTGAGGAGTGAGTGAGTGAGTGAGTGAGTGAGGAGTGAGTGAGGAGTGAGTGAGTGAGTGAGTGATGTTTAACGTCACTCAGCAAAGTAATAAACACAACAATAAATTTTATGACTTTGATACACAGTAGACATTGAGCCATGAGAACTGAGACAAGAAGCATAAACATATAATAGTTTCTTTGCATTAGTACTCACTCAGAAGACTTTTCAATCAAAGCAGCCTTCGCCTCCAGAGCCAATCGTTCCCAGTCCTGACTCCTGCAAAAATAAATCAATAAAATATCTATGATAAATCATTCAATAATAACTATATTGTAGACTCATCTTAATGTGTGTGGAAAGCCAGAAGTGATGCGGGTATTAGACGATTTATAACCACTTTGGTGTAACCCACAAGGTATGGGATTGACACACCTAGAAACAATCTTAGTAGAATCTAAATAGTTTTTACATTTGTATACTTATCCTGCATCACATTCAGGCTCGTCGTAGGGTAAGCAGTAGATGCATTAAGGAGTAAAGCAGTATAAGTAAATTTAAAAAAAATAAAATCTAAATATTTTTTACATTTGTATACTTATCCTAAATGCATTTACTGTTTACCTTACGAGGAGCAGGAATGTGCTGCACTAAGGAGTAACGCAGGATAAGTAACAAACACCTGAACTGGGATTTGAAAAACATGATCATAGGTCTCTGGTATGCCTGAGGGATGCAACTGCATGGCAAATTGTTGAACCTCAAGACAACTGAGCCCCCGTCGTGGTGATAAGGGACAAGATCGTACCGCTTCTGTTCCTCCAGGAGATCGTGAGCCTGCTGTGTATGCTGAGTACTGAGGGTGTCCAGCTGGCGGGTCAAGTCCTCCTGCTGGTCCTTCTGTTCAGACAGATGTTGTACAAGCAGGTCCTTGGTCAACACAAAGTCCTGCAGAGCTGGCAGGGAGAACACAACATAGTTAACATGTATTAGATACAGTTAATATTTTCATTATTCAATTACTACATACTAAGACTATCTACTGGAAACAGGGCTCAGTTCCACAAACATCTTAGTGCAACGACTGTTGTAAGTCAATGTCAATGTATGGGAGTGACCATCATCTTAGTGCTAAGTTCCCTGTGGGATGAGGGCCTGGACTAGTTTTTAAAACTCATTTGAACAGCGATAACTGAAAGGTACACTGATGTTCAATGGATACCAGTAAAATGGGAGACAATGCTTATGCATTTGTTTATTTGTTGTTTGACACAGGACAGGACTTTCGTTAACTCCCTTGCCTCGGGATGTGGTTTGGTTTGTTTTACACCGCACTCAGCAATATTCCAGCTATGTGATGGTGGTCTGTAAATAATTGATTCTTGACCAGACCATCCAGTGATTGACATCATGAGCATCGATCCACTCAATTCGGATACGATGACATGCATCAAACCAGGTCAGCGAGCCTCACCATCCAATCAAGTAAGTCGCCTCTTATGACAAGCATAGTCACCTTTTACAGCAAGCATGGGTTGCTGAAGACCTATTCTACCCCGGATCTTCACAGGTCACAATGCTTATGAGTGTACGCAGTGCTTACAAATCGTAGCGCTACTATTGCTTTGAGGAATGGCCCTAGGTGCCTATGATTTTCCCTGTACAAAAAAGAGCAAGAATATTAAAATCCTTTTAGTTACTGTGTTTACAATCTTGTTACTTGATTGATTTACTATCAAGCATGGTGAATCAGGGAAGCGTGCTTACAATCACTACCTTTCCTAGCGCCAGCCAGTTCACTGTTGAGTTGACAAACATGAGACGTTGCTTGAAGGAGATCCGATGATGTGCTGGTGTAGAGAGACTGCAACTAAGAGAGAAGTAAACACGTTACTGAGTTTCTATATACACTGTTTGACTGAAAGCGGATCCTTGAGGTTTACACCTTGAGGATTTGAATCCACGGAGCCCTTTAACTTTTAACATTAAAGTCAGACCTACACAAAGATCTGAGGACATCCCATTACAGGTCAAGTCAGAACCATCTTTTGTGTACTATTAAGTACCATTAAAATGTCAGGTAGTCGACATAATCCAATCAGAAATCAGCCTTCTTGAACTTTACGCAGTAGTTTTAAATGGCGACTTCGTTACCAGACTTTGCTTTAAAACATATTTTGTACAAATTTGATTCAAAAATTTGAAAACTGAAGAAGAAAAAATTCTGGAATGTCTAACAGATGGCCGAGATTGTATGGCAGTACTTCAAGGCTTCAAGGGCTGTGGAAAGTCTGTTCCACAACTTCAATCCCATTGAAGTGACAGACAGACAATGATTTTGATGGAATCAGTCATTCAGCCACTCACTCTAGTTTGGAATTCCCTGTGTTAACCTTTTCGTGGTTGCATGATTAGAAAACACATTCAGCCTTGAACTCTTTCAATCTCGTAAGAAACACACCGATTGGTCGGATGAAAGGTCATACTGAGGTGACCTGCAATGGGATGTCCTCAGGTCTAAGTGTAGCAGTAGCGAGCACTAACATTTGATTTTAATGAGATTAAACATAACATTAACATCAGTTCTCATGCTTCATTTTGAATACTGTCTTGGTGATGTAACTATTGAACAAACTGTTAATGCATTGTCCACGGCCTGATGGCAGTACATCACATCCAAAATGTCAGTTGACATCAACACCACACATTGGATAGTGATGTAATTGTTTAAATGCCCCCAAATCACCTATTCTATACACATTCGTGGACATTTGCCTAGCCTTCAAGTGTAGGCTTAAGGATGTACCGGGTAGGTACTTTGAAATCATGAGTGAAAAATGGAATTTGTGTTTACACTATTGGCATGGCTGTCTTTGTACTTGTGTTCGATACTAACACTTGTCTGCTGGGCCTAGTCTAGTATATTTCCTTAAGAACCAGGGTGCTGTTGTACAAAGCGATCTTAGCCCTAAGGTGATCCTAACTCCCATACCTTAACATAGACTTACGACTGTCGTAGTGCTAAGGTTGTTTTGTACAACTGCACCCAGGAAAATTAAATAAATGCTGGTCCGGTGGTCTAGTGTTATTTTGGGGATGATTAAAGTGATCTAAGATAAGTTTGTATGACTTTTGAAATCAGAGATTGATCGACTATCAGCAGTCTAAACAACCCTGTGTGGTTCAGTGGTTGCCTTTTTGATGGGTTCTCATTCTAATTACACACGCTCACTTGTTGTATGAACATGATCAAGTATCTGCGATCTGAAACCTGTTTAGGTCAGCATCATTGTGTCTGTAGAGATCCAGCAGGACCGGTACATATTTCCATGTTCTGGTCCTTTGGGCCACTGACAAATTTTGGTCAGTGTCAAACACTGCGTACCCAATGATTTAACCTATGCTGGCAGTGTTACCATTGTTGCAGGCCTAGTGGTATGATATCACACTCAGGGCTGGGGAATACAGTCTTTCCAGTTTAACCCCTATCCAATCTCATTAAAATCACATCTTAGTTCTTGTTATCGCTAAACAAAGATCTGAGGACATCCCATTACTAGTCACATCAGAATGACCTTTCATCCGACCAATCAAAGCGTCGCTTACCAGATCATGAAAGTGACAGTCGGAATCATGCAAACTTGAAAACGTTAACACGGTGTATTCCGAACGACAGTTACAGCTCGTATGACTGATTCCATCAAAATTATCGTCTATCTCTCGCTTCTGTGGGATAAACATTTGAACCGAGGAGGCGTTGCACAGTACGTGGGAAGCACTGCCATACAATCTCAACCCTATATTAGACCTTCCGGAATGTTCATGTGTTCAGTTTTCAAAATTTTAATCAAGAACTGTGTCAACATATTTTTCAAACGTAGTCTGAAATGGAAGTCGCCAGGTTGAAACGAGTGCTGTAAAGCTCAAGAAAGCTGCTTTTTAATTGGCTGATGTCGACATTTTAAGTGGTCGGTCAAAGTTTGCGAAAGGTCGTTCTGACGTTACCCGTAATGGGATGTCCCCAGATCTTTGTTTAGCGGCAGCGAGAGTTTAGATCTGATTTTAATGAGATTGACCCCTGTCCAACTACCCCATCAATTGCAAGTCAGCTGGTTTGAACTCAAAATTCTTATGATAGTTGTTGGGTTGATCTATCCTTGTTGCTACAACAGTCTTGAAGTATAAATGATATGTGACAAAGTTAAATATTTCAGGTCACAATTATTCAGACTGGTAGATTTTGCAGTGTCTTTGTTCTTGGACTAGCACTGATTCTAGTCTCTTCAATAACTTGTACAGCACTGACCTGTGCAATGCTGTCGTGTGACATCTCGAGGGAGGTGACGAGGCTCTCACACTCTTCTCTCAGCGTCAGATTCTCCAGTTTGTGTGTCTCCACCTCTGTGACCAGCTCTTTCTTCAGCTTCTGCATCGTCACATACTGACATACAAACAGAACCATATCAACCCCTGCATCATCACCAAGTCTAGATCACATACTGACATACAAACAGAACCATATCATCTCCTGCATCATCACCAAGTCTAGATCACATACTGACATACAACAGAACCATATCATCTCCTGCATCATCACCAAGTCTAAATCACATACTGACATACAAACAGAACCATATCATCTCCTGCATCATCACCAAGTCTAGATCACATACTGACATACAAACAGAACCATATCATCTCCTGCATCACCACCAAGTCTAGATCACATACTGACATACAAACAGAACCATATCATCTCCTGCATCATCACCAAGTCTAGATCACATACTGACATACAAACAGAACCATATCATCTCCTGCATCATCACCAAGTCTAGGTCACATACTGACATACAAACAGAACCCCAGCACAAGTGGGGTCACATACTGACATACAAACAGAACCACAGCACAATTGGGTCACATACTGACATACAAACAGAACCACAGCACAAGTGGGGTCACATACTGACATACAAACAGAACCACAGCACAAGTGGGGTCACATACTGACATACAAACACATCAGCTCCTGCATCATGACAAATTTGTATACCTCTATTAAGAATCTTGCAATTCCATTGGTTAATCCATACCATGTGACAAAACAACACATTTCAATATAGACCCTCAAATCATGTGACTGACACTGACCTTGAATACTGACTCGCACATGATCAGTATTGACCTGTCACGTGACTAATATTGACTCGTCTGATAGAAAAGAAGATGGCGTCTGGTATACTAACATTTTATGGTTCGCAGCTAAGTAAGTGTAATGAAACAGAAGATGGTTTAAAGGCTTCATAAGCTTTAAACTGAATTTCGGTATAACGAGATGAATGATTATTCTTGATGAGGTCAATATACAAAAACAAGTACCCACAGACCCGACCCTTTCGATGGTCTGACCACCGCAGGGGTTAGGCCCTCTGGTCCTTGTTTTCGCATATTGATCTGGTCAAGAGTAATTATTTGTATACTGATATATAAACTAAGCCATATCAGCTCTGGCATTGTCAAACACTGACAAAAAAACACAGCCTCACACAAATAGCATGTACCAACAGAAGACAGCTCTTTCATATTTAATTCATAACAGTGTCTTAGTGAGTGAGTGAGTTGGGTTTAATGCCGCTTTTAACATTATTCCAGTTATATCACGGCATGTCAGCTTAATGTGGGAGGAAAGCCCGAAGTGATGCAGGTCTCAGACGTTTACCACTTCGGTGAAACCAATGAGCACGGGTATGGTGCTGACAAACCTAGAAACATAATCGGGGCGAACCGGGTTTCTGGCGTGTCCAGGGGACGCAACTCTGCACAGCGAATCGCGGGGCCTTAGGGGACTGGGCCACCCGTGCCCCCAACAGTGTCTTAACTTACAAACATGTGGGAACTGACGGGGGGAGGAAAGGAGAGAAGGGCACCTGTGGTGTACGCCAAATCTATTACAACAGTTGCATGTTGTCCAGAAGTTCCTACCTCAGTGATGAGTTTCTTCCTCATCTCAGCATTTTTCACCCCAACATGTCTCAGTTTCTTATGTGTCTCACTGATAGTTGAGTGGACCTCTCCCTGAGAACAATAGCATCTGTTGTTATGCCTCAATGAAAAATCTTGCAATGCTGTTGGTTAATCTGTACTACGTGATGAAAAAACACATTCCTATGTAGTCTTCTCAGTAAACATATTGACACGTCACATACTATTGTCTGGTAGTAACATTTCAAGGATCGCAAATTACTGTAATGAAACAAAGGACAGTTTAAAGACCTCATAAACTTTAAATTTAATTTCAGCAAAACAAAAGGAAAGATTACTCTTGAAGAGGTCAATACGCAAAACCCCAACCACCTGAGGGTCGGGCCCTTGTGTCCTTATTGACCTCATCAAACGTATTCATTTGTATATAAATGAGCATTTCTGATTAAATGCAATGTTTTTATACTTACCTGACGCTACACAGAGCTAAAGCAATGTGTAGCCTCAGGTAAGGTAAAACATAAGCAGTTCTGTTTGAATGCAATGTTTTATATATGTGCCATATCGTGGAACTTAGAATGTTATATATTAAGAATACATATATTTAGATTAAATCGATGAACAGTAAAATACATGTAACTAGAATATCACAGATTAATGTTTAAAACTAGCAAACAACCATAAAAAGATATCACTATAAGTAACAATACACAATAGAAAAGGGCAAAAGATCGCCAGCAGCTGATGCAAATGAAAGATAAAAAAAAATCATAAAAGATGAAGCTGAACATGTTAACTGTTGTTTATCTTGAACTACATCACAGTAAAGATTAACATGATTATGATTATATAAAAGTTGTAGAAGGTGGAAAATGTCTTGCTGGAAAGAAGCAGCTACCTGAAGTTGCTCCGTCACCTCCAAGTCCTCCATGATGTCAGCAAACTCATCCAGCTGTGCCTGCAGCTCTCGGATCATCTGCTGAGAGCGCTCAAACTGGTCCTTGTAGTTATTATTTTGAAAATCTGTTTTCATTTCTTGAACCTAAAACACGGACATACACATGAAATACATACATTCCCAAAAATATTTATTTTGTTTCCATATATCAGTATATATCTCTCCCAACAGCAGTGACAACAAACCAAAGATCTTGCTATCACTGTGTACTAGAGGGCAAAGATAGGACTACAGAAGCACCATGAGACTTATTCCTATTATTGATTAAACTTGAGATTCTGATAAATCAAATTTAGGAGACCGATTACAATCTTGTCCACTGATTTTTATTATAAAGAAATGCTAATAGAAATAATGGTTTCATTGGCGGGAAACAAACGCTACTTGTTTGAGACTAAGTCCAAATTGGTTTCCCTCAAAAAACATATTGGAAAATATGAAAAGGCAATAGTTGAACAGAGCTGCAGATATTTGTGTAAAACTATTCATTAGTTTGAGGGTAATGGCTTGGAAATGAAGCCTCGAGTTGAACATAATAGTAAAAGATACCAGTTAAGCTGATGAGCAATGCATATGCCAAGTTTCATTGAAAATATTGATAAGTTTTCCTGTTATAGCCCAGAAACTAACCCTCCCCTCATCTCATTCAAGAGTAAGTCAAAATGTAAAAGATATTATTTTGAAATGTTTAAAATTGCAAGGGGGGGGGGGAGGAGAGAAAGAGAAGACACACACACAAAAAAAACCATCAAGAACTTGGTAGGCTTGTCTGTATATATTGTAAAACGTGAATAAATTGGTTTTCCATAAACAATGCAAAAAGCGAGAGAGAAAAAACATTCATTTTTTGGTTCTCACACCTCTTCAGAAAGTTTTTTTGTGGACAGGTTGCCAATGGTTGCCACTTCTCTTTTAGAGGATGAAATTTCATTTTGTCTCACTCTCACAATATTGTAAAATAATGACATGCTGAAAAACCTGTACACATGAAGCCTCTCCCTCGGTGTGACAATAGTACCTGCTTGAGGTGCTCGCGCTCCTGACTCTCCAGACGCAACTGAAGCTCCTGACACTGACTCTCTAGGCTGGTCTTGAAACTCTGGTACTCCTGCTCAGACTCCACCACCAGGGACTTGAGGTCCATCACCTCCCGCTCCAGGCTCATCAAGTGATGGTCTTTCTCCTCTATTTTGGTCTGGAAGTCCCTCACAACTTCAAAGTGCATTTGCTGAAATTGTCATTTCCAATTTAAGGCTATTGTCTTCCACGATTTTCCACATTCCATTGGCCTTGATTTAATGCCTCAAGATACCAGAAGGAGGAAACATAGTGAATGCAAAACTCAGAATGATGTCATGTGCAAAGACATTTGATAAACAGGAGTCCGTTCCACAAAGCGATTGTAGCGCTAAGGTGATCGTAACTCCCATACTTTAACCTAGGCTTACGATTGTTGTAGAGCTATGGTTGCTTAGTGGAATGACCAGTGCCCCAACAAACTATACAGTCAGTAAGAGTGTTAGGTTTAAGGCCACTGTGAACAGTATTTCAGTCATATCATACATGACCGTATGTCCGATTTATTTAGGAGGAAAGCCGAATGTGTGCAGGTCTAACACATTTACCTCTGGTGAAACTCATGAGCAAGGATATAGTGCATAGTGCTGACAAACCAAGAATCATAATCAGGGTAACATAGGATTTGAATCCATAATATTCTGATCTGGCACAACAAAGGGATATAACTCAGCAAAGTTAATAGCAGCACCACGGACAAAGGGCCACGTGTGACACCCACAAATATTTATAAGCAAAGTTGTTAAACCAATGTTCCTGTTTACCTGTAATAACCAGTTTTTACCAGTAAAATTAGGCTTGACCGGTAATTCTTGTGACTGCCGGTCCTTGTGGACAGGCAAATAAAGTACCTTAAAAATCTTTGTTGTTGAACAAAACATCAACTATAGTCAATAAATAATACTTTTCGACTAAAGTCAGCTTGTCTGTTGTCATCAGGGTTTGATGTTGTCTATTATTAGTGTATTATATTAAGTAAATAATATTTCACTTTGTTCCAAGGTTAAATATCTATTTGTAGAGACTTAGCCTTGAACCAAAGTGAAATACCGATATTCAGGGAAAATGAGATAATTGTGACTGAACTTCATGTGAATGATGTCCAGAATTTAAATAAGTTAATTCAGAAATGATGTCAATGAATTTGTCTGCAAGTTTCATACAATTTTTATTTGTTCAAAGTTGGGACTGACAAAAATTGGGTGGGACTGGTAATTTTGACAGTTGCCTGTCCGCTGGCACTGGCAGTTTCAAAAGCCAGCGGGAACACTGTATACAAAATGTAGGACAACCACTTTTGATTAAGCCTTAGAGCTCATTGATGTTCCTTACCAAAATTCAGTTGTAGAATGTGAAAAATTCAAATTTGGGAGTCATGCACATCAGATTCTTTCAAATATGCAAAATTTAATCATGTAAATTTATGAACCTCGACCAGCACACCTACCTCTAGTTCAGTCTTTTCGTTTTCCTTCTGTGCTTCCAGTTCTTCTATGAGTTTGTGTTTGGTAGACAGGGAAGCCCTCAGATCCTTGACGATACACTTGAGTCTGTCCCGCTCCTTCTCTGCCCCCTTCAAGTCACTCTTAAGTCTCTCATTGCAGACGAGGGTTGTGTCTAGCTGGTTAGCTATAGCCCTTGGGTGCTGTCTCCTTACTTCTTCAGCTGTCAGTCTAAATACACAGGAACTTGGTCAATAAAAAGGACAAAACAGCAAACATACATTTCAGAGTGATTGAAAGTTCTTTCACACTGAATGTCAGCATTGTTCCTGCTAGATCTATGATATCACAGTGGCTTGTAAACCATGTTAAAAGCATTTCCAAACATACTTCAACACTAAAAGAACAATAATCATTAGTTTATCAGAATAGCCATAGCTGTGAAATGGCCAAGGCTATTACCATGTCACACATTATCTAAAACAGCAAATAATCCACCAACAAATTATCATGATTATTCAGACGAGATGTGTGTGGTGTTTTTAGGGTGTGCGTGTGTGCTGTGTGTGTGCTGTGTGTGTGCATGTGTGTGCTGTGTGTGTGCTGTGTGTGTGTTCTTGTGTGTGTGCATGTGTGTGTGCTGTGTGTGTGCTGTGTGTGTGCTGTGTGTGTGCTGTGTGTGCATCAGTGTTCCCGCTGGCTTTTGAAACTGTCAGTCTTTGTGGACTGGCATCTCTAAATATTACCAGCCCCCCCTAATTTGTGCCAGTCCCAACTTTCAACAAAAAAAAAACGTATGAAATGATTTAGTTTTAATTCTTGCAACATTATGTTCAATGCAAAGATGTTATCTCTGAAGTAACTTAGTTAGATCTATACGCCATCCACACAAACTTCGGTCACATTTTTCTCTTCTTTTTTTATATATTTCGAGACAAGTCACTACAAATGGGTATTTAACCTAGCAATAGACACGGGGAAACCCTGATGGTAACAGACAAGTCGACTTGAATATCACCAATGTTTTGTTCAACAACAAAGATTTATAAGGTAATTTATTTGCCGGTCCACAGGGACTGGCAGTCGCATGAATTACCGGTCCAAGCCAAATTTTACCGGTAAAAAAATGGTAATTACTGGTAAACGGGAACGCTGGTGTGTGTGTGTGTGTGCACGTGTGTGTGTGCGTGCGCCATGAACACTACCCTCAGACACAGTATACTGACTCCGAGCCAACCAGTCCTTGTTTTAGCCCCTTAATGCCCCAGGCAGGGTAACAACAAGTACCATATATTAATATCTTTTTGTATGACAGGGCCTGGGATCTATTCACTACCCATCCCTGGCAAGTATGAAGACCCAAGTAATATGTAAATGTATATGTTGTCAAAATCATGATAATTTTTCTCACGCTCAGAATAAAATCTTCATCTGGAACACCTTGTATAACACAAAGCAGAATAAAGGTTATACGTTGCAATTTTATGTGATTCTGAACAAGATTTTTATACATACAACCCAAGGCTGTCAGCTTCCTACACTACCTTTTGCCTGCTTTAGACAAAGTTTTCACAGGTGTCATCGATGTTTCGCTTGTCTTCGTACATGCAAAATCAGTCATCGTCATCTGATCAACAGATGCGGGTTTCACCATCACGCCCTGATTGGTGAAACTAACGACATCAGTCATCGTCGAAGTGTCACAAGTTTCTTGTTCAGCCGCATCAGCGGCCCCAGCGAAGCTGAATGGGGACAAGGCAACAGACATAGATTCTGGTTTCACCTGGACATGCTGGTCAGATTTAACAGGAGTATAACAGTCAGTGGTCATTGAAGCATCTACAGAAACAGGTTTAGTATCAGTGTTAGTTTCAGTGGTGGTTGTGCTTGGCAGGATAGGTGAACAGGCTTTCTCCACATTTTGTTGGACGGGGGATACTGATACCGTCTTCACAACACTGATGCTTAAACCTCGTCGTTTTGATTGCGATGTATTACATTTCGACAAGACAGTTGGAGAGTGATACTCTACAGACTGCTTATCAATACTAACTTCAATTTCTTCAAGAGCTTGTTTGCATTCCTGAGACACCTTATTTGGAGATGTTTGCTGCTTCCTGTACTGGATCCGCGGTGTCCGGGGGTACTTTGGAGGACTTTTATTCCGCATGTGGTCACTCTGTGGAGAGGAACTGACAGGTATCTTGGATTTCATCTTGAAATCAGAAGTAGAAGTAGACAAAGTTTTTGATTCCTCTTCCCCTGGCTTGAACTGAGAGAGGCATCCATTAACAGGGGACTTGTCAGTTTCTACATATTCAATCTTGAACCGTTTTGCCAGGTGTTCAGCAGTTTCAGGTGTGTCTTCATGTAGGATGATGGTGGGACTTGGTGTCGGTGGAATAACATTTATGGAAGGAGTCTGAAAAAATATGAATATTGTCTCACAAAGGTGAAGATGGTGAAGGTGCTTCTTGTCACTGTGTATATCTGCTTTATGTGTCATCACAAACGTTCAGTCAACATTCAAGAGCTGGATGTAATTCATTGAATGAACATGATGAAGAGTCATGAACGTAAAACTGAGTGAGTGAGTTGGGTTTAACCCAGATTTTAACAGTATTCCAGTTATATCATTGCATGTCAGCTTAATGTGGGAGGAATGCCCGAAGTGATGCAGGTCTCAGACGTTTACCACTTCGGTGAAACCTATGAGCACAGGTATGGTGCTGACAAACCTAGAAACATAATCGGGGAAAACGAAGATTCGAACCCACAATCATAGGTTTCTGGCATGTACAAGGGCCGCAACTCTGCACAGCAAATCGCAGCGCCTTAGATGACAGGGCCACCCGTGCCCCCTATTCAGGAAATGACATGTCTGTAGCAGTAGGACCCGAAATGTTAAAGTTAGATCATGAAAATGCTAATGAGGGATCATATATTTACGTGGGACAAGGATTTTGTTTTGTTTGTTGCTAAACGCTGCACTCAGCAGTATTCCAGCTATATGATGGCAGCCTGTTAATACGAAATAACCCCTGAAATACAGACAATGAATCGAGACAAAGGTTTTCAGTTTTGTTATTTGACTAACTAAATTAAACTACCTGATATTCCTTTCTGATTTCATCGACTGTGTGTTTGAGTATGGAGGAAACGAAGCCCTCAATCTCTTTGTCCAACTTATCTTCTGCATCGTCCACTTTGTTGCTGGCAACATCTGCAGTCGTGTTTGTCGGCGGTACCGGACTATATAGTTCCTTCTTCAGATTGAATCGTACCTGGCGCAGAAAATAATGATAGAAAATGGGTTACATTTGTTTGTTTCTTGTTTAACACCGCACTCAGCAATTTTCCAGCTATATGACGGCGGTCTGTAAATAATCAAGTCTGGACCAGACAATCCAATGAGTGACATCTTGAGCATCGAACCTCGAAATGAATACACATGAGAGGCTGACCACCAGATCCTGTTAGTCACCTCTTATGACAAGCATGGGTTGCTGGAGACCTGTTCTAACCCTGTGCGTGTTTGGATAAATGACAAAAGAAGGGATAACCATGCTTTGAGTAAGTGAATGTTATTTTATACGACAGTCAGCCTGAAGATCTGACAACCTTTCCTTTCTACTGTGTATTGATTTATTTTTTACAAAAGCATACTAGTTACATTTGTGTGTAACCAGCATTCCTGGTTTGTTGGGAGTAAAAATTATTTCAGACACTGGTGTGCTCTGCGGTGAAACGTTTGACACTAATTAATCATTGTGACAAGCCCACTCAAGTGCGACCCCAAGCGTGATAGAACGTGATGGAAACGGTGTTGAAAACTCAACCCAGGCTTTGGTGTGATGAGAAAATACTAGGCTAGTCCTCTGCCCCCTTCAACACAAACAGTCAAGTACTGTGATCATTTGAAAACATAGACTAGTGCCTCATATAATCAATTCTCTAAGTTCTACCGGGCCATATTTCCTTCATGTATAGAGCTCAAGGACAGATCGTTGCTTTACTAGTTTAGATTTAGTCACAATCTTACAGCATTATTTCCCCCCCTACCACTTTTTTCTTGTCACTCTGTCCTTGTGCATGTTGTTTCAGTGTAGACTGTGGCTTGGTAGTGATGTCCTTGGAGACGGACAAAACAGGAACTGTCTTCGAGCTGACACAACTGAAATCAGGTAGTCATAGCAATAACATTGTTACTCAGGCACAAAAATCAAACCTATCATTGTTCACAGTAAACACAACCCATCAGTAGAAACAAATACACGGATATGATGCTTTCAGGGCCATATGATAGTAAATGAGGAATATTGATTTGGGACATTTTACATTCCATTTGGGAATATTGGCCTCTGGCCATGTGCAGATAAACTCCTGAGTTAGCTCATTTTTTTGTTATGTTTTTAGAGTTTTTTGGGGCAGATTCACATTGGTTCTTACAATGTTAACAAAAATTCTGCATATCCGAAATAAGTAGTATCAACATGATCTTCCCGAGGCAAGGGAGTTAACCGACTAATAAAGTTTTCACCCTTGCCGAACTACGCTGGAATTGCCAGGCTTGATCATAGTTCCGCCAGTGGCTATTACGAGTTATGTCCCTCCTATTGACTAATCAGATACCATTGCTCATATCACTTGCATTTGCTTCAAACAAGATGGCAGCACCCAGTCAAGACGATCTAGCCGATAATCAAGATCTTTATTGTATATGTTGTAAGGAAACACTTGAGCACCTTGATAAAAAAAATAAAATTTGAAAAGATCTGCAAAATATCTGTCGACGCCTAGTTGACAGTACACATGCTTTGCTAATCCTGCAGTTGACCGAAATCTTCACGTTGAAATCCACATTGGTTGCGAAGCAGATGTCTAACTGGACTATGCCATGATGCAGAGACTCGTTAGTCCAGCCAAAATGTAACTCCGGAATTCCAGCCTAGTTCGTAAGGGTGGAAACAGGACTCATATAGTCAGTTAATGCCCTTGTCACAGAAAGATGTACCAAGATATTATATTGTTGACATTACTTTTGCAAATATATTGACATTCAAGGAATTATGAAATAATACAACTAACATGCCCAATGGAAGTTACTCTGCACAGGGAATTGTGGCATCTTAGACAACTGGGCCACCTGTGCCCCCTAGTCCGAAATGAGCTACAGACTAGTTGGATATAACGACTGTTGTCTACCCCTTGACATTGTACCACAAATGTAGAGAAAAAATTATAATGTGTCCTGCGGGACGTACAGTAATATTCATTGTAGCTTGTATTGTATTGTATTGTAGCTACAGCATATCAAAAGCAGCTATGGGCATGATTGGTGTCAGTTATTTCATCCATCAATTGTGACCACTGTACACATGACCATTGATTCATTCCAGGCTCTCATGTAATAATGTAAACGTACAGTACACCATTTCATTACTTTACAGGACCCTCATACTGCCTGCAAGGACCCTTAAAATAGTGAGTGAGTGAGTTGGGTATAACGCCGCTTTTAGCAATATTCCAGCAATATCACGGCGTGGGACACCAGAAATGGGCTTCACACATTGTACCCATGTCGGGAATCGAACCGGGGTCTTAGCGTGACGAGTGAACGCTTTAACCAGTAGGCTACCCGACCACCCCGACCCTTAAAATAAATCGGTGGGGGGTCTCCTGGACCCCCTCTTTTGCAAGTCAAGGTAAAACCCTTATATATTCAAATACTACACATCATATCTCTCAGGAAGGACCAAGAGCATAATGCATGCCACAGATTCTCTGTATTCTTTACCTGAGAGGAGATTTCCGTTTTGTTGAAGATGTTGGAGTTCCATACAGTGTTTTCCTAATGTTGAAGGCATAGCTGGTAGTTGGCAGTTTGTTTCGGACATTCCCAAGAGGTGTCCGCCCAGGGCTGTTCACCCTTGTCTGTGATTCTCTCAGTATCTGACAACACAAAAGTAGGAAGTAGGATAAGAGCTTCCTCTGGCCCACTAGAAATGTCAAATTTTACAGTTGCAGGAAAACTGTTCAATTGGTAGACATCTACCCATTTTTCTTACATTTGAAAGTTTGCACTTTGATCATGATGATAAAATACATTAGCAATTACCGTATTTGACGTAATAAGCGACCAGGGCGCTCTCAAAATTAGAAATAGGGGGCTCTGATTAGAATATTATTTTGGTGAGAAAAAAAAACAGTTGAAAGATAATTTCGTGGTTTATGCTGACAGGCTGAAATGTTTATGTACAACAGATATACTTTGCCAGATTTTAATTGCCCATACTTAAGGGTGCATATAACACACGAGTGTTATACGGGAATAAATAAGTCTTGTGTACATTTATCAATTGGAAGGGATGCTAATTGGGCTTGTTCACTAGCCAATAAATTAGCAAATATCGCCGTGGCCGCTAATTACGTCGAATATGGTAGTATCGTCAAAATCAGTGAAAACACCTGATCTTTCAAAGTTCAAGAGAAAATGTAAGTTACTAAGCATAACAAAAGCCTTGACCCCAGATGAAGATTTTACCACATGTTTGTACTGTGTTTAAAGGTATCTTCATCTAAGAAAATTTGCATAGGTCAAGGACTTGCTTGTTTTCTAATTTTAGTAGTATGCTTCTGGAAAACTTCCAAAAACAGCCTTTAAAACACAGTTAGCTTTCCCAAAGACCAACATTTGGTCCATGAAATAAATTTATCTTGAAACATATATCTACAACAAAACAAAAATAAATGGAGCCCAGAACAACATGAACAATGATTCATTTCATCCCAGAGCTAAGGCAATCTAGACTTGCCAAATCATTCTAGATTTGTGCATGTTGAGTTCTAGTTCTTATTCCTATGAACAAATTTGATAACTATCTTAAATATTTGTAAGAGTTTTCCTCATTTCCTAAATTATGCATGTCCCATAGAACAAAAAGGGCTTGTGAAGAAACACCACTAATCCAAGCAACGAGAAACATCTGAAAAGTGCCCATACAATCAGCATGGATCAACTCAATTTGAATGATTTGAGTATTATGATTATAAACATGTCAAATGTCACACAACTGCAAAACGAACACACATCCTGTATAAATTATCACACCTTTTTCGTTTGAGTATTTTCCTTATCATGCAGGATACTTGCAAAACTGAAGTGGTCCATTCTTGTAGAATCATCAATGATTCAAGTTCTGGGAAACATCTGAAATATCAAGATGAAAACTGTTATAAGGCAGGAAACAACTTTCATTTACAACAGGAATGAAAAGATCGCATTCCAGCTTTCAACTCAGTTCTAAGATGTGTTCCAGTTTCATCATGTTCATGTGTGTTGACGTTTTCTGACATCAGTCTTTTTTGTTTTCCTTTATCGCCCAGAATGACATTATGATCGTACCTTGTTACTGAGAACAAATACAAAGGTTCACTCAATTTCGGGACGGATGTCAATAAGGTTTAAAAGGTTTATAAGCTTTCAAGTTTCATGACTAACGGTGTGGTCAAGGATAGACATTCAATTTGAATCAGTGAATTTCAAGATGACAGTTCACCTTATCAGTACGTGTAGCAAAAGCTAAAACGGTAACTTTCACAAATAATTTAGACAATAAAGTAAAAATTCGAATAAAGCTGCTAAACCGTAAATATGTAGTACAACAATCGGAGTCTCAAAATGTCCACGATGCTCCTAATAGCAATACGCACTGTGTCGAAGCTTGTCAATGTCGGTGCAAAAACCAGCATCGGACTTCAGTGGTTAAGGTGAACAGTAGCAAGTCATTGCTGAAGAATGAGTTTCGAATAGAAAACGTGGATCTGTACAAATTTACAATTTCGCAGGTAGTACTAGCAAAATGTTCACCTAAGGCGTCGCATGCGATGTGATCACAAACTTCCCAATGCGTTTTCCTTATTATGCTGGCTGGAGCTGGCAGCCATTTCGAAATTGGTACGTACGTTCTGATTGGTTAATCCTAAGTCTCGTTTGGTCGAGATATTATGTTTTCTTTGTTAAGGCATAAGAATAAGTAAAAAGTATTTGCATAGTTTCTTGATTTTCATGAATAACTAGACACACCAAGATAAATCATTTTGAAAGATGTTTTAAAATTGTTGACAGGTCGGTACTTGTTTACATCACGTGACATTCCAGCGGGCCTGCCAAAATGGACAGGATGGATGCAACGTTTAGGCGAACGATGACAAACGTCACGGACGTTTTGTTCCCTGTCAGTAAGACAGCACGTGATCCGCAAAGACAACAGATAATTAAACCAGGTTGTTAACTTGAGCTTTAGGTATTGTTACACGTTCGTCATTGTCCATTATCAGTGATCAAAACGTGGTGAGACAGTACATTATGTCGTGACAAGCCTGTTTACACATTCATTGAACTTCACACATTATATATAACCGCCGTCATAAAGCTGGAATATTGCTGAGTGCGGCGTTAAACAACAAACAAACAATTATACAAAATATATCATACGACTATCACAAATCCCTTACACTAACCAGGACTTGAATGACCCATTTATAAATGTTGATCTATGCTTGTTCGCAAACTAAAAGGAAAGATGAATTTAATTATTGTTCTATATAAGTGTCATTGTAGGCCTATGTTTATATAACATGAAAAATAGAGGATCGCACCGAGTGTCTTTTGATATCTAAGATATCAACATCAGCTAATGAACGTATAAAACCCAAGGCTTGCGATTTCTTATATCAAAAGACACAAGGGCAATGTATTTATCATCCAAAGTCATTGTTTCATATTTTTCAGTTTGTAAACAGTAATAATCAATGTCTTAAGTGTGAAAATTACAGCTAACCAGCTTCAGTGGCAGAGAGATTAATGATGTCATTCGATTGTGACATGGTAGCAGTTAAACAGATTACAGCACAATGGTCTGCTTAGCATTGTGATGCAATTTCATTGTAGCGATGTCTCTAATTTTTTATAATTTAAAAATATTTCTCTCTATTTTTCACGTTTGCCTTTCCTGTATTTCAGGTAACGAGTATGTAACCAATCTTCCCCTGCAGATGGCGCTGTTCTTTAATGCTTGCTACTCTCCATTGTGGATGATTACATCTGCTGTTGTCATTGAAGCCAAGGTATTGCGCCATGTATTGGCATTGTTTTTTATAGTAATATAGTTATCAGTAGCAACACTGTCAAGTCTATCTGTAATCTGTCGTTTCGTGGTCTTGAGGTCAGCTTTATTGTGTCGCCTTCTCTCTGGCGCAACGGGGAATGGGTGACCCAGTCCTCTAAGGCGCCGTGATTTGCTGTGCAGAGTTGCATCCCTTGTACATGCCAGAAACCTATGATTGTGGGTTCGAATTCCGATTCGCCCCGATTATGTTTCTAGGTTTGTCAGCACCACATCCGTGCTCGTGGGTTTCACTGAAGTGTTAAACGTCCGAGACCTGCATCACTTCGGGCTTTCCTCCCACATTAAGCTGACACGCTGTGATATAACTGTAATACTGTTAAAAGCAGCGTTAAATTCAACGCACTCACTTTCTCTGGTGCAATTAAACATGCTCTCTTGATAAACTTGCCTTGTGTTCTGATGGAGCCAACAAGAGGGTCACAAAGGGCCATCCTAACCTAAATTGAGTGCCAACCAAAACATACAGATTGACTGCAGTCTTACTACAACTCCCTTTAGGAACCATGCATTACTACTTATTTTGATTAGTTTGTTGAGGTGAAAGTATTTCTCCTTGGTATGTTCTTAGATCATGTAGACCGCCTCCATGGTCTAGTGGTAGAGCGTCCGCCCGGAGAGCGGAAGTTCCGGGGTTCGATCCCCGGCCGCGTCATACCAAAAGATGTTAAAAGATGGTACTTGTTGTTACCCTGTCTGGCGATCGGCATCAAGGGGCTAAAACAAGGACTGGTCGGCTCGGAGAACATAATACTGTGTCTGAGTGGGGTAATCATATTAAACTGCGGCATGGTATCTCAGTGAGCTAGCACTATAAATTGGCATCAGTCCGGACTAGTACAAGCAGCCACACAAACACACACACGTACATGCACGTCGCTTTATAAGTGCAATAAACTTGGACACGATGTTTAACCCCATTTCACTTCAACTCAAATATGCTTCATAGTTTCATTCAACAAGGGGAAATGCTACTTTATTTTTTTTTCCTTTCAGTTTGCGTACCTCAACATGTTGTATCAGATCATCGTGACTGCTGTCTTCATCGCCTACAGCATCATAGAGATAGTCCGGCTATATCTTGGCTATGTGGGCAACCTCATGGAACGGGTAGGTTGTATACACCATGTCACATGTACATCGTGTCACAGGTGACCGATAATGATCCGGGTTAGAATTGGTCTTCAGCAACCCATGCTTGTCATAAGAGGTGACTAACGGGATCGGGTGGTCAGGTACTCTGGCTTGGTTGATGCATGTCATCGTATCCCAATTGCGTGGATCGATGCTCATGATGTCAATCACTGGATTGTCTGGTCCAGATTATTTACAGACCACCGTCATATAGCTGGAATATTGCTGAGTGCGGTGTTAAACAACAAACCAACCAACCCAATTGCATAGGTCAATGCTCATGATATCAATCACTGGATTGTCTGGTCCAGACTTGATTATTTACAGATCGCCATCATATAGCTGGATTATTGCTGAGTGCGATGTTAAATAACAAATAAACAAATGATAATGACAACCTGGGTTTGAATCTGAATGATTACAATGTGTAAAGCCCATTGCTTGTGTACCACACCCAAATATTGCTACAAGCATCATAAAACATTCTCTCACTGACACCCCCATTTTGTGGATTGATGTTCCATGTCAAACACTGGTTTGCCTGAGACGGGCCAGACTGCTTCCTCCAACGTTAAGCCGACATGCCATGAAATAACTGGAATACTGTTCAAAGCAGCATTAATTAGGCTGATATGGGGGCCTCATATTGGATATATGAAACTGCCATATAATAACTGTGTTTTCATCTACCATAACATCAAATTGTAAAATGTATCCATTTGCAAGGGACGTAACTCCATTTTCTCACCACCCAGGCTGATATCAATTGCCCATTCAAAATGCATGGACAAGCCTTATCAGCGCAGCATGTGGTGTAATACGTTTCTGTTTATTACACTGACAATAATGTATAGTATCAGTTATGGTGTCCTTAGTTGCCGTATACAATGTCATATTAGGTTAACAGAAAAAAGTTAACAGATATTTTTCTGCTAACCTAATATGACACCGTATACGGCAACTAAAGACACGATAACAAGTTTATTATGCCGAAAAGTTTACACTATTGTATCTTTGTCGCACATGTCATGTCAAAACTCAAAACTTAACACTTATGACATTAAGGGTCAAAGGGAGACTACTCTTCAAACCTCAGAGGCCAAACCTTGTTGATAATTTTTACTTTATGTGATCTTTATTTAAGTCATGAATGTGATCCAAAAAAACATTAACATCCTTGCACATCAAAATTAATATTTAAATACAAAACATTGTCAAATAACAATTTCTGTACCAGAATTTTCATGTGAAATATGTGAGGTGGGTGTTGGTAAATCAAACCTGGCTGTAACTGACGGTATACGGTCTCATATTAGGTAAGTAACAACCATCTTGGATTTTTACTGACGGTATACGGTCTCATATGGGGTTAGTAGTTCTGCTCTCTGGTTGGTCAATCTCACTTTGGGGCCTAATAATATGTCATGTGCTACAGGTCCCCGAGCTGGCCGGCTTCTGGCTGCTGACGGTGCTGCTACAACTGCCTCTCATTCTGTTGATGACCTTCAATGAAGATGCCAAGATAGTTCCCCTGGAGCGTGCCGTGAACATAGTGAAGGCTCTGTTTATTGTGTTTGAGGTGATTTGTGGCTACTTTGCTATTAGGATCATGGTGAATTATCAAGTCACGAAGTTTCATCTTCAGCAGTTCACAGACCTGGAGCAGATAGAGGACCCTTACTACCAGCATGATGATGGATATGTCATGTGATCTGACAATGGATATGTCATGTGATATGCCAACACATGTGATATGTCAATAGATATGTCAACAAGAGATGTGTCATGTAGAGTGGTGGTGTATTTTGAGAGATACATTGTCAGAAATTTCATGTTTTGTTAACAGACGCTGTTTATATTTCTATATGGTCAACAGTATGTCAATGACTCAACATGTGACCAGTCAACATGGTCATCTGTGATCCAGGTAAGAGAGGAACTCATGCATAATAGCGAGGATCTGTCAGATGTACATGTAGCCTTCATCCCTGGGTAACAGATACTGATCTGATCAAATAATTCTGACATTGATGTCTCATAGCAACTACCACATCTGTCCATAATGTAACGCTGTCTGTCCAACTCCATTGGTACTGACTTGCATCTATTTTCCGTCCATTTTATGAATCAGCTGATCCTTTGGAAATACTGACATACTCTCCATAGTGCTGTTTTTGACCGTCCAAAGGAATGCTTCAGAAAGTAGTAAGCTCCTGGTGCAGAACTAAGTGGTGTAGGCTCAACCTGTTCAGGATAACTGTCAACAAGGTTTTGCTAATACTATTGCCCAGACTGTCAGTTACAGGAATGTCACAGTTGTCAGGAATAATTATTAATTTCTGTAGCATAATTTGTGATACATTGATACACTAGTGGAGTATCATGAGATAAAAGTCAGTTGATACAGCACTATACCAGGCTACACTACACAAAAGAAGTTTAAGAAATGCCATGAGAGATTAACTATGGTAATATGGAAGAATCAGTGGGCCCTTGACTTCTTTTGAGTAGCATAGATTGTTTGTATCTATGTGAGTAAGTCAGTGTACATGGGGCATATATTGTATCACAGCCCTTGTATTGAGATACAAATAGTAGCTGCCCACATCATTACCTCCAGGTCAGGAGAGTCTTGTACATGGTTTGTACATGTGTATAGCATGTATATGGTTGTAACTTGTTGACAAACGTTATCTCAGTTGTAATTATGTCATTATATTTATTTTACCATTTTATTACAATAAATCATATATTTCTAGGAGGAGTCTTCTGTTTTTGATGCAAAGAGTGCACCAGCAGTGTTCATTTCTAAAAGTGAACTTGACTTGTCTGTCCAATTTCTCTGCTGATCTATACTATAGACAGAAACAGGGACTTCAGTCTCTACAATCATATGCCTGTCCATGAAATACAAGACCTGCTGATTCTCACAGTTTAAAATTGATTTAATTGCTCAATCATTCAAATATAACCAATACTTTTGAAGACGTCACAAAATAGTTTATTGTCTACAACAAGGCTTATTTTCAAAGTATATGTAAGCATACATTTTTGCGGAATATAAAAAAGCTAGTACACTGCACTTGCTTGCAAAAGTCTGAACATCTGTGCGATATCAGACCATGGTGCAAGATCCACATCTTTATGGCACTGAACCAAGAATCACGAAGAACAAGCCATGCATGACAACTCTGCCCAACTTCATTCCATTCGTGTGCTCATTTCTGGTGTGGTCCGCCGTGATAATGCTGAAATATTGCTAAAAGCTGCGTAAAAAAACACAATCACTCCCTCAATCCAATGGTGTGTTGGGAGTGATTTTTGCTGGGACATGAAAACTAGTACCCTGCACACTCTCGTTCATTCAAGGATGTGAGAAATGAAGACACTTCGTTATCACCACGATTCCTTGCTGATGAAGTAAGTTAGGAGAGCGAACAAGAAATACTCTTGCATTCAATATGACATCTTGATCTGGGATAACACCGTGTCTTGTTCATGTCTCTCCTTGGCCTGGGCTCATACACTTGCATGTACGCATTAAGACACCATTTCAACAGGGGTCGCAATGGGCCAGTCTGGATGCTTGGATATTCACAGATTCTGTTCAAAGTTCCTTTGTGTTGCTTCCACTAACATTGGAGAAACGTTTCGCTTGAAGCCAGATGCAATCTCCACTGTCTTCGTCACCTTGGTGGCCAGGGACAGAAGCTCCTCAGGTTTCTGCAAACATTCATATTGCTGTCATTCCTTTATACAAAGCCTGCTATAGGCTTGAAGGTCATAAAGTGCAACCACTACTTTGCATGCTTGCTCAAAATCTAGTAGCCTATGTCTATAATTGACATTTAAAGCAACTCGCCCTAGACAGATCTAAAATGTGAATGAGTGAGTGAGTGAGTATGGTTTTATGCCGCTTTTAGCAATATTCCAGCAATAGCACAGCGGGGGACAAGAAAAAAAAGATTCACACATGGTGCCCATGGGGGGAATCGAACCTGGGTCTTCAGTGTGACAAGCGAACGCTTTAACCACTCGGCTACCCCACTGCTCCAAAATGTGAAATATTTGTGGTACTTCACAAAATGTTGTCCCTATGACTATCATTAATAAAAACTGACAATCTCAAACAGGGGTCAGGTCATTGCTTAGGAGACGACTTGCACATAATCGTGTCCACAGTTTGATGACGACAAATCGATGACAGGTTTTAATTTAGGTAAAATATATGTATCAAAAAGTATAATTTCTCATCACGATATGGCTGAAATATTGCCGATGTGACGTAAAGCTTTAACTCACTCACTTGATGACGACAAGCCCATGAAAGCATGACAAATTACACATAACACAGGGATTAATGATATAGTCTGGTAAATAAAGCTTAGAAGCATACTGTTCAAAGATCGATGTTGTGTGGTCCAGTAAGGGTTAGTCAGACACAAATTTGAAATGTTGTGACGTGCACTTGGTGCATGTAGACATAAATATTAGGTTGCATTTTCAATAATAGGTTTCACTGGCGCATGTTTTAATAGAGCTAAATCAAGACCAGCAATAAATCCATTTGATTAATAGAACCTACTTCTACTTCTCCGAATATGAGCGGCAAGTCATATGATTCAGCCATCTTCAACACGGTTTCCATCTCGATGACTTGCTTGTTGGGGAACTCAACTGGGGAAACAAGTCACCATGGTAACAGCTCCTGAACTTTTTCAATAAATGCAGGGTGAGTAGTAACATACATGTATAAATCACGTCGCTAAGTGTCAGATTTGACTCTCATGCTGCGCATTCAGTTCCAAATTCAATTACTGTATTCAACGTAATAAGCGCCCAGGGTGCTCTCAAAATTAGAAATCGGGGGCTCTTATTAGAATATTATTTTGGTGAATAAAACAGAGTTAAAGGAAAAATTTCGTGGTTTGTGCTGACAGCCTGAAATGTTTATATACGACAGATATATTTTTCCAGAATTTAATTACCCATAATTAAGGGTGCATATAACACACGAGTGCGTATTATACGCGAATTTAAAAGACTTGTGTACATTGATCAATCGCAAGGTTGCTAATTTACCAGGGATTGTTCACTAGCCAATATATTAGCAAATATCGCAGTGGGCGCTTATTAGAGCGGGACGCTTATTACGTCGAATACGGTAAATTGTAAATTATATTCACAACAAATAGTATGTTTAAGTAGTTTCTGGAAGCTGAATACTATCCCATCCATTACATCACGTAACATGAATAGTAACGAGGTATATTTATTAAGCACAATGTGATTGCTTAGTGTGATCTTAAGGCACTGGGAACTTATCTTAACTTGCTACCATTAATTAAATGGGGCCATTGGCACTTTGCTTAACAAGGAGCGAGTTAGTTAGATTTCAACGCTGCTTTGAACAGTATCCCTGTTGTATCAAGGTTTGACAGCTTAATGAGGTGAAAACTTTGGTGAAACCCACAAGCATGGGTATGGTGCTGACAAACCTAGAAACATAATCGAGTCGAACCGGGATTCGAACCCACAATCATAGTTTCTGACATGCCCTAAGGAAGCAACTCTTCACAGCTACTTGTGGCGCCTTAGACAACTGGGACAACTGGGCCACCTGTGCCCCCTTTTATGCAAGGAATTTCTGACAACAAAAATCAGTGACATTTTCAGTAAATAAAACCTCATGTACACACACCGGTTGCATGGTATGAGTGTATCAACGCAACATTTTCCCTGTGCATAATTATCATTGATAATAGAACTAAATATATCTCATCCACTCAAATCTACATTTGTGTTTGTTTGATTTTTATAAATTGCTCAAATAACCGTTCCATGTACCTTGTACATAAAGTGCATACAGGGAGCCAGCTGTGTCCGGGTTTTTCATAACTTTGACACGTCATTATTTATTAACCAATCACAGCCTTGGTCGCACATTAGTTTCGTTACAAGGCTTGTTCGGCTTTGTAATGTACTGTCATCGATCGATAATGTGAGTAGGTTGGCGATCGGACCAATTTTCTTCCGAAAAACTTAAAATATAACAACACTTATTTAGATTCTACATGTATAACATCCAGTCATAAAATAATACAGACTGCTTTGATTAATTTACACAAAGTATTTTTTTTTTTTACGCATGCAGTTTGAATCATCGTCCACGATGCCACTGTGAAATAATTGTACCACTGTACCATTCACTACCATCATTACGTAATGTGAACCTCAGCAATGAATATCTGTACAACGCTCTTTCCTAGAACGCGGGGTCGGTTTCTTGGACCCCGATGACAGCGGTACATCGAGGGATCACTGTATTGCAAAAATGGAACATACTCCCAACTACACATATACCAAATTTCATTACTTCTGAAAGAAAATGGATGGGTAATGGCCATAAAGAGGTTTTTCAACATGGCAGTCCTTGGAACAAAACGGGGTGTCATCACTGGTGAGAATACGTATCTGAAGTTTTAGCATCACCTGTTCAGTGGTTTCTGAGGAAAGATGTTTATGACTGATGATGGACAAACATCATGACACAATAAACATTTGTCAAGATGGATAAATGGATAATGAAAAACGCTCACCTCCAGTTACTATCAGGGAAGAACGGCCAACAAAGTACTTCACATCAACAGCTGATAAAGCTTCCTCAATAATCTTCATGCTGCAGACAAACCAACATTAATGAATGTCCTGATGGGGTGTACTGTTAAGCGTAAAACAATGGAAAAAAAATATGGTAAACGTTTACCTGTCGTCCACAGTCACATTGACAAGATAGCAGATGTAATCGATGCTGGGTCGGTCCGCTTCTTTCTCTGCAGGCAGTGGGAGGGAGGTGGCTGTCCGTCTATAAACCAGAATTGAAATATAATATTAGAGTCTGTTACTTGAGTGAGTCAGTTGGGTTTAAAGCAGCTTTGAACAGTATTTCAGTTATATCATGTTGTGTCAGGTTGATGTGGGAGGAAAGCCCAAAGTGATGCATCTCTTAAATGTTTACCACATAGGCGAAACCCACAAGCACCGGTGCTGACAAACCTAGAAACATAATCGGTGCGAGCCAGGATTCAAACCCACAATTAAATGTTTCTGGCGTGCCCAAGGGACACAACTCTGCACAGCAAATTGCAGCACATAAGACAACTGGGCCATCTGTAACTTGAACTTAAGGACGCAATTTGACAGCAAATAGTATGTACTTAATCTTACATAGACAGTGTGGGAGCCAATTCATTTTACATGTATAGTGAGTATGGCTGGTTTTCTTCTTTAATGCCGCACTCAGCATTATTCCTGCTATATATAGCAGCGGTCTGTAAACATACTAAACAATCAAGTTTGGACCAGACAATCCAGTGATTGACTTCATGAGCATCGATCAACGCAATTGGGATACGATGACATGCATCAACCAAGTCAGCGAACCTGACCACCCAATCCAGTCAGTCGCCTCTTACGACAAGCAGAGTCGCCTCATCGACATGCACGGGTTGCTGAAGACCGTTTGTAACCCGGATCTTCACGAGTTAGTATGGCAGGTTCTTCATCTTACATGTGAGTGAGTGAGTGAGTTTTTTTATTTTATGCCGCTTTTAGCAATATTTCAGCAATATCACGGCGGGGGACACCAGAAATGGGCTTCACACATTGTACCCATGTCAAGAATCGAACCCGGGTCTTCGGCTATCGAGCGAACACTTTAACCACTAGGCTACCCAACCGTCCCTCATCTTACATGTACAGGGAGTATGGTGTCTTGAGATTCAGCATGGCCAGCCCCAGTTCATGTTTCCCGGTTCCCTCGTCCCCGACAATCTGGAAACAGGATGTAATAACTGAGGTATGGAGGAAATAGTCATTGGCTGTTTAGGGACATCTGTTCTGGAAAGTTTGAATCAGTTCATCAAAACAAATCATTTGCAAGCTCAAGCTTTGTGAAACCAAATTGGCAATGAACAGTCAGACAATGAACTTCTTTGAAAATGGAAAAAAACTGAGGAAGTCGGTGTGAGGTGAAATGGGTCTTAATGTCGCATTCAAGATTATTGCACTTATACAGCAACGTGCATACACATGTGTCTGTGTGTGTGTCTGTCTGCTTTTACTAGTTCAGCTGGGTTTTTTGTGCCAGCAGTAGGGCTGGGACGAGTCCGAATTTACTATCTTGGTACCCATCCCCCTATTACCCGACCCTACCCGGGTACCCACTGTAGGTTTAAAGAGATGGGTGCAAAATGTCCGATTGGGCATTTTTTCACCATAGCACTGGTAAAACGTATTTAGATACATGTGTTAAACAATCTGGTCATGCATACACTGAAGTTGACTCAAGTTATATCTTTATTCAAAGATATGAAAAGTTAGAAGGAATGGGTGCATAGTCAGAAAGAGTGAGTTTGGTTTTACGCCGCTTTTAGCAATATTCCAGCAATATCATGGCGGGGTACACCAGAAATTGGCCTCACACATTGTACCCATAGTCAGAACAATGCGAACATTTGTGACTTGTAGTGTAACCTTAGAGTTCTAGATAATTTTTGTCATTAAACAATATATCACGTGACTAACCACTGGTCAGGGTAGTCCTGTGGGTACCCGGGTCCTATTCAATACCCACCCGACCCGGGTACCCAAATTACCCGTCCCAGCCCTAGCTAGCACACTGAAGTTACCCTGTATCTTTTGGTATGACAGGACTTGGGATCGAACCATTAATATTCGACTTTCCAGGCAAATGCTCCATCCACTCGACCACAAAGGTGACCAGATGACTGAGCAGACGAAACTTGCTTTAACAGGTTCAGCAGCAAGACTGCCGTCTAGTGGACACACCTATCTTGTGTTTTGGCCGCACCACTAGCCCTGGCTTCACTTATAGCACATGTATATCTGATCCTTAGGGTTACCTGTTGTAGGGTAAGGGTTGGTCTAAATCTAGCCTTAGCCCTTGGATCTCCATTCCGATCAAGCACCCCTTACGATCATTAGGGATTGGCACCCATTATGATACTAAGTGTTGGGCAACACAGAGTTATCGCCCCTGAACAAAGACTTTTGTTTGCTCCTTTCTATTCGTGACCACTCGCATCTTTTCGGAGCCTATGTACAAGCAGGCTCGTCTCGTGGGTTTGATTTGTGGGCCGTATTGTGTTTATTGTTTAACGTACTCAGCAATATTCCAGCTACATGATCGATGGCTAGGCCAGTGAATATAACCTTTATGTCAAGTGCCAAGCAGAGTAACAAGCATTAGCTCCGCCAATGGGTTAGCTATTGTAGGCTAAGGGTTGGTCTAAATCTAGCCTTAGCCCTTGGATCCCCATCTAGATCAAGCACCCCTTTACGATCATTAGGGATAGGCACCCATTTATGACACTAAGGGTTGGGCAACACTTGCCAATCATGCTTTTCGGATTCTCAGGGTTAGTTATGTGTTAGGGATGAGGTTAACTATCTCACCTCGAAAATATTTCAATGCAATCCAAAGCATATGTGAGAATCTGTACTAATTGTATCAAGTTTTGAGTTATGAATACACAGTGCCTTTTAGGAAGTGGTCACAGGAACAAATGTTATCCCAAATATAACCTTTGTTAAGTTTTGAGTTTCGTGGAAATAAGTGCATTCTGTGCATGTGCACAAATGAAAACACTCGGGGGTGATGATCATGAGGTAAGCAGGACTCATTATTTGTGATAGTGCTTGTGACTGCCTGAATTGGCTCAGGCTGCCAGACGTGGCTTTCGTGTCACTGATTTCATGTGCTCTTTGATCCTTAGGGCACAGGAACTCGTTATTGGTCAGTAAATAAAAAACTTACATATAAGGGGGTATATATTTTTATTTACTGACCAATAAGGAGTTCCTGTGCCTCAGGGTGAGTTGTGTTTGGGTTAGGGTAGGTTACCCCCCCCCCCCCCCCCCCCACCCCACCCCCCCCCCCAACTCTTTCCTAAATCCGTACAAGTATCGGGTTTCGTGGGGAAAATAGCTATTTGACAGGCTCCTAAATGTAAACAATCGGGTGCTGAGCACCTGGTAAAAGAGCATTAATTATTTGTGATATTGATAGCTCCCGTGTTGTCTCTGTTAACTCAGTAACATAGCTTAGAGCTAGAACGCTGCCGGTGAAGTGCAGTACTCGCGGTCCCGTTGTAACGACACTGGGTACATTTCATAAACATCTTGTAGGCAATCGAAAACCGAACAACACACAATTTCTAGACCATTCTGGGTCAGGAAACTTAAATAACATCTGTTGATAATATTAATTGCTCTCACCAATACTGTACATTCTTGTCGATTGGGAAGTTTGCTAAAGGGAGTCAAAATGGACGTCATTTTCACAAGTTTGACAAATCCATAACATCAGTAGTTCACCAAGAAATCACATCAAATTTCCCGCATTTGTCACAGTGTGAGAGTTATCTCCCCTGAACAAAGACATTCGTTTTCATTCGTGACCACTCGCATCTTTTCGGAACCTATGTTCAAGCAGGCTCTTCTCGCGAGGTCGATTCGTTGACAGGGAACTCATTTCTCGGCTGCATTTTGTTTCTTTGTTTGTTACTCTCAGCAATATTCCAGCTACATGATACGTTGGGGCGGTCGGATAGCCAAGTGGTTAATGCGTTCGCTCGTCACGCCGAAGACCCGGGTTCGATTCCCGACATGGGTACCATGTGTGAAGCCCATTTCTGGTGTCCCCCGCCGTGATATTGCTGGAATATTGCTAAAAGCGGCGTAAAACCATACTCACTCACTAATACGTCCGACGTGAGTTACATATACGGTAAACTCTCGTGAATGTATACGCTATGGATACGCCAAATTCATGGTTTTTCGATGAAAGCTCGACCTATGACAGCGTACTGTCTTTCACACGCTAGGTGCAAGTTACTCTAAAACGTTGAAGTGTGACAGGCCCATAAGAAAGAATTCTGAGCCATATTTGTTGAAACTTGTCTTTCAAACGTTGCAATAACATTGAAGAAAATAACTGTACATTACTGAGTGATTGTGATAACCAAACATGAACGAATCCGAGAGAAAATAAAGTTGATCTTTTATTAGTAACCCAATTCGTCAACAACTGAAGCAATAAACAAGTAAGCGAGGCGAGATGAAATGGGGTTAACGTCGCGTCCAAGTATTGCACTTATATAGCCATACCGCAGCTTAACATGGATACCCCACTCAGACACAGTATACTGAATCCGAACCGACCAGTCCATGTTTTAGCCCAACAAGATGGCGTCACGTGACCGGATGGATAAAAGAATAAAAGATGGATAAAAGAAGAAGAACAATGTTTCAAGCATTCCTTTGAGACACGCTGTCGTGCTTTTGTCTTTGTCTCTGTAACCCTTCCCCGACATTACATGCAGACATACTACCAAACATTCACTTTAATCGAAATTCTTGAATTGTATAATGAACTTGCTACTTGCCAATACGACATCGTTTTTTTGTTGGTTACCCAGCCATGTTGGAATTACTGAGAACACAATGGCCGATGCTGCTGCTAAAGCAGCACTCAACAAATCTGTGACGCCTCCTCTTATTCCATACACTGATCATGCGCCAGTGATTGGATCATATATCCGAGATCTGATGCAGAAGAAGTGGGACACCCATGTAGGTGTTAATAAAGTACATGAAATTAAACCAAACATCGGTTACGCCTCCTTGGGTTGTCCAGATTTGAAGAGGTAATTTTACGACGATGTCGCATTGGCCATTCTCGTTACACCCATGAATATTTGTTGAAAGGGGAGGGTCCTCCGTTTTGTATCCCTTCTGATGAGAATCACAGTCAAGCATGTCCTGCTTGAATGTACTGATTTTGCCATCACAAGGGATAACTATGTCATATCATCGTCTGCTAAGGATCTTTTTAATTAAATGTAGTTCTCATTTAATTATTGGCTTTTTAAAAGAAATTGAACTTATCAATAAATTTTAATGTACATAGTTGTTTCTTAAATTGGTAGTGTCTAATTGTGAACTGAGATTGTTATTGGCTGTGCCCTTGACAGGGTTAAAGTACAGTAACATTATTGTCCCCCTGAGAGGGTATAGTATAAGTCCATATCATTCAAAGTACGTTATTCCTTTCATAGTTTCAATCGTAGAATGAGTGGGGTTCTTTTAAATTTCGGCTGAATTTCCTAATCATCGCCAACATCCGAAGGGATGATGTAAATCCTGCTGGGGACCCATCTTCCCGAGGCAAGTGAGTTAACTGACTATAAAAGTCCAGTTTCCACCCTTGCCGAACTAGGCTGGTATTATGGAGTTACATTTTGGCTGGACTAACGAGTCTTTGCATAGTCCAATCAAAATCGCGCACCGAAATCGAAATCCGGTTCGTAAAGTGTCATACAGATTTCGGTCGACTGCAGGATTTGCAAAGCATGTGCAATCTTTTCAGGTTTTGAATCAAGGTGCACACGTGATTTGATGCACTTCGCGATGTAAGACTCGTTTTAATCACAATATAGATCTTGATTATCGATCAGATCGTCTTGACTGGGCGCCACCGTTTTGTTTGAAGCAAATGCAAGTGATACGAGAGGTTGAATCTGATTGGTCAATAGGAGAGGCATAGAAAGGACATAACTCGTAATAGCCACTGGTGGCGCTACGATCGAGCCCAGGAATTACAGCCTAGTTCGGCAAGGGTGGAAACTGGACTTTTAAAGTCAGTTAACTCTCTTGCCTCGGGAAAATGCTGGGGACCATGCAGGTAGCAAAGGTACTATAAGTCCCCATGGACCCAAGCATGGTGATCTACCTTCAGCTGCTGGCGATCTATAGCCCTTGTATTGTAACATTTCGTGATATCTTTTTATGTTTGCTAGTTTTAACTATTAATCTGTGATATTCTAGTTATTTTACTGTCCATCGATTCGAACCCACAATCAAAGGTTTCTGGCGTGCGCAAGGGACGCAACTCTGCACAGCCAATCGCGGTGCCTTAGGCGACTGGGCCACCCGTGCCCCCTCCGACGGCTGATGATTCACTTGAATGGGAATGGGGAGTTTGACCACATAATGATTCACAGTGTTGTTAGGATGAACATGCATGGAAGCATCACTGGGCAAGGTCAAATAAAAGTCCCGTTTGGAAAACGTGTTCATCACAGACATCCTGTTCATACACCCTTAAGGGACCAGACTGGACACAGAGGAAGTAGGGGAAAGAATGGTCTATGCTGTTATTGTGGCTGATGGCGTAGAAGATACCGATGTGAGTTGTGGGAGCAAACATCCCAAGCAGCTGGCCAACAAGGCTGTCCACAAACATCCCTTTGGTTCTGTTTTGGTGATGCCTTCTTCTTCTTCTTCTTCTTCAGGTGTTGTTTGTGTAGATGTTTGTGCTGCTGTCGTTGGTGTTCAATGTGATCCAAGACATGGATTTTATCCAGGGGAGAGTTGGGATGGACATCCACAGGTCGTTCCACAATGGTACTCTGTATCCGATGATTGTAGGAGTGGATCAGTTGTGGTAAAACCCGAATGTATGACGTGTGCCATGTTGTGTGAAATAAAGCCACATACAGATTTTCAAGGTTTTTTGGAAACGCTCAACTACTGATGCCTTGGTTTCGGGGTTTTGACTGTTGTAGAAATGGATCCCTCGTTTCTTGAGGAACCCTTAAAAGGTGTATTGACAGATTGGTGCCTTTGTCGGTCTGTTATTGAGATGGGATATGCTGGTCTTGGCCTTCATGCGTTGACCCTAACCCATTTTGGAGAATGCATCGATGACACACGGCAAATACTGTTAGCCTTGGTTCCCTTGCTGATACGCAATACGGTCACTCAAATCATCAACACCACCCACACTGTAATGGTCCCCTTGAAATATCGTCGGGCAGGTTTGTGCAATGTGTAAATGTCCTGCTGCTTGCCACAATACAAGCCACCCACCATACCTTGCAGGATGTTTGTGATAATAGGTATGTTGGTGCCATCGTGTCAATGAAGGATCCCACGATGGTGCCAGTGCTGCATGTCTTAAGTCGTCTCTTGATGACACTGTCCCCGACCTTGCCCTGTTCTCTCTTTTATTAAATGTGGGTTCGTTATTTGGTTGGAGCTTGTCGTGCAGCTTTGCCTTGAATAGCCAAGGTCTGCTGCAGTAAGGTGTTATACTGCTGTTCTCTGTCCCTAATGGGAACATTGTTTTCTTGCATAAAGGCACCCATGTCATGAAGTGTATGCAACTGTTTTAGTTCCAACTGGTTGAACTTGAGCAAATGTCATTGCCGTTTTTCCTCTTGCAGACTTTGCCATACGTCTTCTGGGATCATAACCCTTTTTATGGCAAGTTTCGTTTCTTGTCCATCAACGTATGCCATGCTGTTGTAAACGTTGGTGTTGCTGTGCTGTCATGGGAATGTTGCCAGCATACAGATTAACCACTCATTCAACGTTTATGGCTTGTTTCAAAATAGCTTGTGTCATGGCTGGAGATGTATCTCAACAGAGAGGGTTCAGCAAAAGGGAGACGAGGATTCACGACCTTGGTCAACACATCTTGGTGTCTCAACAGCCATGACTTATGCTGAGTCCTCATAGGAACAAACCCTGCTCGAAAATTTCTCACCGCAAAGACAAACCATTGCAACAAACGATTGTGTCCTTTGAGGGCCACACTCTCCGCTGGAGGAAAGAAGAAAGGAGGGGGAATGTGTACTGACAGGAACGAAGGGTACTGTGGGATACAACTTGTCAGGGAGGTTTTTTTCCTATTGCCAGGAGCAGAGAAAGGAGAGCTGAGACTGTTGAACAAACTTTGCACGGCAGACCGATGCTGTTCGGTTGGATCACGAAACAGGGAGATACAGACTGTTTTTTCGGATGGGTTTAAACAATCCTGTTGGTTACTGGAGCAGCTGGGTGGGCTTCACCTGTTTCTGTCTCCACCCAATGACAGCTAAGCGTCAACTAAACCCTGGGAATGAAAGGCAGTTTCTATTTATGCTTTTACTTCTTGGAAATGTAGAGGGTGGTAGGGTTGCGAAAGAGATGGGTATGTGCACAATGTTCTTTTAACGTGGTTGGTGTTAAGTCCAAAAACAAGTAGGAATATGGAGTCAAGGTGGCATTCCCGAATAAAGGCCATCTGTTCTGGAAAGACTTGTCGGGCCAAGTGTATCAGTTTGAAAGGCATCCCTGCAGATTTTAATGGGCATTTAAACTAATGGTCCAATGATGAGGCGAAGCGGCAAAGAGGTTTTGAGTCAAGTACAACACAGACGTGTTACCATGATGACTTTTTTTGGTAAACCATCACAGTACCCCAGCTGTCGCCAAAGAAATCATCTTTGACCAACCAGTGTGGGCAGGCAGACCCCTATCACCACTTCTCTCATATTAAACCTGTTTGTTGTAGTAGCTGCAGGTAACAGTGTTGGGTTTGCTCATTT